AGATTGAATCAGACCATTTGAGAGGAGTTCATTGATAAGATTGTTGTAATATGTGATGCCTTCTCTGTTTATACCTCCCCTCAGGTTTCCACCTAAACCAAACACATGACCAATGTTGAATCCTATTTATGTCAATTTACAGTCCAAATTTAAGTTCATATAAAAAATATAGTTGTTTTGATACATAAGTTGTATGTAGCCATAACTAGAAAGCAATTAAATTGAGGATTAGAAGAATAAATGAAGTTGAATATTCTTCCTCACTAGGTAGAACCCTGGACCATGAAATAGAGAATCTGTATGCATCAAATCCTATGTCCTTCATGATACCAATATCTTCCTGCCATATCGTCTCAAACATTTCAGAGGAATAATGAACACTAGACTTTATTCAGACACATACAAAGCGTGCATGTTGAAGAGACTGAGATGTACCTTGTAGCGGTGGTAAGAATCAACTGTAACGTCTCCACTACTTTTGTCCCTTATCCTGTCTGATGAAGATTCAAACGTAAGGAAGTTCTTCAAAATTCAAAATTTTAAAAATACAAAACTTTAATTGGTGCAATAGTTAATAAGGTGATGTCAAGCCAAGTTAATTAACATGCTAAGAACTTATTCATTTAAAGAATAAAAACCTTAAAATTTTAAAACTAGTACAGGGACCTGTGCAAAGCTTGGCCTATTTTCTATATATTATATTGCTAGTCTCATTGATTCATTCAACAATGCAGCACCATTTAGTTTGTTAATTGATTAGTAAAACTTTCTTTCTTTACTTCTAAATACTAGCTAGGGCCCAGAAAAGAATGCAAGACAATCTTCCAATAAAACAAGATTATTTGTTTTAGATGAACAAAGCCCAAGTTCAATTTAAATGAGAAAACATGTTTCTCTACATTCTAACGGGACAAATTGTTTGCAGTTTGCACCTAAGAAAGAGAAATAACGAGTGATACTGTGACAGTTTACAAAAATACGAAGAATGGACACCGAACACAACAACATGAACAAGGACACTTTGACATGGCTAATGTCTAAAAATATAGGTAACATTGTTAAGGTAAATGAACTAATAACCAAATGTGACAGGTAGCATTAATTCAGGTTCAGAAAGTTAAAGGGAAACCATTTACCAGGATGTTTGTGAGTGAAGGTGTCCCATATACTTAGTCCCCTTCCCCCTTCGTTTGTTGCACCTTCATACTTGACTCATCATCCAATCCCACATAAGATATGATAAAAAAAATTCATTTTCTGGTTTTATACTATAAAATGTGCTGTTGCAAGATAGCTAGATAGAACATAAACCTGGTAAGAAGATGAGGCTGTCCCAAATAAGAAATCTACTGGAAAAATGCCACGGTTAAGAGAATCCACTAACTGAACCATCACAAAGAAAAACACAGTGAGTAAAATGCCTTCAGCTCGCATGGTCTCACTTTCTAACTCTCAACTAAACATAAATTGATTGCGAAATGATCAACCTTTATAAAGGTCAGAGAACATTATGATTGAAACATTTTTCTAATCATAATAAATTTAATTCTTCATTATTCAAACACCATCTTGAAAGTTTAAATTAAATTAGTAGAAGCAATAGCATAGGACTAGCTACCCCACATCTATTTCACTTGGCCTTTTTTTCATGTTCTTTTTCCTCACCCCTTTGTGTAAGTGGACAAGCTTTGAAAGGCATAATGTTTGGAAACAGTATTTTATGATTGATTTCAAAAGGAGTGTGTGCCACATTTTCCTACCAAATCAAATCTAATGTGACGTCTGTTCAATAGCCAAATTCCTTAATTACTGATTCTTCGGCCATTAATCATATTGAATGACCAACTAGATGAACAAGATAAAATATCATAAATTCAATTAAAAATACCAGATTAATTCGATTTTAACATAGAAAGTTTCATGAAATTAAAAGATGTACTAATCTTGGGTAATTATCTTTCAAGAAATTTGGTAAAAGGTAGTTGAGAATTATCTGCACACATTGTCCAAAGATCTACGAAGAGTTCACAAGGGATACATTTTCTTGGCCTTGTTCTTTTTCTTCGCTTTTTTAAATATAGCTAAAAATTATTGGTTTTTTTTTCCATTAAAATATTTCTACCAATGAATGAAGCTTGTTGGTAACTGGGCACCCACAATCTCCATACCATCATGTTCACGTTTGCATTCTTCCATTACCTTACTCTCTTGCCCTTTATGTGCATTCGGGGGGCAAAAAAAATCGTAGTTTTATTTATTTATTTTTTGGTAGGTCTTGACACTCTTGAACAAGAACATAACTGAAGATAAAGAATCAATGGCGAAAAACAAAAAACAAAATGTGAATCTCACTTTTCCTCTTATTTAAGTCCAATTTTAATCTATTAGTGTGTGTACCCGTAAGTCGCAGAGTAGTATATTAAAAAAATTAAATTCAAAATATATGTTTAAAATATTCAACAAGTAAAAATGATGTTGGAACATTTGAAATCGTTCAACAGTTCTTGTTATAAAAACAAAATAAAGTAATTAATAGAATATTTGCTTGGTGATGTTAAAGGGTGCATTTGGATATGCAATTTACGATTATTTGGTTTTCAAGTGATCATTTATGTTATAAAATTTACTTAGAGATAAGTTGAAAAGAGTTTATTTTGATAAATTATACTGAAAAACTTATTAGGATAGGTTAAAAAGAATTTATGAGAATCTATTATTGAAGAAAGAGTTATTGAGCTATGAGTTTGATAGACATATTTATTTTAAATGTCTTAAATAATTTTAAAGATTTTTTTTAACTTATGTATCATTTGATATGTTGTTAATCCACCAAAGTAGGTTAGTTGAAAAAAAAAATTAATCTTTTTATTTTTTTAAGCCATGGCTTATAATTTTAAGTTTTTGGATTTCTACTTCAATTTTTTTTTCTTATGCTATAAATGTAATTGTTATTTTTGTTTGACCTTTTTATTTTCATTTTCATATATTTTTTAGGATTTGAGTTTTGATATCATATTAAGATGTAGTATGTGGCCTCAATTCAAGTATAAGGGTGAGGGAAATGAACATGCTTAAGCTTGAAAGGTCTCTTTATCTAAAATGACTTTAAGTGATTTTAGAGTATGACCATGAGCTCAAACCAATAATGAAAGAGTGTTTAAATTGTAAGTTTGAGAGACTTCTTTGTTTAAAATTATTTAAAATATCTTAAGTAAGTTTAGAGTAAAACCTTCTTATTTATATAATTTTAGATATGTTACTAACTTACCAATGTGAGCATTTATATCTTAACACTCTCCTACTTTCCAACTAACTTTGAACTAGATGAAATTTTCATTTTTATTAATTATTTGTTATTTTTTAGTATGTGCTTGTAAGTTGTAACTTCCAAAAAAAAATTAGTCTCTACCTTAATTTTTTTTATTTTTATTGCTTGGGTTTGTGTTTTGTTTTAAGATATACCACAACTCTAATTTTTTTTATTTGACCTTTTTTTATTTTAAAATTGAGTTTTAATACTTTAAGGTTTTAATACTAGGTCAATTCAATAATGAATGATCGTTTGATATATATCATATAAAACAGACACCAAAAATAAAATTATCATATTCTTTTATTATATTTACCAAACAGATCTAAAGTTAAATAAGCAACCACGCACTGATAAGATCACTTCAAATTGCATTAATTGTCAAAAGCATGATTGTATTAATTGATTCTAAGAGCGGCTAAGTTTTCTCTAATGATCTGAGTCATAATGTTGCTCTTTATGTATAAAGATTCTGCAGTTAAGAATAAAGTAAATACATAATTATATTCAACATTTAAATTAATAAGTTTTAAAATTTATTAAAAGTATTAAGAAAATTAATTTTAGAAAAATATTTTATAAATAACTTAATTAATCTCCACTCCTATATTTATTCTTAGTAAAAACATTCCTAATTTAAATCTAGCTAGCACGCTCTCCCAGCACACACTATAAAAGATTATTATAAATAATATAATAAAAGCTATCACTGTTACTTTAACTTACTTGAAATTGCTTTAAATTAAAATATGCAAGTGTTTGAAGATTATATTAATTGAATTAATTAAGATTAATAAAAATTGATAAAATTTAAGATAAACGATAATAATTTATTGTTTACTTTTGTATATCAATAATTTTTCTAAGTAAATGGAAGTTGATGGAACGGTCAGAATAGGTCAGGAATTTTAATGTATACGGTAAAATGCACGTCTTTGACCTTTTATTAAATAGTTTTGGATATTTTTTATTAAATTGTTTAATAATTTTTTATTGTTTTACGAAATAAGCATTAAATGGAAATATATATTTTTTATTTTAAAAATATAAATATATTTAATATTTTCTTTTTTTAATAATTAAAAAGTTATAAAAATAAAGATAAAATATGAAAAATTATTTTTCATCACAATTCTATGCAACCTGGATTGTATGCCCCACTATACCGTGCTGATATAATCTCCACGACGCGGGTAATTAGGAAATATTTTAATTTGTTTTAGTATTTATTAAAATAAAATTAAAGATAATATTGAATATTACTTTTTATTAATATTTATTTGTTCATATAAATTTTTTTAAGTAAATAAATAAAATATTTATATCAGTAGAGCACTCCATAAGTTAAAGAAAGACTCGATATTAGAAGAATATATTCAGAAATTTACTAAATATAATGATAATAAAATGATTGAGTATTTTAGTTTGTATAACTTTTTTCTCTCTCCGGAGAAATAAATAGGAACAAATAGCCCAATTTTATTGATATAAATTGTTAGAATTAAGTTTAAATATTTCAAATTTAATTTTTATTAAAAATTATTACATAAAAATATAAAAGTATAATTAAAATTTTTTGATAAATTTTTATTTGTTTGGTAATGTTTAAATTAAACTTTAAAGAACTGGTGTTGATAATTTTTCTACATTATATTATAAATAAAATATAATACTTGTTTTTTATTTAAAGATGAAAAAGCCCTTGCTACTGTTGACAAAGACCAAGACTAAGACCAACTCAAAGGACACGGTTGTTGGGTTTCAGTCTTGGACTGACACAGAAAATTTTGCTATAAAATATGTTGTTTATGAATCACAGGCATCTCAGAGCACAACAATGGCCTCAATTTCTCTTCATTACTATTGTGTCCTTCTATTTCTTCCTTTGATTTTGTCTGTGTCTAGCATTAACACTAATTCCAAATGTAGTGTAAACTTAAATTCCTCCCTCACCAACGACACATTTACATGGAATTCAGCATCAGGGGAATTCACCTTTGGTTTCCAGAGTGTTTTATTTGATGACAAGGAGTTCATGCTTGTACTTGCTGTTTGGTTTTCCAATGACCCAAACCATACCATAGTATGGTATGCAAAAAATACAAACCAAAACCCTTCATTTCCTCTTGGTTCCACAGTGAACTTGACAAACAAAGGACTTGTTGTATATGACCCAAAAGGCCATAACACCTGGCATCGTCCAGAAAAAGACAATAATGTAATAGTGTCATGTGCTTCTATGTTAGACAACGGAAGTTTTGTGCTTTTTGACAAGGATGGCAAGTTGATTTGGGAAAGCTTTGAAGAGCCCACTGATACTATTCTTCCAGGCCAAAATCTTGCTAATCACCCGAGTTTCAAAGCCCGTCAATCTGACACAAGTTTTTATGATGGAAGTTTTGAGCTCAATTGGCAACGTGATGGCAATTTGGTTCTTTACTATGCACCACAATCAAGTGATCAAACCACTCAGGCTCCCACACTTGAAGCTTATTGGTCCACTGGAACATACATAACAGATTCACAATTGATCTTTGATGAGGTTGGACAAATGTACATAAAAAGTGACACGAGTGAAGTACTAGTCACAAGTGGTGGATCAAAGGAGTTCATGTACATGGCTAGAATTGACCCTGATGGAGTTTTCAGATTCTATTATCACAGGAAAACTGAGAATGTGATTGCTGGAAGTTGTAGGTCAGGGTGGTGGAGTGAGTTGCAACGGTATCCACAAGATATTTGCCTTGCCTTCACCAAGCAAACGGGAAATATTATTTGTGGTTTCAATAGCTATTGTGTTACCATCAATGGGAAGACCAATTGTGAGTGCCCTGAACAATATTCTCCTTTTAAACATGACAATCTCACAGGTTGTAGACCAGATTTTCCACTACCCAATTGCAACCAAGAGGGGTGGGAGCAGAATACAGATCTTGTTGATTTCAAGGAGTATAAAAATTTGGATTGGCCTCTATCTGATTATGACATGCTAACTGGTCCTGCAATGGATAAGGATATGTGTAGACAAAAATGCCTTGAAGATTGCTTCTGTGCAGTAGCCATATATGATGTGGGAAGATGTTGGAAGAAGAAATATCCTTTGAGTAATGGAAGGAAACACCCTAATGTCACTAGGATAGCTCTTGTCAAGGTACCTAAAACAAGTTTGAACAAGGTTGTGAAAAGAAAATCTACTCTAGTGCTTGTTATATCAATACTACTTGGGAGCTCTGTCTTCCTCAATGTCCTTTTGTTTGTTGCTTTGTTTGCAGCTCTTTTATTTTTCTACCACAAGAAGCTTTTGAATCCAAACTTGTCAACTGGAACAACGAGGTGCTTTACTTACAAGGAGCTTGAAGAAGCAACCACAGGCTTCAAACAAATCTTGGGTCGAGGTGCTTTTGGAACGGTATATAAAGGGGTCTTAACATCATATACAAGTAGATATGTTGCTGTTAAAAGGCTTGATAAGGTGGTGCAAGAAGGTGAAAAGGAATTCAAAACAGAAGTGAGTGTGATTGGCCAAACCCACCACAGGAATTTGGTTCGTTTATTTGGTTATTGTGATGAAGGGGACCATCGGCTTCTAGTCTATGAGTACATGAGTAATGGATCACTAGCAAGATTTCTCTTTGGGATTTCAAGGCCTCATTGGAATCAAAGAGTGCAAATTGCTTTGGGAATTGCAAGGGGTCTCACATATTTGCATGAAGAGTGCAGCACCCAAATCATTCACTGTGACATAAAGCCTCAAAACATATTGCTAGATGATTTGTTCACGCCTAGGATTTCTGATTTTGGGTTAGCAAAGTTGTTGTTGGCTGAGCAAACTCAAGCTGCTAAGACAGGTTTAAGAGGAACAATTGGCTATTTTGCACCTGAATGGTTTAGGAAAGGTTCGATCACAACTAAAGTAGATGTTTACAGTTTTGGAGTGATGTTGTTAGAGATCATATGTTGCAAATCAAGTGTTGACTCTGCAATGGCAAACGAAGAAGAGGTGCTCATAGATTGGGCATATCATTGTTATAGCCAAGGAAATGTGGTTAAATTGGTAGAAAATGATGAGGAGGCAAAGAGTGACATAAAGAGGGTGGAAAAGCATGTGATGGTGGCAATTTGGTGTATTCAAGAGGATCCTTCACTAAGACCCTCCATGAAGAAGGTCACCCAAATGCTAGAGGACGTTATCACAATTTCTGTGCCACCTCGTCCTTCCATGTTCAGTTCATCATCGTTTAGAACTTCATTTACCTAGTAGCAGTTGAGCATTTTCTATTATTTTAGTTCTTAGTTGTATTTATTTATTTATGTAGTCTATCTATGAATAATGATTCTATACCAAGATGCGTTGTGGTGTTAGTTGCATGTTTAGTCAAGTCTGTTGAGTTGGAGATGCTAAGCAATAGGAGAAGTACTGGTACCAAAACGAATTAATTGAAATTTGAAAAGTAACATATGAGAAAAAGGCAACGTTAAAGACTATTGGTTAATTTTTTTTCAATAAATAACTATAGCTTAGTTAACGATTTATTAAAAATTTATTTATGAGAGACAGTCACTGCAAACGAGCAATATCTCTTCAAGTAGTTTATTAACCCACACTAATAACAAGCTCTAGTGCCACTCAAGCAAGTCCTTGAGTGGAACTTGTTACAAGTAGAACAAGGAATGAAAGTAGCATTAAAATTTTTCTGAGAATGACAGGTCCATAATGATCCCCTGACTGACCTGTGACTATATCTTGTCCTGAAAGATTGTCTACCAAAACTACTCTTTTGCATTACTGCTTTCTACTTTGAATGATCTTGCCACACTCGCTCAAGTGACTTCTTTGCAGCTCCTGTACTCGTAACTTGTTACAAGAGTTTTGTGTTAGTCCCACATCGGTGGGAGTTTCAATTGGGAGGACCCCTCTTCCTTATAAATATAGGCTTATGGTCCCCATAACAATCATTCCAAAAAATCTTCTCCCCCACTAATTTTGTATTACACTGAGCTTGTACTTGGTAGTAGTAGTCTCCTATTTTGAGGAGCAAATTTTAGAGTGAGGAGTGGTGTAATATTTTTTCTTCCAGAAAATATTTTTTTTTATAAGTATTGTTTCTCTTTTAACTCTTATTTTTCTCATTTTTATTTTAGTTAGTGTGTTATTATACTGGTATTCTGGTCTTAACAGTGGTATCAGAGCCACTATGTTGTTTATATTATTTCGATGTAGTGTACATTGGTATAGTGCTAGAGAAAATTCTTAGTATGCTCTGTGGTTGCAGTATTGTCTGATCTGCTATATCAGAAAAAAATTATTCTTGTTACTGGGTATATAATTTTGGTAGTGTAAAAGTGCATATATAGTGTGTACTTATTCACAGTCTACCATTATTATTGTTTCAGTAGGTAGTACTATTCACAGTGAAAGTTACATAAGTCGGTATAATTAAGAGAGAAATTATGGCAGCAAAATATGAGATATAGAAATTTCATGAGAGTAATTTCTCCTTGTGGAAATTAAAGATAAGAGCAATTTTGAGGAAAGATAATTGTCTTGATGCAATTGAAGGCAGACCTGCAGATATTTTAGAAGAAAAATGGGGAGAAATGGATAACAATGTTGTTGCCAATTTGCACTTAGCATTGGCAGATTCAGTGTTATCCAGTGTTGCAGAGAAGAAGACTGCAAAGGAGATTTGGGACACACTGATCAAGTTGTACGAGGTCAAGTCACTTCGCACCAGAATATTCTTGAAGAGGAAACTCTACACTCTTTGAATGAGTGAGTCCACATCAGTAACGGACCACATCAACAATCTGAATACGCTGTTTGCTCAGCTTACAGCCGCAGATTTCAACATAGTAGAAAATGAACGTGCGGAGCTTCTACTCTAGAGTTTACCAGATTCATATGATCAACTCATCATCAATATAACAAACAACAACATTATCGGTCGTCTATCCTTTGATGATGTTGTTGGAGCAGTTCTTGAAGAAGAATCCAGGCGAAAGAATAAAGAAGATAGACTTGAAAATTCTAAACAGGCAGAAGCATTGACGATGATGAAAGGAAGATCAATGGAACGTGGTTCTAGTGGGAGCCAGAATCATGGTAGATCAAAATCTCAGAGAAGGAAGAACCTCAAATGCTACAACTGTGGCAAGAGAGGGCACGTGAAGAAAGATTGTTGGAACAAGAAGAGTGGAGGAGGGAAGAATATTGAAGCATCAACCTCTCAAGGTTGTGTTGCAAGTATCTCAGATGATGGTAAAATCTTATATAGTGAAGCAGTAAAATCTAGAGGTGGAAGACAACTTCATGAATGTTGGATATTGGATTCAGGTGCAACCTGACACATGACTCCATGTCGAGACTGATTTTACAATTATGAACCTATCTCGGGAGGATCCGTGTTCATGGGAAATGATCATGCCCTAGAAATTGCTGAAATTGGTACTGTCAAATTGAAAATGCATGATGGTACTGTTCGAACAATTCAAGGGGTACGACATGTGAAGGGCTTGAAAAATAATTTATTGTCCGTTGGGCAATTGGATGACCTTAATTGCAAGATCCACATTGCAGGTGGAATTTTGAAAGTGGTTAAAGGCAACTTGGTGGTGATGAAAGCAGAAAAGATCACAACCAATTTATACATGCTTTTGGGAGATACATTGAAAGAAGCAGATGCATCAGTTGCAATTAGTCAAGAAGAAGAAACAATGATGTGGCATCGTAGACTTGGTCATATGTTAGAACGAGGCCTGAAAATTCTAGCAGAACGTAATCTCTTGCCTGGACTCAAAATGGTAACCTTACCATTTTGTGAGCACTGTGTGACAAGTAAGCAGCATAGATTGAAGTTTGGCAACGTGACTACAAGAAGCAGACACATACTGGACTTGATTCATTCTGATGTATGGGAATCACCGGAAGTATCTATTGGAGGAGCAAAATATTTTGTATCATTCATTGATGATCACTCAAGGAGATTATGGGTGTACCCAATCAAGAAGAAGTCAGATGTGTTTTCAGTGTTCAAGGAATTTAAAGCACTAGTAGAACTTAAAACTGGGAAAAGAATTAAGTGCTTAAGGACAGATAATGGAGGAGAATATGTAGATGGTGATTTTCTGGCATTTTGCAAGCAAGAGCGTATTTCAAGGCAATTCACAGTGCCTTATACACCTCAGCAGAATGGTATAGCAGAGCGGATGAACAGAACTCTTCTAGAAAGAACAAGAGCTATGCTAAGAACAGCAGGAGTGGCTAAATCTTTCTGGGCAGAAGCAGTGAAAACTGTCTGTTATGTAATAAACCGATCACCATCAACAACAATTGGTTTAAAGACACCAATGGAGATATGGAATGGAAAGCCACCTAATTATTCTTCATTACATGTGTTTGGATGTCCTGTGTACGTAATGTACAATTCCCAAGAAAGAACAAAACTGAATCCAAAATCCAGGAAATGTATATTCTTGGGTTATGCTGACAATGTTAAGGGGTATCGCTTGTGGGATCCTACTGCCCACAAGGTTGTTGTTAGCAGAGGTGTAGTCTTTGCAGAAAATGAACTGTAAAAGGAGCAGAAAGATGACAGTACTACCAAAGACACTACTTTAGTAGTGATAGAAAGGAAGGCTAATGAAGATGATAACTCTAAAGCAGAACAAGAGCACAGAGAACAAGAACCAAATGATGCCAATGATAGAGAAACTCAACAAACAAGACGTGAGATAAGGAGACCATCTTGGCACTCAGACTATGTGATGGCAAGTCACGATGCATATTGTCTTCTAACAGATGAAGGAGAACCATCAACCTTTCAAGAGGTTGTGAGCAGTTCAGATGCTTCTCTGTGGATGGCAGTAATGCAGGAAGAAATGAAAGCCTTACATAGAAACAAGACATGGAAACTTGTAACACTTCCAGAAGGTCGAAAAGCCATTGGAAACAAATGGGTTTATAAGATTAAACGTGATGGCAATGATCAAGTGGAGCGATATCGTGCAAGACTGGTGATTAAAGAATTTGCTCAGAAAGAAGGCATTGATTTCAATGAAATATTTTCTCCAGTGGTTAGACTTACCACTATCAGAATAGTGTTGGCTATGTGTGCTACGTTTGATTTACATCTTGAACAATTAGATGTAAAGACTGCTTTTCTTCATGGTGAACTTGAAGAGGAAATATATATGCTCCAACCAGAAGGTTTTGAAGAACAAGGAAAGGAAGACTTGGTTTGCAGGTTGACCAAATCTCTGTACGGTTTAAAACAGGCGCCAAGGTGTTGGTACAAGAGATTTGATTCCTTCATTGTTAGCCTTAAATACAACAGACTGAGTTCAGACCATTGTACGTATTATAAGAGGTTTGGTGATAATGATTTCATCATTTTGTTGTTGTATGTGGATGACATGCTGGTGGTAGGCCCTAGCAAAGATCGAATCCAAGAATTGAAGGCACAATTAGTTAGGGAATTTGATATGAAGGACTTGGGACCAGCAAACAAGATTTTAGGGATGCAAATACACCGAGACAGAAAAGATAGGAAGATTTGGCTCTCCCAAAAGAATTATCTTCGTAAAGTCTTGCGGCGCTTCAATATGCAAGACTGTGAGCCAATCTCTACCCCACTTCTTGTCAGTTATAAATTATCCTCAAGTATGTGTCCTAGCAATGAAGCAGAGAGGATGGAAATGTCTCGAGTACCGTATGCATCAGCGGTGGGAAGCCTTATGTATGCCATGATTTGTACTAGAGTAGACATTGCACAAGCAGTGAGAGTCGTCAGTAGGTACATGACAGATCCTGGTAGAGAGCATTGGAATGTTGTAAAGAGGATCCTTAGATACATAAAAGGAACCTCTAATGTTGCATTATGTTTTGAAGGATCAGAATTTATTGTGAAAGGCTATGTTGATTCAGATTTTGCAGGAGATCTGGATAAAAGAAAATCTACTACTGGTTATGTGTTTACACTTGCTGGAGGGGCAGTAAGCTGGTTATCTAAGTTACAGACTGTTGTGGCTTTGTCTACTACAGAAGCTGAATACATGGCAGCTACTGAGGCATGCAAGGAAGCAATCTGGATTCAAAGGCTATTGGAGGAACTTGGGCACAAACAGCAGACTATTACTGTGTATTGTGACAGTCAAAGTGCTTTGCATATTGCAAAGAATCCAGCTTTTCATTCTAGAACAAAGCACATAGGTATACAATACCATTTTGTTCGTGAAGTAGTAGAGGAAGGTAGAGTGGATATGCAAAAGATTCATACCAAAGATAACATAGCAGACATAATGACAAAGCCAGTGAATAATGACAAATTTACATGGTGTCAATCCTTGTATGGCCTATTAGGAATATAAGCAACATGTAATTGTAATATATATATTAGTAATGTGTGTGAAGATATGATTAGCTTAATCATAATCTTCAAGTGGGAGAATTGTTAGTCCCACATTGTTAGTAGATAACATAATTTTCTTCTTAAAGCATTATTTCTAACTTTGAAAATTCACTCAAAACTATTTATGTAAAAAAGAAAAATAAATAAATTATAAGAATTTTTCATAATCTCAAAAGAATGACTTTTAATTATTAAAATCGACTTTTCCACCTTACATTCAATTCAATAACTAATATTTTTTTGTAAAAATAAGTATTATTAAAACATATATAAATATTTAAAACTAAAATGAATTTTTAAAAATAAGTTTTTATTCAAATATTATATATACTTTCTCTATTCAAATAATGTCATTTTACACATCTATTATATTTTTGTTGCTTATTAAATAAAATTGTAGAATGAAAAACTTTATTTTAACAATTAAAAAGTTACGAGAACTGATATAACTAAATAGAATAAAAGGAGACTAAATTTTCACATAAATAATATTTGAGATTAAATTATAACCGTACCAAAGTAAAAGATTGAAAAAAACAAGACAATCATAAACTAAGAATTTTTTAATAAAAATAGAAAAAAATTTATTTTTAAAAGTTTTCAAAAAATATATTCATTATAATTGCCAAAATAATACATTATTTTTATTTTTTTTCTTTTCAATATTTATACATGTGTTTTTGTTTGTTTTTATTTTGCAAAAAGTTAAAATATAAAGAAATTTTAAAAATTAATATCTATACATAAATTGTGAGAATTCATTCTTAGCAATAGTATTAAAAATGCAAGCATTTTTATGATTAGTTTTCTTATTATATTAAATGAATTATTCTATTTTACACATTTAATTTTTAATTTAGTAATAACTAAAATTTTAAATTTATATGTTTTTATGTAATAAAATATTTGTTATTAATAATTAAAATATTTACTTTTTAAATTTTTTAAAAAGCTTATATTACACTTTTTAGTCTCTAGATTTCAACGTACATTCAGTTTTGGTTTCTTTAGTTTCATTTATTCACATTTATTCTTTTTATTTTTACAAATATTTAAATTAAGTTATTCACCTAATATTAAGAATTTTATTTTATTATATATATATATATTATTTATTATTAAATAAATCAATAAAATATTGTATTTTTATTATATTTTTACTAATTATTAGATAAAATTTTAGAATAAAAAACTGAATTTGAGCATCTTAAAAAATTAAAAAGACTAAATGTGAGCTATTAAAAATAAGAAAACTAAAATTGCAGAGACAAAAAAATATAATTAATCTTTTATAAAATTTATCCAGTTTTTAAAAAATAATAACCCATTTAAAAATTATAATTCTTTTATTTCGCTAAGTGAATTTTTCTACATTAATATTTATTTTTTAATTTTAAATTTTTTTATTTAATTTATTAAATAAAACATAATATTTATTATTAATAATTATATCATATATTTTTTAATTTTATCATTTATTAAATTTAGTGTAGTCATATTTTTAATTATTTATTTATCTATTAAACTTTATTTTAATTAATAATATACGTGTAATTTACAGAAAAATTACTAGTAATAATAAAAACGCATTCCCTTAAAAAAATTGAAAAGAAAAACACAGACAGTTACCGATTATTATATTTTTGTTTATTTTTCAGTTTTCATCTCAACTTACGTAAAACAGAAAATTTAAAAAATATAATTTGTTTTTCTGTTTCTTATCACGAAAAATCTGAACTGATAAAATTTAATGTTGGGTTATAAAAGTATAGTATTAGGGTTTTTGTTCGTTCATAAGCAGAACACAGTACTGCCGCAAAGCCACGCCAAGCAAAACGCGAAACACTGTTTCGATAGTGTCGCCTCTCTCATTTCATCGAACACTTGAAAGGCACACACACACAGCCATAATGGGAGGGAAGAAGAAGAAGTTCATCGATAAGAAGAACTCTGTTACCTTCCAACTCATCGCTCGCGACTCCTCCGATCCTTCCTTCTCCCTCTCCGACCGCGTCTTCGTCCGTGTCGACAACAACCCCGTTTCCTTCGCCGCCGTCGACGACGCCGTTTTCGACGATGCCGATAATGACGACGACGATGTCGGAATTAGTGGCGGTCCCTTGCCGGAGGAGGTGAGGAGGGAGATTCTGGAGATGGGGTTTCCAGATGATGGTTATAACTACTTGAGCCACTTGAGAGAAATCAAGAATACTGGCGCTGGTTCTTCTTTCTTTCACAACCCTAAGTTCAAGCTTCACCACCTTCCACGTGATGTTAAGGTGCTCCTTTTTGAAACTGAAGTTTGTTGGTTTTCTTCCATTTGAATCTGTTTCTTCTGTTTGTTTTGCGTGCATTTTAATTGAACAGTGTTTTCGAGTTTCGTTTCTGATGTTTAAGAGTGTCAAATAATAATAGAAAGTTATGGATGAAATTGTCAGCCATAGTATTTTTTTCCTTTTTACTCTTATGAGTTTGGGAGCGAACCGTTTTGGTGTTTTAATTGTGAGGCCAATGAAATTAATTATTATGCATTAATTTCTTCTTGGTCCAGATTGTGCATGAATCTAAAGGGGGATATATTGATTCTCTTTTATAAAAATGAATAAATAATTTTGTTGTGCGTTGAAATATGTACTAATTGAGTTTTATGTTGGCGAGTATAGGCATACGATGCTTCGAGATTGCAAATTTTGGAGGCAGGGGGAGAGCCTGAGGAGAACACAATATACAGTGTTGCGTCCAAGACTACTACCATAAGGGTTCAGAAAGCAGTTGATCCTGAAGTCGAAGCGTTGCTTGATGATAGTGATTTGTCACGGTTTGGCTCTGATGTAGAAGATTTGGAAGAAGATTTTGTTGTCCAGGCCAACCTCCATGAAGGTGAAGATGATGGGGAGAAGAAGGATCTTAGGTCCAATGGAATGAATTATGCTGAGGAACCTGTGATAAACAATGCACAAGTACTGCAAGTTTCTGCTCATTCCAGGGTTGCAGTTGATGATGGACCATTGGATGGGGAAACAAATGGTGTAACAGGAGTGGACTCTGCTGTTGACAAGCCAAGAGCTCGTCGTTTGTTGGATGAGCAATTTGATTTGGTGAGTTTTGATATCATTCATAATATTTTTTCAGTCTATATTTTTTTTTATTCTTTAATGCTTTCTCTTTACAAATTATCTTTTCTAATGAAGTATGATTTGAGCCTCTTTGTTACTGGTATCTGAGGAGGACATCTTTGCCAATTTCCATCCCTTATTGTAATTGCAAGTATACTGCCTTTATTGACTGCCTCTGAACTTTTTTACCTTTCCGATTCTTATTCTCGGTATATTTCTGTTGTAGCTTGAACGCCAAGAATATGGAAGTGACTATGACTATGATGATGGTGGTGATTATTATGAAAATTATCAAGCTGATGAAGATGAGTCCCTTGCTGAGAAGCTCAAACTTTCTCTTAACAACCATGTGATGGATGATCTAGAGCTTGATGATGGCAATTATAAGGTTCCTGCAGATTTATTGAAGAATAAAGAGGCCCCAAATGAGGAGCAAGAGGACTCTGTGGCTGATGTGATTCGTCGTTGCAAGGAATATGCTGAGGGGTATGAAGATGAAGACAAGGACGTTGTACTGGTAGAAGAAAGTAGTGATGATTCAGAAGTTTGGGATTGTGAGACTATTGTTTCTACCTACTCAAATTTAGATAACCACCCTGGAAAGATTGAAACACCTGGAATAACTAGGAAAAAGAAGCTGGCTGAAACTGTGACTGCAGCCTTGAGTTCCTCAGGTCAAATAATATCCCTTAGAGGAAAAGAGAAACTCCCTGTAGACTTCTTGCCTGGTGGTAGGAAGCCTGCCACTGAGAAGGTTAAAGGCCCAAACACTGCAAGTAGTGAACAGTACAAGAGAAAACAACATGGGCTAGAGTCAAAAGAGGAGAAGAAAGAACGGAAGGTATCTGTATTATAAATTTGACTCTATGATGCTTCATTTATACAGTCAGTCATTGTCAACATCTTACTGAGACTTACCAGCTGTGGTTTCCCTAAGAATAATACCCATGTTTATGTTTGGCTTTGTTTTGTAGGCTGCTGTAAAGGAGGAACGACGTGAAGCTCGTCGCATTAAAAAAGAAACAAAAGGGCTTTATAGATGTGAAGCACATCGGGCACAGAGAGCTGCTGCTGTATCCGGTCCTTCTTCCATTCATCTTATGTAAGTTAACGATACAAGGGAAACATTGGTTGTTACAAATATTCTTATAATATAAGACGTGGCTTTCTGTTGAAGGCAAAAGTAGATCAATACATAGTAGTTAATAGTGTCCATTAGGCAGCGCTGTCCTGCCATTCTGGTACGGTCTCATGCTGTACTTAGAACTATTAGTATACATTATTAATACATGGTCCTGATAGATAGAATCCAAACTAGAAAGAATCTGAGGAAGAGTGACATGCTCCAATCTATCTTGGACACTTGATCTGGCTTCAAGCTTTTACCAGAGAGCAAAAAATCAGATTGGGAGTAATCCAAGAAAATCCAGTTTGCACTTTGCAGGAGAAAGGTAGAAAACAGAAAACAATGGCAAGCTTGCTCATTTGGAGGGGTTTGTCTTATGGCAACTATAGAAAAATCACTTGTTAATTATCAAACTAAGCAATATGTTTGCAATATTACAAAGAAAAGGAAAAGAAAAAACACAGAAATTATTATTTTCCTTTTATTCTTGCCTTCTGTTCTGTGTTGTGCTGTTAATCTATTATTAATGTATACATCTTTCTTGCTATTTGTTCTGAGTTGAGTTCTGATGGTATTTATCAGAATTCCACTTCAAAAGGTTGACAGGCCATTCGTGTTTTGTACAATACTATCTTCATCATATACTAGGAGTATATTTAAGAATTGGTTTGATATTCCAAAAATTTAGAGCATTTATGATTGGATATTTTTCGGTGAGAGTTTGACATATTCTCTAATGTCAACTTTTGACGCAGGTTTTTATTTCAGAATCACAAACAATATTCTGCTAATCAATGCTAAGCATGTTAAATTAACAAGACAAATTAGAAGGGAAACAAACAGCTTAAAGCCTTAAACCTATATAGGCCTCAACATTCATGCTTTCAGCTTAAATACAATTAGATCGTTTTATTTCATTAGTGTTAATATTTAATTTTTCTTATGTCTAAGTAGAGTCCATAAGAACCTACCCCTTTCTTCACACACAATGACAGACATCATTAAGAAACTAGAGACTCTAAATATCTTATCCAAACACACTGTTAATGTATTGGTATAGTATAGTTAATATATTTAGGCTTGTAAACAGCTGACCTGTAATGTGTTCATGCTCACATTATATAGTTGACTAAGATAGGGATGATATCATTTTAATAGTGAACCGGCCTAGTTCTTCCATGAATGAAAACAAACTAAATTTCAATTAATGCCCCAAAGTGATATTATCATTTTGTCTCGTTTCTCACTTTGTATGAGAGGGTGCAAATGTTATGGCTCATGTGATTTCCTGTGTGCTGACTGTGTTTTCCTTGATTTATCTCTGTAGGTAAGTTAACAGTTAAAAGTGCCAGCTTCTCACTTGTGTGTCTGCCATCCCACTTCTGTAAAGCTTGCGAGTTGGATGACATCTTCATACGTCATCACGAAGTTTTGCTGCAGGAATACTGAACTGGTTGTTGCGGGTCTTGTTGCCCAAGCAATAGTGTTCAAAGTTTTGATGTTATTCTTATATACATAATGTTAAGCAAGAATTTTCACTTTGTTTTTGCGGGTAGTTGTTGTTTTTGTTTTGTAGAAGAAAGTTGGGCAACTGTACTTTTGTATTGCCTAAATTGTACACGCTTCATATGCAAATAGTTTTAATCATATTTCGTTGAGTTGAGTTATGTGGTTTACTGATCAAAGGCTAACAATTATATTTTATGACTTGGGGCAAATATTGTGGTATATGTAGCCAACCTGTAATTTAGTCATGTAGAAGATTTGGAATTTTGGAGCTAATTTGAACTTTTGAAGAGCCCACTTATACTATTCTGCCCAGCCAGATTTCATATTTATTGAATGGAATTCAATGTATGCTTTTATTTTGCATGAATGACAATAACAATTGAACAAAAGTGCTTTACCTTCAGCAAGAAGTGAGGCCCAAATAATACTAGCAAAGCACACGAGATATTATTTTCAACCCAAAACAAAATGTAGACATTCACTTGAATTGTATACATTTTCAATGCACGCTAATTATATTACTCGGTGGATTGTTTAAAAGTAAAAGAAAACCTGACAATGACTTCCGTCGTTTGGGGCACACTTTCTCTTTTGTGGGAACTTTACTTTTCTTTTTTGTGAGGGTCTTTTACTAATTGTAGGTGAATCTTTTCATCACCACTTTGTGAGATTTTTCTATCTTATTCATAGGTCCATCATTTCTTCCTCAGATACCTCTTCATTCATCATCAGAATTCTACTATTTGATCCTATCAAATCTGTTGCAATGTCGTTGTGGCTCTTTTATTGTCTTTCCATCATTTGTCCAAGCAATTGTAATAGTTCTTATTGCTAGAAGGTAAAAACTCTGTTGCTTTGGGTTCTTGTTGGACATATGCTAATTTTGAAGAAAGAAAAAATGAAGAAAAAAGACCTTTTTTCTGATCGTAAGATTCTTCTACACGGAAGACTTCTGTTTTAGTTATCATTTTGTTGTGTAAGAGTGTTTTTTGGGACCGCTAAATAGTTTTTAAATTTCAGCATGCATGCTTGTTTAATGCTATTCAAAAATTTATCCAGTCATGTGAAGCATGTCTTGGATACAAATATGAAACAGTTGCCCATGATTTTGTTCAGGTTTATAGCCGTTACCAATACCTTAGAGAGTGCGATAAAGTGTGGTTATGAATTTTGTTTAAGGTTCTCCAAAATCAAACGATAAAGACACTGTTTGAATTATTGTTGATCAAATAAGTAAATATGCCTACTTTATCCCTTTGGCTTACTTTTTAACTGTCTCTTAACTTGTCCAAATCTTTATAAGTCAAGTATTCAAACTACATAGTACACCAACCAATATTGTTAGTGATAAAGACCGAATATAAAAATGTAAATTTTAGTATGCTTTTCTCCAATAGTTAGGAGTATCTCAGAGCCTTTCCTCTTCCTACCACCCTCAATATTGATGGTTAGAGTAAAGCTCTTAACAAATGTTTAGAATAGTTCCTTTGCTGCATGGTTTTAGATTCTCTACAAGATTGGATGAAATGGTTTCCGTTGCAGAAATGGTTATCAATTATCACACTGCCACATGCCATACTTCTCATGAAATGGCATATGGTCAGCCATCTCTTATTTATCTTCCCTACATTTTCCAAGAATGCTTTGTGAATGTTGTTAATGGCCTTTACAACTAGGAAGCTAACGCTGCAAAAAAGTAATTTGCAAAAGACCACTCACATAATGAAACAAGTAGTTGATAAACATAGACATAATGTGAATTCAAGATTGGTGACTGGGTGATGTTGAAGCTTTAACTTTATTGACAACATATTCGCCTAATGAAAATTGAAAAGTTTACATCTCGCTACTTTTGGGCCTTATCAAAATCTATACATGGTAGGACTTGTTGATTACACACTAAAATTGCCAATGCAAAATCCACCATACATTTCACGTTTCATACTCAAACCATGTAAAAATCTAAAAATTCCCCTTAAGACAAGTTCCAACCGAACGAGGTTATCTAAACACTCGGAAGTTACCCTCCCAGATATTGGGCAGGAGGATGGTTCAAAGGCAACACAAAACCATCACTTTAGTTTCGTAATAATTATTTATTTGAGTTTGAAGGTTGAACTAGGACCAGCTGATATTTGTATAATACTATCCCATTAGTGATTAATGTGAGCTATTGTATAAATTTTTGTATTTGATGTATCAAATTGGTGTTTACTCTTCAACTTTACACATTCGAGTACCTAATTTTCTTGTTCGATCCTAAACGACCATGGGTTAGAATGTGAAAATTGACGTTTTTTCTTAGGACTTCGGGGAGGGTACTCTTCGGTATGATTAGAAGTTTAGTTTTGAAGATGGATTTCTTTTAGTTTTTAATAAATATAATCTAATTTTTAGAAATAAAAAAGTAAAATGATTGATTGATATAAACTTAATGAGGTAATTATTTATTTATTATATATATCTTAAATTTAAAAATGAAACATTATATAACACCATCGGAAATTATGGTATCTGATGAATGTTCTGAAACTTGGGTATTAAACGTTTGGAATCAGATTATGGGTCTCGAAAGGAGAGGTCTTCTAAGTCGTCATCGTGATATTCGTATTAATATTGGTTAAATGCATGTGTTTCCCTAAACTTAAGAATTATACGATTTTAATATTCGATTTTAACGTTAATTTTTAATTTATAGAGGAAGATTGGTATAAACAATCAAATCTTAGAGTTAAAATTGCATTATCTTACGCTGAACGTTGATGAGACAGTCACCGAAATTGTCCATGTTCTGTCTCGTGTTAGCTTACTTAACAACCCACAAAAACATGTTTGGAATGCTTTGGTTAGGCCAGTTTAGATTATCTTCCACGTGTTTTTGTCCTTTTGCTCAATAACTGTGATTTACCCTTCGTTATTCAACCCCACCACACCATCTCCAAGTTGTCCTTTTCCATTTATATTTGAGAACATTTTTAATATTAAATTAATAAAAAAAGATACTTTAAGTAAAATTATTTAAATAAGAATGATAATAGATATTTTTGAATAACAATAAATATATCTATAGTTATGTTGTTAATTTTTTTTTTTAAAATGGTCTCACTCTTAAGATTTGGAGTTCCTTTTATATTAAGTTGTTGGCAATTAGTTCTGTACTTTCTTTTCAATGTTCTGCTGCTGGGAAGCTTAAGGTTAATGTGGGGTTATTTCTTATTTTTAAAGCAGGGTTTTTGATAATTTTATCATCTCTTCAAAGGCTTAGTTTAGGATTTCTTATTTGTTATTATTAGTTTATATGATTATTTGCTTAATAGCTTGTGTTTAGAAAGACTACAGTGTGCAGGATGCAAGAATTAATCATTGTCATATTATTTAAGAGTGTGAGATTTATATTTTCTTTACTTTATCCAGAACGAAGATTATCTAATTTCATTTTAATTTAAGCATGATGTAAAACGATAAATTCAAAATATACTTTTCTTTTTGTTCTTATAAAATTAGGGCTAAAAAGAGAGATTTGAATTTGTAAAGAAGAAGCAGCTCTTCTACTTAGTGAAGCAATAGTTGAGTTGTTTGGTAAGTGTGAATTTGTTTCATCTTTTCAATTGTTTTTTCCTCGGAGCCTCTCTTTCTTGGCCATGTTTTGTAAAACGACAATGAAAATAGATTTTGGGTCTGATTTTTTGGGTTTCTGTGATGGGATTTATTGGATTCACTGATGCGAATCTCAATTTGTTTAAATAAAAATAAAAATGAACGATTTTATTTCTGAATCTATAATTTGTACGTAATTGGGACATGTGAAACTCCATTCTCTCAATAAAGCAAACAAGTTCTATATCATTTGAAAAATTTGTTATAAAAATTCTTGTAAAAAAAAAGTGGATAATTTTAAAAAATTCTAATAAGTATTATTAAGATATTAAATAAATTTTTTTATAAAATAGAATATTTAATCTTATCAGTATAATTCTATTATAATATTCAAATTCATGTAGTAATTTACATGTCTTTTAAAAAACAGTCTTTTTAACTTTTTTTTAAATAATAGTCATTTTACAATTTTAAGGTAATTTTTTATATTTTATCTTTAAAATAATTACCTTCTCAAAACTTATTTTTTATCTTCTCTATTCGTTTCTGCATAAATGAATTTTAAAATAAGTATAATAATAAATTTTATAATTCTTTTAATAAAAAAATATAATTAAATGCATTTTTTAGTTTTTGTGCTAAAACCTTTAAATGACTATTTTATAAAAATGGAAGGAATATTTTGAAACACATTCCTTCTTATTATATTGTTTTAATTTTAAATACTTGAAACACATTCCTTCTTACGTCTAACATTTATTTTATTTCTCAGTTGAATATGAAACTGTTGATTATATTTTACAAAATGATTATTAGTTTCTTAAAATAAAGAATATTTTTCTATAATTATACTTATATATAATTATTATAATATAATATTTTTGCCTTATTAATAAATTATATGATTTTTCTAATAATATTAACAATATTTGAAATCTTGAAAACGTCTTAAACCTCTTTAGAGATTTTTTAGATTAATTAATTAAAACTAATTTTTATTAATATATTAAAATTAAAATATACTTTAAATAAATATAATCTAAAATAATTTTATTGACCAATCACATAACATGCAAGTATATATCTCTGTGTAGTGTATATATTAAAGGTGCATTGTGCGTCTTGCAGAAGGACCCCACTGGCAACGCACTATGTTAGCAGCAGATGTAGTTGGACAAGACACTACTTTGGTGAGACAAATAACAATAAATTGCATTCCACAAGTCAATTACAAAGTCCCACCAAGCATCTGTTTTTATTTGCTTCTTCATCCTTTAATGGCTTTTGTGCAGATCCTGTGGTCATGTACTAATCATCTTAAGCATCAAGGTTGTATTAGATTTGGATACCCACATGACAGGATCAGTAGGAGAAGGTGTTTGGTTAGAGTTGAAGGTGGGAATGGGATGGTTCTACAAAATTTTGAGCATGGAAAGAGGAAGCTGAGAGTGTTAGTTGCTGGTGGAGGCATTGGTGGCCTTGTTTTGGCTTTGGCTGCAAAGAATAGAGGGTATGAAGTGAAGGTATTTGAGAAGGATTTGAGTGCAGTTAGAGGAGAAGGTAGGCATCGCGGCCCAATTCAACTTTTGAGCAGTGCTCTTGCTGTGTTGGAAGCCATTGACCAGAATGTTGCAAGGCAAATAATTGAGGCTGGTTGTGTCACTGGCAATAGGACTAATGGCTTTGCTGATGGTTTATCTGGGGAGTGGTATGTTGTGGTTAATTTGTTATGTTTGCTCCTTTTTTTTTCCCCCTTTGGTTTCTAATTGACATTCTTTGGTTTAATCAGAAGATTGGAACATCTTAAACAATACATGGTATAATATGTTACTTTGATCAGATGAGACTGTGTTTCAATATGATTGAAAGAAACAATTGTGTGTAACTCGTTATATACTTGACATCAATTATGAGTTTTGTCTCTGTCTCATATTAGATATCACTTAGTATTGATATACACATCTTCAGAAAATAAATTGATTTCACTAAAATATCTCTGCTAAAAGTGAAGTTATTCCAATAGTTAGGTGATAATTAATCATGGACTTGTTTTAGTTGTTAGTTCGCAAAAACTATCCCTAAAAAATAAGGGTATTATTGAATAAAAATGATACTTTCGTGATATTTTAAAGTGACAAATAATTGAGACAAAAAGTGCTCAAGTGAATTTTATTATGAGACAAAGGGAGTATGTTAATCCAGTATTCCCAAGGCTTGTAGTTGAAGGGGGCTTCTGAGGTATTGGATTCTTGCAGTTTTCTTTATATAGCTCATGAAAATATTGGAAGGCGTGAGGGCCTAAGGGTAGGGGGATTTGGTTAGATAAATTGTGTTATGATTTTCACTCTCTTTACACTTCAGGTTCACTGAGTTTGATCTTTTGACTCCTGCTTCAAGGAAGGGGCTTCCTGTTACTCTAGTCATATGTAGAATGACACTTCAAGCCATATTAGTGAATGCAGTTGGTTCCAACATACTTAGAAACAAATCTAAAGTTGTGGATTTTATTCAAGAACCTAACAAGGTATGAGTTTCTCCGACCAATTAATTTCTCACTGCTTATAAAGGTTGTATTCCAATTTTGAATAATTTTTTCATTCACCGTCAGGTTAGAGTGATCCTTGAAAATGGAGAGCATCATGATGGAGATATTTTAATAGGGGCAGATGGAATATGGTCAGAAGTAAAATATACCATCCTTTCCTTATATGTTTTATTTTCCAATGAGTTTCTTTTCCTCTTTGCTTTTGTCATTCAATCTATTTTATTTGTTTTCTGAGGTTCGTTCCAAACTCTTTGGGTGGCAAGAAGCAAAGTACTCCGGTTTTACATGCTATAGTGGATTAACAAACTATATGCCTCCATACATTGATACTATTGGGTAGGTGTAGGTGCTTCTCTCTCTCCCAAATGACATTTTAGTATATTCAATTTCATAGACTTCTATTGTTAAATAAAAAATGTGCACTACTATTGAACTTTTGAAGGAAGGAAAATCATATTTCAATAATTCAACGTACTAAAAAGGAAAATCATATTTTAATAATTCAACATACTAAAAATTTTTAGCATGAAAGGCAAGAATGAATTTTAGTTTTACCTCAAGCAACAATTCTATGAACTGTTCCACACTTACACTGTTTTATGTTGTTCTTCTTCGGTTACTAAACTTGAAGGTATCGTGTGTTCCTGGGGTTGAACCAGTACTTTGTTGCTTCAGATGTTGGCCATGGGAAGATGCAATGGTATGCTTTCCATGGAGAACCCCCTTCAAGTGCTTCTTTCCCAGAAGGTATCTTAACACAGTGTGTCTCAATTGCTATGGTAATTTAAACAAATTCATTTGTCTAAGTCATGGCAGGTAAGAAAAAGAGGCTTTTGGATCTCTTTGGTAATTGGTGCAATGAAGTGGTCACACTCATATCAGAAACACCAGAGCACATGATTCTGCAGAGAGATATATATGATAGAGACATGATCAACACTTGGGGAGTTGGGAGAGTGACTTTGTTAGGCGATGCAGCACATCCAATGCAACCAAATCTTGGTCAGGGTGGATGTATGGCAATAGAGGTTGGTCATTTGCAATTTTCAACTTCAAAAATATAATGTGTTCCCTCCTTTCCATTTTTTTTTTGGGTTACTTTTTAAAATTTTTTTATTTCTACTTATCTATCATTTTTAAAAAAATAAGATAACATTAATTTCTTTTATCAATTGTACCCTTAACATAAAATCAAGGAGTAATTAATTAACAAGAGAGGTAAAAGGGTATAACATGGCCTAGCTGCATTAATATATATATATATATATACATAAGCATTAAATTACACAGTACCTAAAATCTTAATTTTTTTTAAGTCTGCCTTAATTTCACTTTGACCTCTATTAAACTATAGCCATAGTTAAGTGGGTAAAGTCTTCAGGAATAAAACAAAGGAACCAAAGTCCAAAGGTATAACACATATTTTGAATAACTGGAGGTGAAAGAAAGAATGTATATAGGTTTATTTTCTCAAGTTCCCTTCTTCTGTTGCAATCACATTTTCAGGATTGTTACCAACTGATACTTGAGCTTGACAAGGTTGCGGAACATGGCTCTGAGGAATCTGAAGTTATCTCAGCCCTTAAAAGGTACTTATTTGTCTTTTTTTGTTTTGTTTATTTGTTTCAGTAATGTGCTATTTGTTATCTTCAGAGAAAATGGCTATGATGCAGGAAAAATTTTCATTTTGCCCCATTTGGAGAACAACTAAATGCGTCACCTTAATATCATGGCCCTCAAACTGATATTCTGATAAGCCATAAATCAGTATTGCAGAGGCTAAATTGTTGCCATTACCTGTTTGTTTAAAAGCCAATCTATTTAGAAGTAGGCTTATTGGCCTATGTTGAAGGCTTTAATGTTAAGGCTTTCTAGTTAGATCAGACTTTTAAAGGGGTTACTATTTTTTGCATCACACTCTTTTGCCAGTCGTACCACTTCTTTTTTGATTCACTTCTGCAACTTTAGTTCTAAAATGTATTAAATAACCTCTCAAATTAATTCAGGAAATGATTTTTGAACTTCTAAAAGTGATTTACAAGTCAACATCCAGAATTTTAATCCTGGAATTGACCTAAAAAAAAGTTCTGCAACTAACAAAAAGGGAAATGCAAAGAGTAATTCCCTATAAAATTTTAAACCAAATCGACAAAAAAGAAAAAGCCTATAACTAGTACAAGTACATGTTTAGCTTTATGAATGTAATCAGGCTAAAAATATTTGAGGCCCAACCTGACCCGGCCAATGTTCATGGAATAAAAGAAGTTGAAACAATATTTTTGGGCCAAAAAAAGGCTGTCTCTAATTCACAGGTAAGACCAGATTACTGTTCCAATTTTCAATATGCTTAACTTTTCCTGAATTTTCTCTTAAAACACAATACTAAAACAATTATATATGATAACTTCTGCTTGGCAATCTTTCAACTCAACAACTCAAAAACTAGTTGTTTATGAACCAGTTAATATGCTACTAAGAACTGAGAAGCAACCTTTTAGCTGCAGTAGCAAACAAGAAAGTGATTGAACTTTGTGGCTTCATCTTTTGTTAGATATGAGAAGAAAAGAATCCCTCGAGTTAGAGTGGTACACACAGCTAGCCGTATGGCATCAAAAATGCTAGTGAACTACCAACCTTATATTGAATTCAAAATTTGGCCCCTATCAGTATGTTCCTCTCTCCACCTTCATTCATTGCTTAATTATATTGTGTAAACTATTTAATTTTTATGGTCACCAAACAAAAATGTTGTAACACTTCATCCTTACTCTTCAGCAGAATCTAACAAAGATGCAGATAAAGCACCCTGGCATTGATGTAGCTCGGGCCCTTTTGAAGTTCACTTTTCCACAATTTATTACTTGGATGATTTCAGGCCATGGGTATCTTTCACTGTTATTTTTATTAGAAAATGTTAACGTCTATGTTTAGGACTGATTTTAAGTATCTAAAAATAGAATGAATTTATTAAAAAAGTAAGTATTTATTAGATAAATATATAAAAATACAATAAATACTTTCTTTTTTTAATAAAAACTTGCTACTCTTGGATGCATGAATTCAGTTCTAACTTCATAGGACTAAAGTTAAAAAAAAAGTATTATATGTCAATTTTGCAGACTTTTGTTCAGCCCTTTTCCCCTCTTGTTTTGCTTTTAAGTTTTTAATATTGATATTGTTCTCTTTTACAGGTTGCTGTGAACATATATGCATGTAACACCTTGAAAATAAAGGGCTTACCAATTTTAACATGATTGTAGTTAGAGTAGTTTTATTGGGTTCTGGAGGATATTTTTTCTATTGGGTTAAACGTATCAGTGTAACAATTTAAACTCTTCATCTTCACTCGAATACATATTCCAAATTTCCTGTCCCTTGGCAATTGGAATGAGTGAATTTTGAGGTTAATGATAAAATAAACAAGCGAGGAAAGTAGAGTAGGTTCTCTTGAGATCTAAAAATGGAACGACAGGAAAAAAATGGGCTTGTTTTATTCTCTGCTCAGTTTTTTATTTAAAAACAATTTTAAAAACTTTTTTTATTAAAGAAAAGAGAATAAAAAGCTGTTTGCATCAAGTTTTTCTTATGTTCTTTCTGAATATGTCAGGTTGCTTTCTAATCCTTTTTTGAGTGATTTTATTACAAAATGTCAATAATGAAATAGTGTAATTACTCTAACCTACTGCACAAATGGTAAAAAAAATTAGAGATTTTTGTACAAGTAAAATTAAAAAATTTTAATATCTCATCTTTTTCTAGTATGGTCATGTTCAAGTTAGCATGAAGAGTGTTTATCTCTTCATCTCGGAACAAAATGTTGCTCAAGCGGAAGTTAAGCATGGTCATGTTCAATTTTTATATTTTTATTGGTCTTAAACTTTTAAATGCTATAACCTTTTGCACATAAGTTCAGTTTACATAAATTATATATCAATTTTATACAATTTATTCAAATCTATTTAATCAAACACATCTAGAATTTAGAACATAAATTGCTAAAAGGTAATGTGATGTCCACATTACTACAGAAAGCATATTTTACAATGACTTTCAACACTGGTTAATCTTTAAATAATATATATAAATTAAATATTAATTAATAAGAAATCATTCCTTTTAATATCTTATTATTAAACAATCAAGCAACAGAAAAGAATCAAGTCTAAATACACTTGTTTTCTAAAAAAATGATGAAGCAAAAAAGGTGAAAAATCATTGGGAAATACAAAACAATAAATAAAAAAATTAGGTAAAGTGTTGGAATTTATAAAAAAAATTGACCAAACTCTCTCCAAATGTTTAGTTGAATATATTTCAAAAAGTTATATAAAATAGACATATAAATAGCATAAATTACTTTCAAAGTTTAAAACTAAAAAACTAAAAAAATTTGAGCATATCTGGTGTTAAACTAAGTATGCTCCAATTAACATAAATCCAAACACACTACCTTATGTTTTATTCAATAATTAGTACAATTGTGTTCATTACAAACACATCGTGCTAGTGCATAATTAAGTTACAACATTTGTGGGACTTATGCAAATTACAAGTCACCCCACCCTAATACAATTTACATTTGAGTACAATTGTTCTTATTATAAACACACTCCGTGTTCGTGCATAAGTTGTTGCAGGGCGGTGTAACTTATATACAAATTATAAATTGTTTGTCCTTGTGCAACTTATGTATCAGAAAAGAAGAAGAAGAAATATTTTGACATTTTTTTAGAAGATGATGTATTTAAAATTTTGTATTTATTTTATTTCTAAAATCTCAAAAAGGAAAGAATTTGCTAACATGTATTAGTCGTATACAAATTCGAACTAGTATGTGATCAACTTTAACATTTTGAACTACAACTAATGATTCCTTAATAAAGCAGGTGTTCACATGGCTTATCCTATCAATCCAAATGCAACTTGCACACTTAAATATCTAGTAACTAAAATGCTTAGCTCTGCAAATGAGAGGATTTGACCACTCAATTACTGTTAAAAACATTAAATCACACTTGACATGTTTATTGATGTACGATATTAACCCAATGCCTCATGTCAGCACAATGATAAAAACTCAAACCCAAGAATAAAACAACGCCAAATATCAAACCTAAGTATGTTACTTAGTCTATGCTTAAACACAATCTTTAACCAAAACCCTTTTTACACTCCCATAAAAATTCCTGCATCACCAGCAAAAAATACTCATCAGAACAATGCCCACCTCCCTCAATGGTTAGGTGCTAAACACATATCAAAGTTCATCTATTTGCCATTTTATGCTTACAATTGGATTATGATCTAAGTTTGCAGTGAATAAACTATTATAATTAGGCCATACAATTAAGACATAATTAAAGCAAATCTGATAACATGATTTGTTGAGCTCGAATCTATACCTTTTCCTAGTAGATGGATTGTCCACATTTAAATTTCTATTTTGAATAAAAAGAACTATTTACAATTTAAAATGTATAGGTTCAAGTGAAAAATATTTAGATTCTTTAAAATTTATGTAGTCATGTGTTTGATTCTAAAATTTATGTATATAATAAAATATTGTTGAGAGAAGTCAACACTCGTTTCTTTAACAAAATTAATTAGTCTCACGCTTATCAAATAATATAATATAAAGTGAGTAGTCTCCTTTTGGGAAATACCTAACTTGGGTTTCAATTTTCAGCTAGTCTTGTCAAAGAATTTTTTTTGTCCTACAACTATTGACTCAATGTGTACTAGTTTTTCCATTATAACCTCGTGGAGAGATTTTATCTTGTATTGTAGTAGCTGACGCTTTCTATTATAAGTCACATGGATTCTGTAGTATAGGGTATATTTTACACCAAAACTTTATGGAATTGATTTTTCACAATTGGTGATGATGATGATGTCTCGCTACCGCTCACGTTATGGTTTCACTTTTCATGTAACCTTAAAGCTTATCCAAAATCACGAAGCATCGTCCCAATTAAATCACGTGCATTTGCCTTTTGTGGACAATATGAGAAGAGTTGAAGAAAACAAAATTAATAACAACTTTGGATGAAGCAAAAGCTTTCGAATTTTTTGGTAGGTGTCTGTATGTTATCTTGGTTAACAAGCTTTTGGAGAAACAAAAAAATTGTGATCCCATATTTTGGCAAGTTGCAAAGTATTCGACCACCTAAGATCGTGTATATTTAGTAGCTAGAAATTAGAAACACATTCACATGGGAAAGGGCAAGTTTAGGGATATTTTTTATCTGGAATTTTATTCAGATTACTTACTTTATCCTGTCATTCGTGCTTCTTAACTTAAGCCTGTTTCCCACATGCAATAAAGGCAGCTAAGACTGGTATTTTCTTGCCACAATTAATCACCACCCATTAATATGCGAATAATATTGTAAAATCTTTGAAATGGTTCAACAGTTTCCTCCTTTTTTAACTATTGCCCTTGTGGATTCTTCTTGATCTCCCACACTTAAAGTGAAACCTAGGAATTTGAACTCTTCCACGCACTACCACTCTCCTCATATGTCAATCACAATGATAAGATTATCTTATAATAACACATTTGTGCATGTATATCACTGCCTCTTAAAAATGAAACTAGGGGAGTATTCTAATTGCAGTTGTATCAAATTTTGCTTGTTCAAAGTCTAACTTCAATATAATAATTATATATGTTTTCTAAAGGATATCTCTAACATTATCTTTATAATCATTTTGATTGGAATAGCAAATAGGTGTCTCTAACTTGTAGCCATTGTTCTACCAAACTCCTCTCTTCTATTGTACTCCCCAACAACACAACCCTGAGACCTATATTTTTAAGCTGGAGCCTTGCTGATATGAACCATCTTCCATTTAGTGATTATGTTGTGAACAATATGGAGAAATGGTATTTGATAAAAGAGAGGAAGAATGTAAGTACTTGGTGGGATGACATAAGCAGTAGACCATTATGGAAGATGGTTCTCCAATTATAGAGTTCCATTCTTGTTGTTTTATGAGTCTGTTATCTTTGAATATTTTAGTAAGGAATAAATGTATTTGTACCAAACTCCTAAGAGTGTGAGGAATTGAGGAAGAAAGGGGGTAATGATCAACCTATAGCAATGAATGTGTTGAACTAGAATCTATCTCCTTTCATTTTTAGTTGTGTTTGTTATTTAGGTATTGATTGTATTCTTGTTCTTAGCTTATGTGTTGTCACCCTCTTTTGATCAGACTCAATTGAAACATATCAGATTCATTGTATGAAAAAAAAATTAGAATTTTAATATGGATCTAATTTAGCTTATATACTTTTTTGATATGTTGTTAACTTACTAATGTACTCCTCAAGTCTCAACTAGCAATTTTTTTAGCTCAAACTTGCAATTTCTAGTTTTTTGGGGGCTTTTCTTTTTTACCCCTTTTAGCCCAAACTTCTAACTTTAAGGTTTTTTTGGATTTCTACCTCATGTCTTTTTTTTTACTTTTAATGTCTAGATTTGTACCCTATTTTTTAAAACTTTTTAATGTCACAGGTTCAATTTTTTCCTTAACTCTTTTATTTTTATTTTTTTTAGTTTTTTATTTTTTGTATTTAGATTTGAGCTTTGATATATTGTGATTTTAGTAAATAGACTCAATCTAAGAGTGAGGGAGAGTAGGTGAGTTACAAACTTGAGTAGCTTATTAGTAAATTAACTTAGACAATTTTAAATTAAAACTCCTCTACTTATGTAACATTTAATTTATTGCTAGCCCACCGACGTGTGATTTTATAACTTTTAACACATTTTTTCATATATATTACTCCACTAACATTATGAAATTAGGAAAGCAATCTAATCCCAATCATATCAAATTCTGCTTGTTGGAGATCTTAACTTCAATATAATAATTATATATGATATTATCTCTATAAACAATTAGAAAGGGATATCTTTATATATTTTAAAAATAATAAGGAAAAATCATGCCCATTCGCTCTGTGCCCCACCATGGAAATGGATGTTTCCTTGTGAAATGATTTTATTTGTAATGTCCCTTGAGAATGTAATTAAAAACTCAGAAAGGAAATCGAATCATGATTGTATTCAAAAAGAGGGTTTGTGAGAAATCATGAATGAAATAAGACACATAACGTTACACAAATAATTGACATACAATAATGGCAGTTGAACATTTAGTTTTAATCGAGGTGATTGGGTCATGTCCTATGTTCTTTCCTTTTGCCGCAAGAGTTCCCAATGAGGATATTGAAATAAAAGGGCCTGTGGTCGGTTCTCTATATATATATATATTCTAATTAAACTACTAATTCTATTTTCTGTACATATAAAATTAATAGTAATAATTGTTCTATGCGTAAGAAGACATAGAATATCCTCCTGATATATAAAACACAATGAAAACTATTCTTATTTAATTTTAAAATTGTTTAAAAAATGAATAGATTTATATTTTTGTAAGTTGTTTTATTTCTTATTATGCGACACACACACAATAAAAAAATCATTGGTTGACCAACTCAACCACCACAGAAAATTATAGAAATTGAATTACTGCATTAACATTCTCCAACACTTTGCACCACTTGATGTGCTACCTCTTCATGCTTCCTTCGTGGATGTGATCACTCGACGGTGAGTATACATTCAATTCATGTTGCGAATTTGTTCTTTTAATTCAATATTCTTTTCAATATGAATAAAAGAAAGATGTTTTGAACTTTAAAGAGACAAAAAATATACTCATCTTATCTCTTATCCTTTATCTTTTAAAATTATAAATATTAATTACATAAAATGACATATAAATATCTCTTTCTACAATAATATCTTTATTAAAAGAGTTAGAATGTATTGATCAGTGCACTAAAGTATTTAAGAGAGATACCAATAGAAAAAAGATATTACTAACATTAATGCTTTCTTATTTTTTTTAAAAACGATAAATGTTCTAAGACAATATACATATACCTAAAGTTATATATATAATATGAGTTCAATGTATACTATTTTATGATTTTTTTTCATCTTTGTTGTTTATCCAATGGCAACAAAGACGTTTTTCAAACTAATTTATAACAAGAAACCAAATAATTGTAGTAAAATAATAAGATATACCTTAAAATTATATAAAAATAAAAAGTCTAAAAATAGTATAATAGAAAAAGTATAGGCAATTGCAAAGGGGTAGTAAGGAAATAACTAAAACGGAATGTGTACTTGGGTGGTGCAATAGCATACATTCATAATTGGGGTAATCCACTTTAGGGGACAGTTTATCAATATGCCATTTCTGTCCAATCCCTTTTTGCCTCTAAATTATACTTGCTGCCCACCACTCCCACACCAACCCTAGCATTTTTGGAAAAAGTAAACTTTGCTTGGCGTCTAATTTAGAACTTGAGTTTTAAATTATGCGTTTTATATTTATTAAATTACATAAAAAAATTATTTGTTACTAAAATATTTCATTTGACCATCAATTTTTTTGTTTTTGATGTGTATAAATTGTACTGCCTATTTTATAAGAAGTTAATAGGTAAATAAAAAAAAATTGGCGCAAATATAATTTGATAAACATAGAGTGTCTATTGCATGATTTAAAATGTAAATTACACATGAAAAAAAGTAACAAATAAAGTCAACTTTTTTTTCTAGTTTTTTGTTTTGTGATGAATAAAAATAAATTTCTCACAGGCATTTTCTGTGACAAGCCGTATCTTTTCCCTTTCTATTCCTATCTTTACTATAAAGTTCTCTTCTCCTTTCTTTCTAAATCTGATTATACCATAAAACAAAACTCAGATATTAAGACATGAACAGAGAGATTAAACCCAGAAAATCACCTGCAAAAAAAATTAATAATAGTAATAAAGACCCAAATGTCAAAACCCTCGGCTAATAAAAATCTCAAAGTGCATGTCTGAGAACTTGGGTATTTATACAAAATCAAATTAATTTCTTCCAAGGTTTATTATCACCAATTGGAAATTGAATGGCTTTGGCAGTGAGTGAAACAGAAGGAGTAGTATTGGAGGTGGAATTGGGAGCAACACGCTCACAGGATGGGCACATAGTCAAGGTTGTGGCTGGTAATTGCATATAGAATGGGTTTGAATTAGTCTTCAAAGCCCTCAACTCTTGAAGCTCCTTCTGAAGCCTTTTATTCTCTTCTTTAAGTGTGTCACAGCACCTCTTCAAATACTCACAGTCCACCTCTGTCTGCTTCAACTTGGTCCTGCATGCATTTACCCATCACACCATTACTCTCTCATCATGTTTCATGGATCATAAAAGTATAACTATCATTTTCATCTTTCAAAGATATGTCACTTTGTTCTCATCAAACTAAAACTTAATTTTATTTGTAAATGATCAAAGTATCATTCAACTTATTTTGTTTAAATTGATATAAAATTAATCATTATTCTTTTTTCATATATCAAGGATAAAAGTGTGATTTTTATTTTGCCTTGCCTCAAATTTTGTTTATTTTTCTGTATCTGTATATTCTAAAAATATACTCAAAAGGTAATAGATAGTTAAAAATTGTAATAATGTTTGTCTCAAACCTAATAAAAGTGTGTAAAATAAGTGTAGATATATGAAAAAGACATAAAATATTGTGATAAAAAAATAATAAATGTATAAAAATGGATATTAAAATTATGCCAAAAGCAGTGGACTAACTAGTTTGACATGAAATGTGAAGAATATACCTTGCTCTTCTGTTTTGAAACCATACTTCTACTTGGCGAGGGCGAAGATGGAGTTGTTTGGCGAGAGCAACCTTTTGTTTCTTCACCAAACATAAACACTTTATGACTAAAGTTAAAATTAAGACAAGTTTATTAATTATTAATTCATTTTTTTTCAACTTACATCAAGAATATGCAATAAAAGTCTATGTACATATGATACATAATATTAAATATTAATTTTTTAAAAATATTTTTTTATTATGTGTCCTTAGATACACGTTTGAAAAATGATTATTGTGAACACTACTCACAGGGTTAAGAGTGTTGTGCTCTTTGAAGCTCTCTTCAAGGAAAGCAGATTGTTCCTTAGAGAGCCTAAGTTTCTTAGTGGTACTGCCACTGCCACCGTTCTCATCTTCATCACTTCCTCTGCAGTAAACCCTTTTGGTTTGATCATAACATTCTCCACTTACACTTCTTCTCCTGAATATGCAGAGATCCATGTGAAACGATGAAGCAGCACTGTTTGGGGAAGATGACAGCTCTGCCTCATCTTCCGCCGTCACCGTCGCGGCCATCGGCACCCAGTTCATGTCCAACCCCATTGAACAACCACTCCCAGCTGCACCATGTGTCAACAACTCCCTTCAGCAAGGAATCAAAGAGAGACCTCAACAATAATTTTTTCTTTCATTTCATCAGAAATGATAGATTTTTTTAAGCTGTCTAAAAAATAATTAGAAGATATAAATAATTTTTCATTAAATATAAGTTAAAACAAGTACTATAATAAATATTTATTCAATATTTTTTGTCAAATTAAATGTTTATTTATTAGTTTGATAACAAAACTTACTTTCTTCAGTTTTCTATAAAAGTTATTAAAATAAATTAAAATTACCTTCCTATGTATCATTTAGTATTAGAAATAGAAAGAATATATGTGAGAAAAAAATTGAGCAAACACTCCTTGGATGCATGAAGAGCATGAGAGAGATAAAAAGGGGAAAGAGAAAACTGATAAACGTAGTAGGTAGTGTAATGTAATAAAAAGGCAAAAGAACATTAAAGAGATGATAATATAGTGTTAATTAAGATGTTTATAAATTAAAATAGTATATGAAAATTGGTGTTCACCGTTTTCCCAAAGAGGATCCCATGGGAAGGAGAAGGTGGAAGGTGGGTTGATACGAGGAGCGGCAGGTGTATGAGGAAGAAGATCAAGCTGAACAATTGTGTTAGTATTGGGTTTGAGAGAAGGACTAACAAGGGATTCAGTTGTAGCTTCTTCATGTTCTTCTTCAGTAGTGCTGTGGCTTTGACTATTGTGTTTATGCTTTTGCTTTGCTCTTTCTTCTTCTTCTTCTTCTTCTTCTTGATGTTGATCTTTTAGTTTGGTAAAAAGTGGACCAATTGATAAGTTGGTGTTGAAGCCTAACCCCAATTGGTTGGGAGCTTCAAGGGGCTTTGAAGGGTCTCCTAAGCTCAAGCCAAGCTCCATGATCTCCTTCAATTAATAATCTTCTTCCAATGCATATATGGGCAAGGAAGAAGAGAGAAGAGTAAAAGCAAGTAGGGAAAAGGGGTTTGGACAAAATTGGAGAAGCTCCTTTGAACCAAAAGCCTTTTATAATTACGGATAAGAGAGTTTAACATGCATTATGGCTGGAAGGGAATATAATTAAAAAAAAATGTGTCTCTTTCTATGTTGTTTTTCTTCCCCTTAAAAAAATGACATTTTACTTTTAACATAAGTTAATAATTAAGATTAGAAACCAGAGGTATGTTGTGGGCATTTTTAAATCTTGATTTAGACTTTAAAAAAAAAAAAAGAACAATCATGTTTTTTACGTAGACTTTTGAGACTACCTCAAAAGTTTTAGTTTATATTTTAAAATCTTACATTATTAATAAACGCTGTTTAAATTAGTTGTAAGCAATGTTGAGAAAAAAAAATCGTTATTGAAAGATTCATGTATAATTATTCATTATATCATTAAGAGATTTTTTTAAAAATTAAAAACAAATATATTATTATATTAAATAGGAGAATAACGTGATCTTATAATCAATAACACAATTAAAAGATAGATAATAATTAATATTTTTAGTACACTGATTAAAAAATTTAAAAACAAGTATATAATAATAATTTTAAAAACTTTTTAATATATTTAAAAAATTAAAAATTATTTTAAATCTTTAATTAATATTAAAAACACTTGTTAGTTGTTAACATGACTCTTTGACTTATGTTTTAATTTATTCAAATGCGATATGTAACAATATGATTTTTATTTTAGAGGTTGAACATAAAATAAATCACATAAAAAATGTTAATAATTTAAATGTAATTTATCTTTTTTATATAATAAAATTAATACTTATAAGTCTTGATTAAGTTAGACTATAAAATATATAATTATTCTCACTAATACAAACATTATATGTTTCTTTTGAAAAATCTACTTGAATACGGAAAAAAAAAATTGGACTTAACAAAGTGATTTATTTTATGTGATTTGTTCAATTAGATATATGAATATAAAGACTAATCATACAATGTATATGATAAAAAATAAATTAGGTTGATTTAATGACATTCTAAGAATTTAAATAATAATAATAATAATAATAATAATAATAATAATAATAATAATAATAATAATAAAGTATGATTAAATGTTGTTCCTTATTTATGATATTTGATATAAATAATTAATATTTAATATCACAATGAAATATTAAAAAGAACTTATAAAATTTCATAAAAAGAATAAATTTATTTGAAAAGTCAAATTTTAGTTAAATTAAAATTATTATTTAATTAAACCAGGCTCATAAGAAATGAGTCAGGGACTAATATACTCATTAGAATTTTTTTCATATAAAAAGAGTATTATATGTGAAACTCAAATGTGTGTGACTGTATATAATTTCATCACTTACTACTAACATAATAACATCAAAAGACTTATAGTAAATTATTCAAATGGATAAATATCCAGAGAAATGAATTGCGATTGTTTCATTCAGAATAACAAGTTAACCCTAAAATTATTATTAACATGGCATGTCTGAATGCTATTTTAATATCGTATAGAAAATTGAAAATTGTGAATATCCTATATATGATTTTTAACACTTTAGTGATGTTGGCTATGTTTCACGAGAACCCAAAACATGATAACAAAGAAACGGCTTTGTTGGCATGAAATATAATAATTATGACACCACTCTATCAATCCTTCATTCCTTATTCCCACTTCAATTTTTTTAGCTTCTGCATTTGCTCAGACATTGTTACTAGTTTTGCATCATAATATAATACACCCCATTATTAATACTTTATTTTACATATTCACATGTAATGATAAAATTAAAGTGTAAACATAACAAATATTGTAAGCTTATTTATAATTAAATGATAAAATTTATATAAATATGAAATAATAATAATAAAATTAATAATTTAGTCTTTTAACTTTCTTAGCTTTTATCTTTTTTTTTTCGTTTTTGGGTTTAGATTTAATTAATAATAATATTTATCAATCGTGCAGTCTTTTTACTAAAAAAATGTGAGACCAAAGTAAAATCAAATGAAAAAAAGGAATGATTAAAATAAATAAAAGTAAAAGAACAACTTAAATTACTAACGTGGATTTGGAGAAGTTTTTCTGCGAAAATGGGAGAAAACATGATAACAAAGTTTCGATGGTGCTATGATTGGCTTTTCTAACGATGCAGGAATATAAACATATAATAGCTATCATTGAGATATATAGACTATGATCAATATTATTTCTATTTTAATAGGCAGAAAATTCAGGAAAAGGAAAGAATATATATTAAATCATACAGAGAACATACTATTGATCTTTTTCTGTCAAAAAAAATATATAAGTATATTTGTCAGAAAGTATATTATTTCTATTTTAATGTGTATTGTAAGGATGCAAAACTCAGTGAAATTACAGATATGAACAAGGAAAAAGAATTAAACATTTTATTAGAGCAAAGAACAAGAAAGATGGTAATATTTTAAGACTTGGTTTAGAAGTCCTAAAATATTTGGATAAGAAAATTCTTTTATACTGTTCTTATATAGAAAACTTATTAATAAACTTTTTTTTTCTAAATTAACCTTATTTTAATTTTTTAAAAACCCAAATTTCTCTCCCCCCAAAATCTTCCACAAGTGTACATAAAAAAACTAGAAAACATGTGTATCCATTAAAAAATAAATAAATCGATTAGTAAACAATGAAACACATATAACTAGGGAATTAATTGTCCATTGTTGTCGCTCATAAAAAAGATAAAAATAAAAATAACAAAAATACAACTTCTCCTCAAACGACAGCAAGAGGTTCATGATAAAAAAAAATATCTGTTAACATCAATTTTTAAATCTAGGTTTAAATAATCAATAATAATAACATTTTATAAAAATGTTCTTTATAAAGTGTCCATTATAGATTGGAACAATGGGAAACAATTGATATGATACTAGATTTTGAATATATGTAACAGTGTGATAGGTCACTTGATGTTGCCACATTTAAAATGGAAACATGATGAGTTGCGTGTAAAACTGCTTAGCAACTACGATGGATATAGTGCACAAGAAAGAGTTGAATTGGTGAATATTAATTAGTCCCAAGCTTTGATGTCAAATGTCCCACATTTCAATTCTTTGCTGAAACAATATCGATAATTTAAATTATTCATATAACATTTGGATCCTCCGACATTCATTATGCTAATGTCTATAATCAGTCTTGACCAAAAAGACACTAACCAAGATAATAATTAGTTGACTCACCATCAATTATGATCATATATATCGTGGGATGATACTCCACCTTAAGATACCTGTGATAATAATGAGAAAATGGAGATCAAAGAAACAAAATACTTTAACTCTGCAAGCATATACCAAAATGAAATAATTTAATTTGATTTTAATTCTTTACAAATATTTAATATATATAATAAATTTAATAATGATTTAGAATAAACTGAAAATATCTTTTTTTTTTATAACTTACATCATGAAAAAACTTATTGAAATAAATAAGCTTAAAAGAGTTTGGAGAAATCATAAAAACTATCTGCAAACTCTTCCAAACACGTCATGTTCCTTTATTTGCTTTCTTGTTTTATCTTTTGAAGTCCACTTATTTTCTTGCAATTTGTTTCGGATGCTCTTTAATTTCTTTTCAACTTAATTACCCTTCCATTTAGTTAAGTTTCTATCAGTTTACTTTTGTTAATAGGTTTGGTTTTCTTTGTCTATCCATTTTCTTCATCAACCCATCTCGTTGCCATTTCTAATAGAACATTGTCTTCATCTTCCTGTAAAAATTGTGTCATTTTTATTACAATCTTTTCGTCGAAAACATATATTTTATTTTCTTGTTAGATTACAAATTTGACAATTTTAAAAACCACAAATTATCGTGAAAAACTCATTGACAAAGTTTCACCACAAACAAATTAGTAATTCTCGACTAGTAACAATTTACAAATTCCTTTGACAATTAAAAAAAAAACACACCATCAATATCTTTAGTTTTTTTTTTTTTCTAAGAGTCATTTTGTTTGTCTTATGAAACTCTTTTTTTCCAAAAAAAATTTGGGTTCATGTCGTATGGGGTTGACGATATCTTAGTCTTGGGGGGAGCTTGAAAAGGAAGAGAGCTTTGGTGTTAAGGAACAAAATTACGACTGAATCATGTTGTTGATGATAAATAAGCAAGGTAATACCTTTTGACCACATAGAAAGATCACATCACGAAGAATGGTATTTCATTGCTTCCTTGGTGTATTCATCGATCACAAGGGTATGCAATAACATACATGCGCATATACATATACATAATATACATGTATATGTTTATGAAAAGATAAAGCTTGATGCTGTGCTCGCTTAAGAATATGCTGTGTAATGTGGTGGTTTGGTTGCCAGCGCCAATAACAAAATGAATGGGAAGGTGATGATTGAGGAAGTCGTGGCCACGAACCACAATTGAAATCCAATTATATAATATATATATGTTGGTTATGAACATTAGAAATTAGCCACAATTGAAGTGGTAAGGTCGTTCTCATGATCAAAAGTATTCAAAAGTTAACTTTATAAAACAATCAATTAGTATGTTACTGTTACGTGATTAGGATTATTACTAAACTCAATCACGCAGCTTAAAAATCTTTTGGGATGTAGAATGAATTACTGATAGATCATTAGGTAATGGGCATAGTTTGGAAGATTGAATGAGTTGGGTAGGGCGTGGCAATGAACATATAATGAGAATCATGATTGGATTTGATACCCATGACCCATTCCTCTACTTTTCCTCACGCATAGGTTAAATTCACAAGATCCATTTAACCCCCACTGCATGCAATTATGTTCCTTCTGATATTTTTCTTCCTTTTACTTTTTTTTCCCCTTACCTACCAAACAACCACAACTGTATGTTTAGGTTATATATATATATATATATATATATATTTCGAGAAGTATATTTTTTCACTTATAGTATTTAATTTGAATAGAATTAGTATTCCACTCAACAATAGTTAGACCAATAGAAGTAGACTATTAATGATGTGATCCCAATCTCACAGCTTTATAACTTGTAAAGATTTTTTTTATCGGAGACAAGAAAATAAAAAATAAATTAAGGATTACTATTTTTAAAATAATTTTCTGTTTTTAAAAATAAATTTTATCATGTTTTCTCTCTACTATAAATTGTCTGTTTTGTACAGTATTTTGATGATAAGTTAGAGTGTTGTATAACAAATCAAATACAAGTTATTTTGTGTGGAGTTAGAAGGGTAAGGAAGTTGTATGGCAACAATATTTGAATTCAACAACTTCAGTGGTAGAATAATTATATTTTCATGTCCACTTTCTCTTATATTTATTTTAAATTTTCTCTTCTTTTTTTTTATCATACCAGACATTACACCTTTTATTTTTACTTTTTCTTTTCTTTTTATCTCTCTCTTCCTCCATTTTAGAAGTGTCAAGAGAACATTTCTCTTAGTAAAATCATCTCAATGTTTTGTATCATAGAAAAAGTAACAAAAGAATACCAAAAGGATTGATCACTTTCTTCTTTCTGAAAATTTATTAGTTGTTCTTTTGCAGAAAAAATAATTAAGAAAGAAAAAACAACAGTAGCTAGATTGATAATATGTTGTTGTGGATGACCAAAATTATTGGGAAGAGAAGAGTGGGGGGATGAGAAAGGTAGTTAGTTGTCCAACTTTTGGGGTGATGGAGTAATAATTGAAGTCAAAAAGCAACGTTTGTGTGTTGAGTACTGAGGAATGGTGACCAATACTGAGGCGCCTGCTGATATGCACAACTCTATGCATTTTGATTCCAAACATAAGTGCCATTCAGCATTCAATTGATTGCAATTATTGCATTAACTTGTTTGTGAAGATCGACAGCAGTCATGTACACTTTAATAGCAAGTTTTGTTGCCCTTACTTTTATATAATAGTATTAAAACAGTACTTTTTAAAGATATTTTTAGTACCTTTAATTAGAGCATATACAATTAATGTTTGATAAATTCAATTAGTAACTAGCTAGTAATATGAATGGTTTTATGAGATTTCAAACATGAAAAATGGCATATGAATTATGATTAGAGGTAGGATTTGTCAGGGGGACTAGAAAGTGAATTGCAAAGCCTTTATGTAATTATGGAAATACTGTAAAATTTCTTGAAGCCAGAGATGAAATGCGAGTAAATTATAAGTGTCATTATTTTATATTTTATTTTATAAAATATTTTTTTAATAAATTAAAGACTAAAGTAAAAACTTTATAAAACCAAGACTGAAATAACTAATATTTATAATTTTAAAGGTTAAAATGGAGCTTTATCCGAATAAATATATACCTCAATTCCTCCCAAACAGATTATTGTTAAGAGTATTTGATAGACTTATTATTATTTTATTTTATGATTGAACATAAAATTGAAGGATAGTGTACATTCCATCTAGAAAAGAGATAATAATGGTGGTTTCATTATAATAATGATATAGCAGTGATGAGAAAGAGATGGGTCCATTAGAATCTTGAGAACTCTACACTAATCATATGGTCGGTCTTGCGTTCGATAATGATTATAGGCGTGGCATTGATAATGTTATTCATAGAAACAAAACAAACACTAAACAGCACCTTAAAGTTAATGTCTCCTCACTCTCATGACTTGTCATGAATCATCATCCACATGCTACTTTATATATAAACTCTTTGTCATGATCCACATACTATGATACTTAGCATTCTATTTATATATTTAGAACAAAAATCGATTTAAGTAAAAATTTAAAATGATAAATAAATAAAGAGTTTAACTTATTATATTGTTTGTATAAAGATTTTATATTATGAATTAGTTAAAAAATTATGATAAGTATGCATTTTAAATTAATTATTATAAAAATTAATGTTTTCTTTTGCTAATATATTATTTGATGATAGTATACTTTTTTCAATATTATCAGTTCATTTCAATTAAATTCACACAAAATATTTACACTAATTGAATAGCTTAAAAGATTAAAGAGAGAAGCATTTTGTAACATATTTGACATTTTTTTTTTAATATTGTCAAACAAAGAATGAGGCATTTAACTCAATTTTAACTGCTACCTAATCAGGCTGAACCACTATTTTGTAACATATTTTGGAGTTTAGGCCTCAAAGTCATCATGGTTCATTTTATGCTAAAAGTAAATTATATGCTAAATAACTAAATGAAATGCCCAATTCATTTGGAAATAAAAATCTTTTAATTTACTAAATAGTTCATTAGGGGAGAAAATGATTTGTACAACTCGTAAAATGCTTTTTTTTTAATGAAAAAATCATGTAAATAAAAGAAAATCATAATCCCTCCATCCAGTTCAAATGATGAAAGGTAGCTTAACTAACTTTTATGTTCTATTGAGTTTAAATTCAGTTGGACACAGTACAGTGCAAAATAGCATTAACAAATTAATTATTCTTTGTTTTTGTCCAAATTTTGAATTTAATATTTTTTTTGGTCCACAAATTTTGTATTTAATTAGAATACCTACAAAATAACGAATTCATCTTATTTAATTCTTTTGTGTTGAGTCCAGCCCATTCTTTTTTTTTTTTCCCAATAGTCTATGTTTATTTTGAAAGAATAAATAAACAAGTTGTTTAGGCAATTCAGCCCAATTCTAATAGACACTTCGGATGAATCAGAAAAATAAAAAAAACAAAATAAAAGAATTAAACATTGACAATATGTATTGCAATTGTAAGGAATGTCTTTAAGATTTTTACTAATGCTTCAAAAAATAAAAACTATTAAGTGAAAATAGTCAGTTTTTAATGTATTAAATGCATTTTTATTCATTTTTTTTTATTCATTTACAAGTATCCTTTGAATCATCGTTGGCAAGACCACATACATATTCACGCCACAAATGTGTAACTTAGCATAAAAGCTAAATGTAATCCCATTTTTTGTTAGTGTCAAAGTGTGAACAGAATGGTGAAGAGGTGTTCAGTTTGCCAAAATAGCTTAGAAACACAACAGTATATGGCGAAGGGGCATGACTCTATTTTGTTTTGGTGGGTTAGTAATTAATTATGGACACAAATAATTAGTTGGAGTTTGGAAAAAGTCGAGATATTTTTTGAAGATGATATTAGAACTACGGAGGCCAGAGAGAAGGCTCTCAAACCACACATGAAGAAATTTAATTTTCGAGACATCCAAAAGTTGATGGCATTGGAGTAGAAATTCAATTCTACAGATTCAATCGAGCAATTCTATATATAAGCAATCATGATGCACCAAATGCCAATAATACGACATCTACCAACACACTATCTAATATTCTCTTTCAAACACACCTGTCAGTATTAGTTGAAATTTATCTAGAATTACAACATTATGCCTCATTCCTTATTTGATGAGTCTTACAACAGTATATGGCAAAGGGGCATGACTCTACAACACAGTGCATGCGATGAACCTTGCAATGGTCAAAGACAAATCTTGGGTGCTTAAGCTAGAATATTATGCCCTTAATGCTGATCCAAACCTTGTCTTCAGTCAATCAAGGCATGATCCCACAGATTGGCATACATGAGGCAGGAAAAACTCTAGGTGAAGGCCGAGTTAAGACTAGAAACTAGACATTCATAATAACAAGATCAATCTTCTAATATGAATATTTAAGAATATGTGAAGGCATAGTGTGATGAAACACACTGTACTTAACAAGTTACAAAAGTTGACACAGTACTGTTGCAAACATAGCAATCGCTAATATAAGCTTCTTATGGGAAAAGAAAGAAACCCTCCTCCGCCTATTACAAATAATGGACAAAAGAGGACATTGATGACTATTTGTAAACATCCTTATATCTATTGAATGAAATTAGGCTACGTCATACAAATGCCTGAAATGGTTGTTTACAGTTTTATACGTAAACTAGGAAACACATTTTAGACAAAGGGACAGAAAATTTTGTATGACAAGCAGATTGCAGTTTTCATATCGACTATAGGAACGTCCTGGCAACTTGATTTACATCTCCTTAAATGAAAGATCATCATCTTAAGAGCTTAAGAATCTTAACCTCCTCCTTCTGGGATCATTTGAAACTTGTCTTGAAGTTGAAACATCAGTGGTGCCACTGTAAGACGAAGAAGGTTCCAGTGGACGAGTCTCAGTGACAATCAGTCTGTTACTATCAGTTGTCTGAATTTCAGAGCCAATATCAGCATTGGTGTCAACATTCCTACCGAAAGGAGACGTAGAAGATGCAGCTAAAGAATCTGTTGCTGCGATCGCAACATTTGTTACATTCCCATTAAAAGTTGAGTTTCTATCAACAGCATGATGATTTAACTGCCTGCTTCCTCCTATGGGATGATCATGAATATATGACTCAAGGTCCTCAACCAATCTTTCAGCAGAATCCATTGCAGAATTTAATGCTGATGAAAGGGATGAAAATGAAGCAGCTCCTTGCACTAACAACCTCGAGATCGGAGCGGAACCAGTTTGTTGACCATTGCCTATTTGCAAGCGAGAACGAGTGGGCAAAGCATTATTTCTCTCAGCAGTGGTATTGTGGCTTTCTGATTGAACTCGCTCCCCTAACCCACCAATAAGGTTATTAAACCTGCGGATACTCTGGATTATAGCAGAAGATGCTCCTTGGCTTATTAGCTGCTGCCTAAAGCTCTCGGTTCTAGGTGCAGCAGGTCGAGGAGGAACTCTCAAATCATAATTGCCACTGCCACTTGAATTGCCATAAATTGGAACAATGCCAGTTTCAGTGACCTCTCCATTACAAACAGGGCACTCCCTTGCATTTGAATAGGCATAAGCCAATTGATAGAAGCATGCCCAACAAAACAAGTGACCGCAGCAGGTCAACACAGGATCTCTTGCCATGTCCAAGCATATGTTGCAATCAAAAAAATTTCCAGTGCTTTCCCCTTTCTTATTGCCATCTGTTTCCACCTCCAATGCTTGTGCTACTAAATGGACACCTTTCCTTTTGGACCCTCTCGACCTTTCAACCATTCGTTCCTCAACTTCTTGGCGCTCCAATCCATCATCTTGAGCATCACCCACTGCAGCTTCTCCCGTAAAAAAGTTGGTTATTTGGAGTGGAGTGTGAACCAGCGGCCACCTCTGACGCTGCCTCGCTCTAGAAGTTATTGCTTCAAGGTGCCTAATACGGTCCTGTACACGTTCATGGGCAGATTCTAGTTCTTCCAATAAAGAATCAAATTCAACTACTGAAGCATGAGCTGGGTTCAAAGGCTCCTGATTCAAATCAAGCTCCATTATATACCCACCTCCATGTCTTTTTACAAGTATATGCCATCATCAACACCATTCACATGTATCAAAATCCATACACAAATTTTTGAAAAACAAAAATAAAATAATCAAATCAAAGTTACATTCTCATGGATTCAATTAAATATATACAGTTATACCCCCCATGTCAAAATCAGTCCCTTCCTCGCTCAAACTAGAGGAACGCCTTATTTTTATATACCCACAATTTCTATTGCTTTGATTCCTAAACAAGAGTGACTTCGAACGAAACGCAAAATTTCGTGACCTAAAGTAATTATAATAATAACAATTCTAAAACCAACCGAATCGAAAAACTTAAATTAATCAAAACCTGTGATTAAACCAAGAATAAAAAGAGAAAAGTGAAAATGATTGGAATAGAGAGAGGAAATACCATTGAGATGAAGATATTGGTCCGTTGAAGAAGGGTGAATCTGTGATGATAAGCGTTGTAAATTATTTGTATGATTCCAAAGCGCCATTCACAGATTGAGCATTGCAATGGCCGAGCACAAGCCTCGCCTGTTGCTAGGGCCTTCGGATTTTCCAATAGAATTTTATTTTATTTTTTTACTTTTCTAATTCTTTAAGAAAAAAAATTTTCGGAACATGTTCTTTGCGCTACAATTTAGATCCAATTAAATAAAATTTAACCTTAAATATATGTATATATTTGAGTAATTTTTTAATTTAAATATCCGCATAATGATCAAGATGAAATTTTTTTTTTAAAGATTCAAAAATAAAAAATTAACAAAAATTAAAATATATTCAAGCCTAAAATTTTAAATTCAATTCAATTAAAAGTATTTTCAAATAGATTGAATAATTTTATTTTTATTTTTTAATTTAATTAAAAATAGTTAATAATTTATTTCATTATTTATTTTATATTATTTTTAATTGAGACTTATTTGTTGTGAAAAATATAAACTTTATATAAAAAAAAGATACAAAATTTATTTTAAATTAATTTAAAATTAATAAATCGATACAAACATTTAAATAATGAGATGTATTTGTATAAAAATAATAATAGAGCGTAACTTTGAACGAAAAATTATATAAATAATTAAATATTTTAATTTTATAAACAAAATTATATATTCATATATAAATTAAAATTAAATTAGATTAGTTCGTTTCTTAAAATTCAATTTTACATCCAATTTAGTTTGATAAAAAAAAAATTGATTTGTGGTTAATTTCTTTAATTTACCATCCAGTTTTTACGTTTATATTAAATTATATCAATTTAAGAGCACCTTTATTAAATAATAGATTTTGTACTGAGTATTATTGCTCTTTATTTTATCACACGCAAAGAAATATTAATTAATTTTTAATTTTTAGATTTTAACCTGATAAAATAAGAAAGTATTAATTCAATTAAATATAATTATATTTTCCCATAATTATAATTGATTAATATTTTTATTTCGCATGCAAAAGTTTAAGGGATGTATATTTTTAAAACGAGAGAAGTTTGAATCTTCATATTTTTCCTTAATACATTATAACAAATTTAACACGAACGTCGATTTGATAATTTTTTCTTAATTTGGTATTGTTGTTATATACAAGTAAGGTATGCATGATATTTAAGATTTTATTTTAATAAAATACTTTTAAATTTATTATAATTTTAATATTATCATTGTTGAAATTCTAGTTTTAAAACTGGTTGATTTGAGATTAGTCATATTGTTAATTTTGACAATTAAGGATTCGCAAAGCAAAAAAATCAATTAAATCCATCAATATCTAGTTAAAAATTTTCAAATTTGTGTATCAATTGGTTCCAATAAATTAATTTTGAGCTAGATTTTTTTAAGAAAATTTGATTTATTTTTGCTTTTATTTTATCTTAAATTTTTTTATTCTAAAATATTTTAAAAATAAATAAAGATTCATGTATAAGATGCTCATATAAATTGCTACTATTTAACTATTTATTAAAAAAATTATCTTCTAAAACATGAACTATGAAATTTTAAATTAGTGTTTTAGAATATGGATTAAAATATAAGATTTCATGGCATAAAAAAGAATAAATTAGCATAATTTTGGCATATCAAGTTTTAAACTAATTGTATGGAAATAAATACATTCAGGTTGTATTTATTAAGTAATAAAAATTTAAGACAAATACTAATAAATATTTAAAGAACATTATATTAGGAAACATGATTCTACAAGAAAGAAAAAAATATAAAAAGTTGAATAAAATATAAAAATATATTAAATACAATGGTAAATAAAAGAATGATTTACGAAAAGAATAATATAACTTATATAGTTAACTAATTTTTCATATAATATAACTAGTAATTTTTTTGTTTCTTGTGAGTAGTGGATGTTACAATACTGTATACGAAAAGAAAAAGGTATTGGTTTCTATTTGTCTAGTATAGGGTTCAACAGAAGTTTATGAGATCAAGGAGCAAAAGAAATAATTAAAATTGTCATATGTATGAAGGAGGTGAATGTGTATACTAGTTATTCTAACTTGGTGTTATTTTGCAGGAATGCAGTTACATCCATATTTGCTAAGAATTAAGATCTTAAGGAATTTGTTCACAAGTAATATTATATAAACAATTATGCACAATGCTATAATCATATAATTCATTCAACAAATAAAGAATAGATGTGATTTAAAACTAGACTTTCAGCTATGCACTATCACTATGAGGAAAAAGGATCAGTCTGTCAAATCTTACAGATTTAATTATCGTTTATTCCACATTGTCAAGTGTTAAATAACAGCGATGCAATTTGTAGTCTTAATCTTGATTTAGTTGTGTCATTGACCATTTAGTTGTGCAGCATCTGTATGTATTGACTATTGAAGATTCTGGCCTTTTATCAGTTCGCTAGTCATGGCTATGAGGGCATCACAAACATTAACGGGAGGAGGAACAGAGCAATGCGTGTTTTCTTTCGTTTCTTCTGTTGATATAGCTTTGTTCTTGGTTTTGTGTGTTTGAAGTTGTTTTCTTCTTCCTTTTTGGCTCAACATTATGCCATGAAACACGCAAAATGATCGGGAATGGAGCTTTGTAAGAGTAAAGCAGCACCCGGATTGAGAAAGAACCCCGACTATAATAGAAATTTGTTTGACCGATACAGAACAAAACTATAAGCAGGCACTACTTTCTTAAACATGAAAACACAATTTTTGCATTTAAAGGAAGTATACTCATACTTACCAATGCTATATATGTTAACTTTGAAATTGTTTTAAGGGAAAGCATCATGATTACTGGGGTCCAATAACTATAGTATATAAGGAAAAATATCCATGGTAATTTTAATCCAAATTCACCACACCTATATGTTATAGGCATTGGTTCTCGATCTAGACCTTGTCGAGTACAGATGTTGTGCCACCATCTTGATAAGGATAAATCACGAAGAGATAGCTTTTGCAAAATCAAGGATGATTGATAACTGAAACAATTGCAACTGAAGATAATTTGCACGACACGGGAAATTATCAATATATTTTCCGATTCACACCTTACCTCATATTTTTACTTTTGTATTTATAGTCATTACCCGCAAGATAGTGATTCTTTTCCTTTTCCTGGTCCTCAAATCTGCTGATTTCTTTCTTTCTTAGATCCAAAAACAGTTCAACCGTGTGATTCAGGAAATTACAACTTTTGGATCAAACGATATGTTGCAGAATGCAGTGTGCATACATATATAGCAAATGGGTAGCTCAACAAACATTAAGGGCCAATTTGATGTACTATAAATTGCGGAGAACCAAAATTGACATTCAATACATAATTTTGTGCTAAAGGATGCAACTAGTACCATCACAATCGCTTGCCACAATAAGTAATTATACTAGAAAAGAGCCAAACACAGATTATAATATGAATTCAATGGCGCAATCAAACTTGTAGCACTGAATACAATGGGAACACCATAAAAACTATGTTGGATTCACTATCACCTTAACAGACTAAGGTACAAACAATATTTGTCCTTGGGCTGGTTAAAATCACCAGCAATGCCAGCCAAATAAAATACAAATTAACTAGATATTTATCTTAAACATTGCAAAGAGTTCTAAACTCTCTTGAAATGAATTCTCACAAAAACCTAGCTTACCGAAAGATAGCATTAGAGATATAGAGCATACACAAACAGATAAGAGGCAAGTTAAAGATCTTGCAAGCTTGTCTGTCAACTAATCACCTTTCACCAACCAAACCATAATCTACACTAAGCTAAAAATAAATCAAACGTAAAAGAAATAATAGCTTCCTTAACAACACTCCTAAAGTTTTAAGAATTTAAAAGTAGAAAATGTGCAGAACAAAATTCAGATTCAGTATACTTTTGATATTATTCTCTAATTAAAATTAGAGTTCTTCCACAATTTATGCAATTAAAGCTAAAAAGTAAAACTGTACCTAAATTTTGTTTAAATTTTTATTAAAAAAAGTAGTTGTATACTTTTATATCGCTAATGTAATAAAAAAATTATTTTTCAACAAAAGTTTACTTTAACGCTTAAAGTCAGCCATAACACTAAAGTAAACAAAACGGAATAAAAAATCCAAAAGTGCTATTTAAAAAAAAAACAAAATAAGAACAGTTGAATATAAAAAATGACTCCACAACAAACATTCGGACCCTTTCACGATCAAAGCAATTAAATTGCAAAACTGCACGACAAAGTGTCTTATAAGACAAAGAAAAAAGAAAGCAACGAAGCATGCTGAGTTATCAGAACATAATTAGGGTTCATCGGCAACGCGATGGAATTACAGTCTCCTTCATACAGTCACACTCATTCTGGCTGAACCTTAGAAATGCAATTACCGATATCACGAGGATTCTGATCCGCAAGAACATCCTTAACGAACTTGATAAAAGAACAGAGTCCACCCAAGAAGTTATGATCAATGGCACCGTTGGAATCGACGACGTGAGCAAAATCAACGAGTTTGACCATGGGATCGAAACCTTTCCCCTTGGTCGCTCCCTTCTCGTAAATCAGCAAAAGCGAGCACGAATAGAAGTGATACAGAGTCTGAACCTCGAACCACTTCTTGAGCTCCAACAGGCGTTCCAAAACGACGCCGTAAACCTCGTTGGCGAAAACGCAATCGGGATCGGAAGCGGAATCGTCAGCGTTAGAAGAAGCGAAACGCTTAAGAAGCAGCGTAACGGCGTCTGCAGAGAGAGCAAAGAGGGAATTGCGATGGGGTTCCCAGCGCGTGAGGGAGTCCTTGAGTCCAGAGATTCGGAAACCCAAGGGGAGGGAGGAGGAGGTTCGGTCCTTGACGAGGCACTTGGTTATGTAGTCTTGGGAGGCTTGGGGGTACCAGGTTCGGGAACCGATCTTAATGTCGATGACGGAGGGTAGAGTGTAATCGGAAAGGAGGTCTTGGAGAACGAGGTGGGAGTGGAGGCCAGATCCATCGGAGGCTTGAACGACCTGAGTGCCGTGAAACGCGGGGAAGAAGGAGAGAGGGATGGAGGGGTGGGCAGAGAGGGAGGAGTAAAAGGTGAGCTCGGTGGAGCCGCGATTGCCGTTTTGGAGAGGCTTGTAGAACTTTCCAGAACCATCTACGAGGGGGCCCAGAGCACCGTCCTTGGCCTTGTGTCCCGCCACTTGGTGCTCTGGAACTTTCAGCATTTTCCCTTTTTCTGGAGAAAAGCGATGTATCAATGGAGGATGGAAGAGAGCGTGCACATCAAGCAACGCAGATCTGCGTCAGGGGCAAACTTGGACTTTCACTTCCGCCGCTATATTGGTGTATGGCATGCTATTATGTCATAATTTGTCGCACTTTATTATTTTTAATCCAAATATTAATATTCTTTATTTATATATAAATTATAAACTTTAAATATTATTCAACTGACGTGCTTGAAACCCGAGTCCAACTTAACTGCCATCTTTATAAATTATTCCCTCTTTTGTCCCAACGTCAAAAGAATTTTGTCTTTTTTTATATACTCAGGTGCCGCTACCTTTTATAAAAAGGGAAGGGGCAGGGATTTTTTTTTAAAATTAAAGAAATATGAGTCTTTTTTGGGTAAATTATAAAAATATAGATTTTTTAAATAAAATGGTTATTTTTAAACTTTATATATTTGTAATTTTTCAAAACGGTAGTTTTTGTGGCAGAAGGGAGTATATAAAAAATCGCAAGAAAAAAATAACTAGACTACCACTAGAGTAGGGAAAAGGACAACATGAGAAAGGTACTGATCAACCAAAAATCAAAGTCATATGGTTGAATATCGTGTTCGTGAAATAAGAAAAATCAATTCTTTATAAAGCACGAAGACGTTTGTTTTTCACTAACATACATTAGCTATAGCATTCACAAAGCATAGTTCCTTTCAACAGGAATCAAACAGGAACTTGGTGTTGTGTTTAACATGATACATACAAATTGAAAGCGTTAATTTAAGGTATCAACACAATAGAGCCTGTGGTCTTGCGATTCTCGAGGTCTTCGTGTGCTTTTGCTGCCTCAGACAATGGGTAAGTATGATTAACCCGCACCTTCAAGACACCATAAACAACATTAGCAAACACTTCTTCAGCAGCCTCCAACAGCTCATCCCGAGTGACATTATAATGCATTAAGCTGGGCCTTGTCAAGAACAAGGATTTTGTAGCCAGGGAAGCTAATGGAACTGGATCAGGTGTACCTGATGACTGCCCAAAACTAACCATGTAGCCCCTAAGCTTCAAGCATGCCAAAGATCCCTGTTCAAATCACAACACATACCTCGTTAAGGACTTTGAAATGATACAATAGAAACATCGTTCACTTGAATAGATATAGAAACCCAAACTTGAATATTTCAATTGAAACCACACATGCTAACAAAAAATGGTGCAACCAGGCAGATATCAGTGTGGTGGTCATAATCAGTGAAGCTGCTAAGTATGCTTCTATATGGTGTTTAATCAGACAGTAATCCTTCAACTTCAGGGCCTCAAATCTATTGGTTAGAATATATAGCAATCAACTTTTGCCCTGTGAGTTTACCCATTAATGTAGTAAGCATTGTAACTAATATTTTGCCAAATACCAATATTTACTTCCACAATCCACATCATTGCATGTCAAGTAAACTGAACGAGAAAACAAATGCTAATAGGATGCAGCACTACAAATTCATTTCTACATCAGGAAATAATTTAATCTAGAGCTTTTTCTTTAATAGGGTTTAGGAACTCATTTGTAGATTGGGAACAACAATAACTGTAGAATTCTTTATCTTAGGATCTATTGGATGGTTTAGTTTTAAGTAATGATCAACATACGATCAACTGGAATTTATGGATACTCAATTATCAAAAAGAGGAGGAGCACATTATTAGAAAATAAACAATTTCTGATGGATACAGTCATGCAAGACACAATATTTCCTTTTCCCATTCATGTGCCCAGTTATCTGATTTTGAAATTCCATTTAGGTGTAACATAGAATACAAATAATATAACAAGGAACTACCTCAAAAGTATCCTTTCCAACAGAATCATACACTACTTCAACTCCATTGCCTGATGTGATTTCATGGACACGAGCAACAAAGTCCTCTTCTGTATAGATTATGATATGATGGCAGCCATCCTCCTTTGCTTGTGCTGCCTTTTCTTTATTGGATACAGTTCCAATAACAGTTGCGCCAAGAGTATTTGCCCACTGGCACAATAAGGATCCAACACCACCAGCTGCCGCATGTACAAGAATCGTATGACCAGGTTCAACCTGTAAAGTGATGGATATAATAGTTTATATTTAGCATCAAGCTCAGGTAAAATTAAGGGAAATGCATTGGTTTTAGGATAAAAAATGACATGTTAGCAAATAGATAATGTAACCAGATATGGTAAAGGCAAATGTCACACTTCTGCTAGCTGCAACAGTGTTATTTGGTGCTCTACTTGGGACATCACACACACGAAGGAGACAATCAAAATAAATGAGGAATATCTTTAATTCATTAACTTTTGCATTTGACTTCACTTATCTTCTTCATAACACTTTATTCTCCTCCATTTCAGGTGAAAGCTTATTGTGCATACTTAAACGGCTTTGACATCATTGAGTAGAACTCCCTTTAGCATAAAACCCAGTAGCATGTTTGCCAAAACAGAGAGAAGCAAGGTCCCATGTCTAATTTTGTTCTAGAGCATCTAAGATTTCCTCACCCATGGCATGTCACCATCCACAATCAGCCAGAGCATAAAAATAGATCTAGGTATTGTGGAAGGTTGGCAAAAGGAAACGATGCTTATAATGAATAAAAAGCACAACGGGATGATGAGTAACACAAGGATGTTTACTTTTTCTAATGGCAATTGGAAGATCTAGAGTCAAATCTTGTGACAAAGAGATAGAAATGGATGGAGAATCATTTGAGAGGCTTATATCTCCTTTTTATGATAGGAGTAACCAAGCAAGACACTTAATAGAATGAGCATGTGACTTGGAGAACTAAGGCTGAATATCCTGCACAAAGCATGTACATTAAAAATACAAGGGGAAAAAGAAAACAAAAATCCAGATGGAAGGAAAATAGAATTGGAACTTGACCCAATAAAACAGTAGGCAATGTTCCAGACCCAGTAATCTATGGACACTCAATATAGACAATGCCAGCCTAAGTTCAAAGACATACATATGAAATAACAGGACCAAATAACTATAACTAAATAATATTGTTGAGAACAAAGAGGAACAACAGACAGAATGATTAATATACAACGGAGCATGCATTTATAATAAGAATCATTAATATACAAAATAAATAACAAAATATACAGTTACCTAATAATGTAATTACAAAGGTATTAACTTCCCTATTTACAATATTACTATAATTATACATTTTCAACACTCTCCCTCAACTTGGAACATATAAATTATATGAACCAAACTTGTCACATACATAACTAATCTAAGGACCTCTTAATGACTTGGTGTAGAGTATTTAGAGCATTACTAATTTACTATAGGTAGACAGATTAGACAAACACAGACATCTTCTTTCTCTTTAGAGAAGTGATTCATCTTTTCCAAAGTGAGTATATACTGAATCTCCCCTAGTGAAGAAAGGGGATTTCTTTCCCTAAAAATATACTTTATGCAGAAGAGTATTTAAACAAAACAAAAGGTAAAAGCAAAATGGCCTGCTTCAGCAATAATGACTACACTACACAACATAAACACCCACCTTGAAACAACGTTTAAGCAAAAAACGAGTTGTCATGCCCTTGGACATGATAGATGACCCAATAATAGGGTCAATTGAGGGCGGGACAGGAACTACTATATTTGCAGGAAGAATCTGCTCTTCAGCATATGACCCCAATGGTCGACCTGCATAAGCTACAACATCTCCAACCTGCCTATCAGCGACTCCAACACCCACAGCAGTCACCTCCCCAACAGCCTCCACACCTACCACATTATCAGGGGAAAACATTTCAATACATGATTGATACCCTTTTGTTATCAACTTAGCTGTCAAAGAAGGGTTACAGCCAATAGGAAGTAAAACCATCCATAACCGAATTCTCTTCTATGATGAAACTACCAACAACTAAGATATAGATCAAGCTAAGAAGTCCTTAGTACATTGCTGCATGCAGTAATTGGACTCAAGAATTCAACTTTCCTCTACCACTTTTTTTTTCCCACAAGCACAAGAAATATAATAAATGTATCATAGAAACTATACAGAGCCTTATAAAAAGGACAACTAAAAGCTTCTAGAAGTGCTTTATAAAAAGTATCTCGACGAGTACTAAGGGAAGGAAGGAATGTTATGGTAGAATAGAAGTGAATAAAAATAGTGAACCTGGAGTGAAGGGTAAAGAGGGGGCTTTATAAACTCCTTTCCTGAAGTAGATATCAACGAAATTAACCCCAATCGCTTTGTTTCTCACACGGACTTCGCCTTCTTTTGGTTCTCCAATTTCCACATCCTCCCGCTTCAGAACCTGTCATGTCACATCAATCCAATTAAGAAAGGAAAAGCATAACAATTCAGTTTCAAATGATGATTTTTAGATTGTTATATGAGAAAAAATAAAAAGGGTAAGAAGCAGAAGTGAAAGTGACCTGAGGGCCACCAAGATCATGAACTCTCATCGCTTTCACCATAGCTGTTGATGATGTCAAAGTTAAGTTTTAGCGGTGAAAGTTGTCTCTAATTGAAGAGGGTGGGAGTGGAAGCTGCAAATAGTGTGTCCGTCCAATCTGATCAAGTGTACTACTGATGTCGAAAGCCAACAAGTAGAGGATAAGTTTTGGCGCAAACATAATTATGGAAGAAATAACTTCGCTCAAGCAAAAGCAAAATAAGTAAAGAAGTAAATTTGCTTAAATTAAAATAATTTGTTAAAACTAAAATTATGAAAATGGCCAAAATTTAATTTAATTTTTTCCTCTTTAAAATACGATATCTTGATTATATTAAAATGTAATTTATGAAGGATTTTCATTAGTTTTATAATTTTTAATTTTTTTTCAACAATTCAAATTTTAAATATCTCAATGCATAATTTAAGAAACTCGCACCAGTCATTTAACATAATAAGATTTAATTTAACTATAGTTAAACAAATCACCATATTTAGATGCTAAAGTTATAATTAATAAAAAAAATAAAAACAATTTAAAATTTAAAATATTACTTATATAATGTATAGTAACATATAGTGTGGATTTAAATACAGAAAAAAAAAATGCTTGTGAGCATTGTATTCATGTTTTTTGTGAATAATTTTATGAAAAAAAACAAATATTAAATTGTGTCAACCTTAAAACTTAAACTTCCAATATTATTTAACTAGTAACGTAGAGTAAATATATGTAAAATGATAAGACTTTTTAGTACACTATTTATTTTAATTATTAATTAAAATTTAGTAAAAATAATAAAAAATACGAGTGAAAATTATTAAGTAAGAAGTATAATCTGCATAGTTTGTATATTTTTTAATAAATTTTAAATGATAATAGCGAGTGTATTTAGAAAAGTGTATTAATAATATTTCTCTTATACTAACACGATATAAATGGCAAAAATTTGAGCTTATAACTTAAATTATCTTTACAATTGCATTTTTACTATTTAAAAATTAAAGGTTGTATAATGAAAGTGAAATTTTTTATGCAATATAACATTATGACGTGAAAATATTATGCAAAATATATCTATTACTAACGTTTTAATAAATATTTTTCGACATAATAAATTTTAATGTTAGTTAAGAAAAAGCTCGCAGTTGAAAATTTGGTTTGTTTTCTCATCCTAAAAAATGAGCATAACTTGGGTCACAATATTTTAATTTATTTTTATCAAAGTTCTGATATTATATCAGGATGTCAAATGTGAGTCTGACTCAAAAATAATTTAAATAATTTAAGTTGATCATGTTATTTATATCAGATTTGTTACTAACCCAAACTTTATTATCTTAACTGAGCATGGATTTGATGGAATGGAACCAAGTAGAGTTTATCACCCCCAAGTTGAAACCGTAACTGCCCATATTTTCAACTGTGAGAAGGCACGAATTAAGGTTGAAATCAAATTGTTCTATAATTACAAACAATATACAAAACACAACAGTAATCAGACAACCCTTCAGGATTTTTTCCATTCCAAGTTCCAACTGCATCCCATTCCAAATTTTGGGAAAGCTGGAAGGCCAAAATCAATGCTTGCATTTAGTCTGATCTAAATGAATAATAACAAAGCACCACTAATTTTCAGGTAACCCTCTTCTACAGTGATGATGGAAATGGTATTGCTCCGTGCTTATAAAGACTTGTATAGCTTGTTCTTGGAGGACAACGGAATTCAACCCTCCTCTGATTCTGCACATCAAAATAGATGTAAGAACTAGATCTATTTGAGTATTTCAGTAGCTGTGGAAGAACAGAAATCCATACTCAATAAGGGAAGCATTAAGGTGGTGTCACCACTTACCCCCGCTTTTTACGCAATATGGAAACCAATAAATACCATGAAAATGATACAGAAAACTAGTTTTAATTTGTCACTCAAACATTTTTCATACCATGTATGGCTTCCATGTTATTTTCCTTGTAAACACCTAAAGGTGATCCGTGGACGGAGAGAAGCATCTCGCCAGGTTTGGGCAGCCTAAGTGTTTTGGGTGTCATTCCAACAGACAACCTCTGACTACTTACCTGCAAAATGCAGAAAAAGCCAAATTAATCACTTCAGCCATTAGTTTACGAGTTAAAACCCACCTGGTTTTCCTTGGCAACAAATACCAGATTCAATATTTCACTAAAATGAACAATGAAATAGCAGGATGATTCGTACACCAGGAGTCTGAAGACCTTCTTGCATTGCCAGTGTCTGAGTTTCAGATGGCTCTTCCAAAACCTATACATAATAGACATTTAATCGTAAAAAGATCCAAAAACTGATCTTTTCAATTTACCAATATTTCAGATCTTGTTAGTTACAAAATTAAAAATGGATGAGCAAGAGTTATATGGCTACCCTCTTTCTGTCACAAGACCTTGCATAATCTACAACGACTAAAGAAGGCCGGTGGTAACTTCAAAATAACTCAGGTCTTGATAAACACTGGAATCAGAAACTAACAAGAATAGGGAAGAAGCCTATTCAAGAATTGTCTGAATTAATCCAGACAAGTAGGTAACTGAATCAATTATATTACAAGGAATGCATGTGCAATAACTGTCCCTGGAAGATTTGAGAGCTCCAATGTCTCTCCCACCACTCAATTTTTACAGAAGAGATGCTCACTTACACAATTTCATCCTATTTATAGTATGTTGCTCGGTATTTATAAGACTATAATTATTTAGTTACGGCTGTACAGGGCTATTATTCTCTACTTTCCTCCTATTCTTCCTCTCATAGACTCTTGTGATAACTGGCCTACACCTATCAGTCTCCATTTATGTTTTTGAATTGATGACATAATGATCTTATGTGCAATATTTTCAGCAGTGCTTTATCATTCTGCAAAAGGTATCCGAGAATAAAATAGCTAATCAAAGTGGAAAGAGAACATACAATGTCCTTGAGATGCAAGTTATCAGCACCAATAAAGCTCATTCTCCCTGCGACCAAAGAAGTAACTACTGTTAATTATAAACACAGGTCAGGTTTTACTACAGTAAACGCATAAGAATAAGATAAGATCTAAATGATTTCTGTTACCATAAATATGATTAAATTTAACTTTATTTCTCTTTTTTTTTTTTTTAGTTTTAATTCTTTTAAGTATTAAATTTTTTAAAAATAATTCCTATTAACTAGATAAATATTACTTAAGCAACTATTCTAAAATATTTGGATACCTGCAAAGATACCCGCATGTTCATAAAATGGATAGAGATCAATATTATACTGCTCGTTCCGCGACTACATACATATACATAAAATATATTTTTACTAAATACATTTTAAATATTATAATTTTATCATTTTGTGTGAGATAAAGTTTATTTTATATCATTCTATAATGATATTTTTAATATTTTAATTAATAATGACATTATATAACGCTAATTTATATGAATGGAGATCTGTTAATATTATATATTAAATTTAAACACTTATACAATTTAATAACTTTTTATAGAATATAAGATTAACAAACCCATCCATTAAAGCGTCTTACATTATGTTTATGATTATATATATCAAATTTCATACAATTTATACATTTACAGGTATGTTATTCAAAATTTAATATTTTTTATATTTTAAAAATATATTGTCCGTTAAAATAAAGTGATATAATAAAATATTTATTAATATTTTTTATAAAAAATTGCAAAATTGATCTAATTAATAAGAGCTTATCAATCTCGCATATTTTATGAAAATTTATTAAGCAATGTATCCGATTCAATTTATATTATATAATGATATTATAGAATATTACATGATATATTTTTAAATAAAAAGTTATAAAATTAAAATTAACAATGTTACATAAACAATACTTTTTGTAAGATAATAAAGAGTACCTACCTGTATTGGTGGAATATTCAAAACCAGGGAAGCGGGGGATGGAGGCAATGGACAACCGTTGGAGCAAAGAAGCGTGGACGTCTAATCCATCGGCGCAGCTCTCTTTCTCTCTCCATTTGACATCGAGTTTGTTGTTGCTCTCGTCATTGACGAGAGAGAGGTTAGGTAGGGTTTCTTGGAAGACCTGAAAGAGGGGTTTCTGGAGTTGTTCCTGGTCGAAGCAAGAGCGAAGCAATCGTAACTCGGTGAGCAAGTGCTCGATCTCCACGTCACGAACCGCTCTAATGGCTGCGATTTGTCGCTCCATTGCTGCATCCGAATTCAATTCGATTCAAATGCTTTGGAATCTCATGAAAAGAAAAATTGAAGAGAAAAAGAGAAATGCTGATGTAACCTTGAATTTCGAGGTCGATGAATTGAGGCTGAGGGTTCGGTATTGATTCGCTTGCTTTAGCGGTTTTCTTGGTTCTGCGCTTTGGCATTTTCGGGTGAAAATGATGAAAACCTAATCCTCACTGGCAGTAGCGTAGTTATATGAATATGAACTCAAACTCACATTTTGAATGTTGCGGAGAGACATATATACTTGAGCATGCCTTTTAGCATGTGTGCTTGTTAAAGTTTTGTTGCTATTTAGTCCTCACTAGTAATTTTTTTAATTAGTACTCGCAAGTTATAAAACTGCATTTAAGTCCCTCTTCTCTTCCATGAGTGAAGAACGTAGTGACACCAACAGCAACAAGAAGATCTTATGGAACTCACTCTCGTCCGACCATACGCAATTCCCTTTCAAACTCGGGATTCAAAGTCGGTTTAAATTTGGGGAAGAAAATTCTTAATTTATAAGACAAAAATAAAAATTATTAAAATAAAATTCGAGCAACTTAGTTTATTACCACCATTGGAGATGTTCTAAGTCATCTCCTTCACACACACAGTCATTATCTACCCACCTCAGCCAAAATAAATAAAAACCATAATATGATAGTTATAATATTTTACAATAAATTTGTAAAATAAATTTATGTTGCAACAAAAAATTTATCTCTCATCATCACATCATCTATCTTATCATTTAGTTGTCTTTTTTTTTTATTTCTCTAATTTATCAAAATAACTATTGTAAAAATAATATTTCTCTATCTTTTTTTAACTCAAGCAATATTATCTCTATAAAAAATTGCAACTAAGCATGTTTTCATCGATGGATTCTAAAGTCCTCCCCATCTTTTCCAGAAAAAAAAGATGGATGATGCTTCTCCAAAAACTAACAATTGATGTGATAAAAAAAATAAAATACTAAAATTTAATGGTTAAAAATTTTATAGTAATTTATTATTATACATTTACCATTTAAGTGATCCTTTAAAAGAAGGGTTACAAATTTAACTAAGTCAATTTAAATAGCTCACGACAATAAAAATTTGAAAGTATAAAAATGGAAAGAAAATCTTTATATAGTATTGTGATATAGTAATACAATGGTTTCTTACAAAGGAATGAAGGTTAACATTGAATCAATGAAGTAAGTATAGAGAAAGAAAAATATTAGTAGCAGAAATATTCCTCGAAGGTCCAAAAAAAGAAGAGAGAGGTTCTACCAAAATTTCCCCATCATTTCCCTTTTCTCTATCTTTATTATAAACTTCATTTACCATACAAATTTCCTCAACTTCTGATTGGCCATTCTTGTGCATGCATTTTTACGAATCACCTTATTTTCCTTACCTTTTCCTACATGTGCCTCACATAGATCAAGTTTCGTATCCCTTACTCTTTTATTCCCATAACATTTCCTCATCCATAAGAAGAACCTTGTTCTCAAGGTTGAAATTTGGGTAATCTCTGTTGATAACATTAATGTCTTCTCCTGTGGCCTTGGTTGAATCTAATCCATTATGTTGTATCAAGATCTAAAAAATGTGTTGACCTTCGCACATGATAATTTTGGAATATAGAACCTTGCTAGGTTGAGCTATAGGACTGAACTCATCTGTAAGTTGAGGAAGTGATAGGTAAGCTTCCTTATGATTATCTTTACATTTCTTTAACAAGGACACGTGGAAGACTAGATGGTTGTTTTATTTTTGGATAATTTCTTGCAATAGAATATATTTCTTACTCTAACTATGATTATTCTATTCTTTCTTTTATGTCATTCTATTTTGTTGAGTATATTTGACCGTCATTTGATGTTTAACACCATATTTCCTTAAGAAATCATCACAAATAATATACTATGCCTCTCTATTAGTTCTTAAGGTTTTCAAAGTATAATCATCTTGCCTTTCAACATACACCATAAAACTTTTAAGTGTATCACAAACATTAAATTTATATTTTAAAAAATAAATTCACATCTTCCTACTGAAGTTATTAATGGAAGCAATAAAATATTTATTACTTCTATTGGATGAAACTTCCACATAACATAAATCGGAGTGCACCAGCTCAAGTAGTTTTGTAACTCTCCAAACATGTCTTTAAGGAAAAAGATCTCAATGCTTCTTGCTTACTATACAAGCTTCACACATTTGATAAGGAGCTTGGATAACAAGCAAGTCAGTAACCCATTTTTTTTATTTGTAAGAAACTTAATACTTTTAAAGTTGAAATGTTTTAAGCCATGTGCCAAAGCCAATTATCATCAACAATTGCAACATAAATCAATGTCATACTTAATGTTCATTGGAAATAGACGATTCATTGACAAGTTTGTCTTCGCTATCAAGCTTATCTTAGCATCATCTATGATGTAACTTTTTCTATTAAATTTTAAATCATATCCTTTTTCAACAAGTTGGCCAACAATTTAGAGATTTTGATTTATACCGAGTTCATAGAATACATTATAAATGTAATTTAAAAATCCATCTTCTAATGTAATGGCAATCTTTCCCTTTTTCAAGACTTCAAGTTTTGAATTGTTACCAAGTTTGATTGAGGTGTAGTAATTCTCATCTAAGTCAAAAAATAGTTTTTTTTTCCACTTAAATGATTACTGTACCTTCTATCTAACAACCACTAGTTGTCATTTTTATTAGCTACTGCATGACTTGTTGTAAGCACCATCTCATACCTTCTTCATTTTCAACAATTTGACCATGACTTTCTTTAATATTCAATACTTTATCACGACATTCTCAACCATTGAAGATTCTTTCCTCTTCCTTTGAAATTCTAACTTCTTTGAAAGTGGTTCTTCCCTTCTTTACATAGGTCCTGCATTTATCATATTTGTTTAAGTTTTTAATGCTTGCTCACTTGTACCACTTAACCTTTTATTCATCTACATCTCACGTGGCTCTAAAAATACTAGCAAATCATTTAGATTCATTGTGGTGAGATCATTTACCTTTTCAATGGTTGCTACTGCAAATTAAAACAAGTTAAAGCATATGTATAATTTTCTCTATGACTTCTTTGTCCTTTATTTCTTCACCGCTATTTTTCATATCATTGACGAGGTTGTCTATTCATGAGAAATAATCATGAATGGTTTCATCTCTTCCTTGCTCCATCAACTTAGACAGACATTTTAATCCTTGCAACCTCATTCGTTTGATAGGGTCAGCACATTCATATATTTTGACCAAAATTTTCCAAGCTTTCATTGTTGTATTAACATGGAAAATATTCTCGAGAACACACAGCTCCACGCATTGACAGTTAAAAAAAATAAATCCTTTTCATTTAAGTAGCTGATATTTCTCTATTTGTTGCATATCAACTTTTCCTTTACTTCCTCCATTAGGTTCAACAAAACCTTCTTTGTTACCTCAAGGTTAATTAAATTGTTTTAATATTTTGGCTCTCGATGTTAATTGGTTTATAAAGGGGAGGAGAAAATAGCACCAATGCTGACTTCAACCTTTGCATTAACGGGTTCGCCACTCATAAACCTCCAAGAGCTAGGAATCAGAGCATTGAAACGAGGCTAGGGTTAACTAACTAGCAACTAACGCCACATGTTTGTTTGCAATACAAAACGCTGTCCAAACTTCCAACTGTCAAATTAACTGAAGGAACCATCTCACAAAAGGTATGAGATTCGATTTCCAAAGACGAGCTACAGCCACCTCATTGCGTGAATAACAGTGTAATTGTATAATAAAGTAAAAACGACACGCGGATTTAATGGCTCAAAGCAGGAAATGAAAAATCATAAGAAAAAAGAAGACAACAATACAACTAGTAAAGTACCAAACAAGATAACATGAGAAGAGTACTATTTGACCAAAAAAAAGTCAACAGAAAAATCATTATCATTATTCAAGTGCAATAGACTTATGACGAAAAATATACATTTGCAATAGCATTCAAGATCCATAGTTCTTTTCAAGAGGAATCAAACAAAGACTCGGTGTTTAACACCTACAAACGACTGATAGCCTTAAGGTATCAACACAACAGATCCTGAGGTCTTGCGATTCTCGAGATCTTCATGTGCTTTTGCTGCTTCAGACAATGGGTAAGAATGATTAACCCGCACCTTTAAGACACCAGAAGCAATATTAGCAAACAATTCCCCAGCAGCCTCCAATAGCTCATCCCGAGTGACAACATATTGCATTAAGCTGGGCCTTGTCAAGAACAGGGATTTTGCAGCCAGGGAAGACAATGGAACTGGATCAGGTGTGCCTGATGACTGCCCAAAATTTACCATGTAGCCCCTAAGCTTCAAGCATGCCAAAGATCCCTGTTCAAATTAGAGTTGAGAATACCTCCTTAATAACTTTTTCCTCACGGTACTCTTAAATTTTATAGAGAATAGCTACATCACTGAAATATCGTAACCCCAAGTTTGTTTTATAAATTGAAACTAAAAACCGGACAAAGAAAGCATTCATAAGGCAGAAGGCAGTTTGATCTTCATCAGTGTAGTAAGCTGCTAAGTTTGCTACCACATCATATTAATCAGACAATAATATCTGAACTTCAGGGCTGGCATCCATTAAAACGGCTAGCCTATCAATTCTTGCCCTTTGGGTTTAGCCATTAGTATTAAGTATTGTAATGAGTCTAGACAAATGCAGTCCTTATTTTCACACCTTAATGTCTTTCAAACTTGTTGAAAGAACACATGCTAATAGGATGCAGCAACATGGATTAATTTCTAAACTAGAAAAAAGTTTAATGTAGCGTTCTTAACTAGGATCTATGAATTCATATGTGGATGAGGAACCATCAGCACTTTAGAGTTCTGTATCTAGGATCTAGTTGTCATTCGTTAATGTTTTTATTTTTATCAATAATGATCAACAAAGGGTTAACTGATTTATAAATCTAACTACATTTCTAGATACTCAGTTATCATAAAGGAGCACATAAGGAATCAGAAAATAAACCTCTGATGGATACTGCCATGCATGACAAAATAATATTATTTTTCCACTCAAGTACCCAACCATCTGATTTTGAAATTTCATTTGGACGTAGCAGTATAGCATAAAATAGGTAGTACCTCAAACGTGTCTTTTCCTACAGAATCATAGACTACTTCAACTCCATTGCCTGATGTAATTTCATTGACACGAGCAACAAAATCCTCTTCTTTATAGATTATAACATGATGGCAGCCATCCTCCTTGGCTTGAGCTGCTTTGTCTTTATTGGATACAGTTCCTATAACAGTTGCACCAAGAGCATTTGCCCACTGGCACAAGAGGGATCCAACTCCACCAGCTGCTGCATGAACTAGGATGGTGTGACCTGGTTCAACCTGTAAAGCGATATAAACATTTCAGGCCCAAATCCCAAGGATCTTATGTAACATATGTTAGAGATATAAACATTCATTCTAACATCCTTGAGCTATGATGATTACACTATACATGATAGAAACATACCTTGAAACAACGTCGAAGCAAAAAATGAGCGGTCATGCCCTTGAGCATGATGGATGCTGCAACAGGCGGATCAATGGAGGGAGGAACAGGAACTACTTTATTTGCAGGAAGAATCTGTTCTTCAGCATATGAGCCCATTGGTTGACCCGCATAAGCTACCACATCTCCAACCTGCCTCCCAGTGAGTCCATCACCCACAGCAGTCACAACCCCAACAGCTTCCATACCTGCCAGTGCCAAATAATAATAATGGAATCAACTTAACTTGAATAGATAGTAACAAATGTGATAATCAATAAATAGATACGTTTAGGTTGGAAATTATAAAACAAAGGGTGGGGTTTAGAGATTGAGAAGAATGAAATAGCAAAGAATAAGAAAGAGACTGGCCTGGGGTGAAGGGTAAAGAGGGGGCTTTGTAAACCCCTTTGCGATAGTAGACATCAATGAAATTAATCCCAATGGCTTGGTTTCTGACGCGGACCTCTCCCTCCTTTGGCTCTCCGATTTCGACATCCTCCCACTTGAGAACCTGTGATGTCACGCGTCAATTAAACAACGAAAAAGAATAAGAAGAAATGAATAAGCGAGAAGAAAGAGTCCTAACCTCAGGGCCACCCAGTTCGTGAACTCTTATTGCTTTCACCATATTATTATTATTACTATCTGTTGTTGCCGATGCTCTCGTGAGGAGTGTTGATCTGTGTCTGGTCAAAGGTAGTGAGGAGGAGGAGGAGGAAGAAGAAGAAGAAGAAGATGACAAGAGAGTTAGAGTTGGAGTTGGAGTGAGTGGGAGAAAGTGGTGGAATCTCAATAACCTCGATAATGACATTTGTTTTCCCTTAGCTTTCCGATTCTTCCTTACATTCAATAGGGACTCAAGCCCAACAAAGTGAACAAACCGATTCTACAGTTCTCCATTGCACGTTGACCCCAAAAAAAAAAAAACAAAAGAGTTCTCTGTTTTATAATAAGATAAATTATTACTTTTTCTATTTTATAAGAGAAATTATTATAAGATCGACTATGTCAGTTCGAGTTTAAGTAAAAAAATTTGTTCAATTTAATTAAAAGTTTTTGGTTTGATTTTAACTAATTATCCGTTAGGTTAGTTTGGTTTAGATGATTAGGTCTATCATGTTTTAGAGAAAGTAGAATTTTTTTTTGAGAAATAGAAAAAAATTCTATTTTTTTTTTAAATTATGTACATTGTTCCTGTCGTGTATAAATTAGAACTATGAAATAATTTTGAACATTAAATAGTACATTGCTCAAGTCGAGTCTTTGGATGATTAGATTTGTTCCTTAAAATTCACCCAAACCGGTTTGAATTGGATTTATCAGGCGTTGAGTATATCTGTATCCAACTCAACCCCTGATATAACAATTATTTATTTTCATTTTTCTGATTTGCACATATTACTTTTAATCGTTTCAGAAATATTTTGGAAAGTATATGTTTTGAAAAATTATCTCAAAAGAAAGATATCTATGCCCTATCACTTTGTAATATTTTTTCTTTTGCAAAATGTATAGTAATATAAAATAGCTTTTTATACGGTACACAATACTTTAGTCCTATTCACAACTAAGCAGATGAGAAGGGGGAAAATCCCAAGTTTCAAGCACTAATGTGGGATACTAGTTGACCAACAATAACTTTTGTACAATGAGACTTCCGATTTTCCACCTTAAGGACAAGGTGAGAGTGAATAAGAGCAGTTCTTAGTCAATAATTAGTTGCACTACTCAATTAGTTAGTTAGGAGAGATTGACTACAAATAGAAAATATCAGATTGGGTAAGGGTATGGACTGAAATTGATAGTTGGTGAAAGCGAAAGGAAAGATGCTTTGTAAAGGAGAAACCCTTGAGAAAAATTCTATTTTTCATTTTTTGATCTGTTCTTCAATAAAGTTCTGTTTCTTTTAATTCTTCATCTCTATTTTTCATTCTATTTTCTCTGGATTCCTAACATAAAATAAGTGTGATTATGTAAAAATTTAGCATGAAACCAAACATACCTACCAGAAGCATGTCCAATTCCTATCTCCCATTATCTCTGAAACAAGTTTGATTAAGATGGAATGCACAAGGTGAGACACATACAGACAAATTAAGCTTGCTACACGGGTGGGTAGCAAATGAAAGAAAAATGGTATAGAATTTAGCCACATACGGTGCAGCAGATGTAAATCAACAATCCCTTGGACGTTAGGGTGCTCCAATATGGTATATGCAGGTAAAATAACAAACTGCAAACTTCTTTTATCTTTCAAATGTATCTTGTATTACTGTTATACAAGCCAAAGAGGTTTTCCTACAGCAAGCTATTAATCTGTTATCATTTTAGTAAATGTAAAAAATGTTATTACAGGAAATCAGCTGCTTTAACGCATATAGAAGGGATACTGCTTGCTTGATGATATGGTATTGCATGATGATGCACTTTGACAAGTTCAGAAACAAAAATTCTACCTACGCCAAAATAGCAGGAGTCAATCTAGGATCATCAAAGAATGCCTGGTCCTACTTGATTTCATTCAATATCATATATTTCTTTCGATTAAAAAGAATTCTAATAAAAACATAAAATTAGCTAAAACACATTCGAGCTGATAAACAATTAGTTATAGCCTAACTACTGAGAACGGTGCATTGAATTTAGCTGTTTCACATTTGCCTCCATCCCTTGTAGTAGTGTGGATCCTCCAGTAGGCTGATCCTACAAAACAAAGTGAGTTTTAAGGAATTAAACGGATGGAGAAAAAAATATAAAATATATGAAAATCCTGGGTGTGACTCTACTATACTACCACATTTGGTGAACCATCTTAAACATCTAAATCATTTGGGATTACTTCTTGCCTGAAATGTAACAGTGCCTACAAGTATTGGGAAAAATTATCATCATAGTAAATGTCATACAATCATCACACCAAAATGCAGGAAGCATTATAATTCAACATCCATCAATTTTGGGTCAAATCAAGGTGTCTTTGAGATAAATCATTCAAGAACCAGTGTCTTTTCCCCTTCTATGAAGAGACAAATAAAATCAAGAACGTTTACCCCATCAATTTCAGGATAAAATCAACATGTCATTGAGATAAAATCAAGGTGTCTTTTTCAGATAAATCATCCACGAACCAGTAAAATATTCTTGTCTTTTCCCCTTCTATGAAGAGACAAATAAAACCAAGAATATTTACCAGGTAAATCCATCAATTTTAGGATCAAATCAAGGTGTCATTGAGATAAATCAGCCAAGAAAGAGTAAAATACTCTTGTCTTTTCCTCCTATGAAGAGACAAGTAAATAAAACCAATAATCATTTACCAGGCAAAGGTGCTGAAAATTAAACATTAAATGTTTGAATTATATGTTTTTCTCTCTCTCATTTAATTTTTATTTTTGATGGAGTACAATGGTTTAAGTTTATCCCTGTAACTGGCTGTATCTAGTCTGATAAAGCTTGGTTATTGTCAGCATATCTTATCATTTACAAATTTCTTATTCCTCAATAATCATTAATGTCAAATAACAATGTATTAGAATTGCAATCATATACTGGTATCCATACCATCCCATGCATTCTTTGTGGGGCCATGTAATGGGCACCATGGATGGGTGCAATTGAGTACGACTGTCCCTGCATCAAGATTCATCCCAAAATCATATGTTAATACAAATCTAAAATCCCTAAACTATAGAAAAATGGAAAAAACCAAAGACTACCAAAAATCATTACCAGCCTTTGGATGCCATGCTGGTTGCTGTAATAATCATTACGAATAGCAGCTATCGAGTTCAACTGGCACTCCAACAGAATGAATGAGAGCTAATTAATATTCGAAGAATAAGTAGATTACAACTAGATATCTACAATCAGATTGAAATTGAAAACTCTAAAGACCTATTACCATTCCTGAACTAATTTGTTGAGTAGCAAAATAGTCATCCAGGTTCTGAGGCCTTGAGTTCAGCTGATCCTGTAACAGAGTTTGCAAAAGAGAGCCAAAATTTCAAGATTCATACGTGGCTCAGACAAAAAAGACTCAAAATTCAGACACTATTTTTTGGTCAAATAATGTGTGCAGTAGCAATGAAAAAATGCCATACCATCTTTTGAATGCTCTGCTGTGATTCACATGAACAATCAGGGTCAGCTGCCCGTGTATTGGGGTTTTCCGTTTTCCTATAACAAATACAAACCATAAGATATTCTTCTAAACTGAAGTATCACAATCAGAACATCCAGATGAATCTAACATTTACTTCAAACAAGAAGCACCAACCACTTGCTGCCAGCTGGAATTGACTCCCATAGCAATGATCTCTGGTTCGGGGCTTACCTATTAAGCATTACTACAATAAGGCAGGAACACAAAAGGTTTTCTGAAGTTATGGAAACAAAGTATGTAATATGAGCTTAATGGCTGAATTGGCAAAACTTACCTGTCTTTTCTTAAGAGTACTGTTCTTTTTGTTAGTATGATCAACACTATTCCTCAGATTTGTCTGTTGAGAACCAAAAATTGGTGGATTCAGTTCTATGACATTCTGAATTGACTCCTTCAGGCTCTCACACTTTCTAAGAGCTTCTTCCAACGCATTTACAGCAGCAATGTAACTCTCTTGTGACAAAGACCCTTCATCACCCAGCTCAAAGGCTCGTTGACACAAATTATCATAGCGCGTAGCCCTTGAGTTTGAGACAACCACATCTGACATATCTCTTGATGTTTCTCTACCCTTGGCATCTTTTGTCCAGCGTTTCAATATATACCGAGACGGGATGCTATGCACACCAGAAATCTGTAGCACAATCATTACATGCCTACAAAGAAAGCCATTGAATTCAAACAAATAACAGGAACACGAAGCTTCCAAGGTCAATTCATTCCACATGACAACAAAATCTTGATTGTCTTCAAAATCCTGAACTCTAAACATTATTCGCGGTCCATCCTCACTTTCCTTTCTTGGATGACAAGCAACAACTCCCAAAACCTCGCTCTGGAATTTCTTAAATATTTCATGCGTGTATAACTCCACCATCTGTTTCCCAAAAGGCGATGGCGATTTCAACACCGGCTGTTTATGCAGCGTTTCAAACTCTGCTTTTGCTTCCTCTTCACACTTATCACGCAACACCACTTTGTACTGCTCCAAAAACTCCTTCAATGTTGTTTTCCTCTGCATATATCTGTCCAACAGACAGTTCATAGAGTCCGATCTCTGCACAGTAGACATCCCTGCCAAAACTCTGCCTTTCATATATACCGGTACCCACCGTTGGCGGTCCTCATAAACTGAACGCAACCAACCGTTATCACCTAAATCAAATCTCTCAACCATTTCCCCCCACCTCTTCTCAAATTGCTCCTTTGTCCTGGACTTGATAACACACTTGTTAAACGTGGCAGCAAAATCCTCATGCTGATGCATGACGCAACCGAGCTTCTCCGGAACCTTACTGAACACATGCCACAGACAAAAACAATGACAAGAATCCGGAATGGCCATGGCAACAGCCTCCTTGAGCGCTTGATCCTGGTCAGTAAGAATCACCTTGGGAGCAATTCCACCCATTGCCCTCAGCCAGGCGCGCATGAGCCACGCAAACGTGGATTCGGACTGATCAGACAGGAATGCCAATCCCAGCAACATGAACTGAAAGTGATGGTTCACACCCAGAAAGGGAACGAAGGGAAGCTTGTAGTCATTCTTGAGGTGCGTGGTGTCGAACAGAACCACGTCGCTGAAATGCCTGTAATCAAGCCTGGCCTTAGCATCGACCCAGAAAACGGTCTTGAAACGCTGGTCGTGGTGGAAATCGACAGCGTAGAAGAAGTTAGGGTTTTCCACTTGCATAGAGATAAAATGGTGAAGCAAGGAGTGAAGGTCTTGATGGGCAAAAGGGAAATGCTTATGCAGTTTGGTTTGATTAGATTTGGAAGAGATTGATGTGTTTGGAGTTGCATTGTTGGTGTAATGGTAAGGGAAGGTGTCGTGATTATGGTGCTCAACAAAAGAAGAGATGATCCATGTACCGTGGTGCGTTCTCTTGACATGCATGCAGGCCTTGCAATCCGTTTTGGTTGGGCCACGTTTTCTTTTGAGAGTGTTGGAGACGCCGCATCTCGTGCAAGCGAATTTGGCGTCGATGAAGTTCCCTGAGATTCGAGATCGACGACTCGCTTTTATGATGGCCGAGAAACCCACCGATTTGGCGTATTCTTTGTAGTATGAGAATGCTTCCTCCTTTGAATTAAACCAATCCTTCTCTTTCTCCTTCTCCTTCTCCTTCTCCATAGTCTCCAATTGGGAGTTTTGCTTTCCACTTCCCCTCTACTCACTCTCCTTCCCTTCCTCTCATCCCCTCTTTTTCATGGAGTGCATTCACAGGAACAACAAAAACGATACCCTTTTTCTTCCATGTGAGGATAGACAAAATGACAAAAAAGATGATAATAAAATATCTAATTGGTAAAAGTAGTTCAAATGATCAGATTGTTTCAGTTCAAGGTTTTTTAACCCAAACTCGACCATTGTTCATGATTTCTCAAATATAATTACTATCTTTGATTTATAATTTAATAAAAGAAGAAAAAAGAGAAAAAAAAAATTCAGTTTGGTTAAAAAGGAAAGGAGAATTCCTTGTTTCATTTGTAAAGAACTTTCTTATTGGATTTGTAAGAGAAACAAAAATGGATATAAAAGTAATGTAATCATGTCTCAAATGAATATTAATGACAGGAGGCAGGAAAATAAAATCTTAAACTATTTAATCAATGCAATTAAAATATTAGAATTTGTTTTCTTTTTTTCAATTTTCTAAGATTAGTGAAAATATAATTTTTAACTTATTTTAATAAAAATTGTTAAATAAATACTTAATTAAGCTACAAATCACAAATTTTTGAGGAGTCATTATTTTTTATCCTTAGAAAAATAAAGAAAATTACTCTTATAGATGCAATACTAGACAAAGAAACAACTCCTAATTTATCAATGATTTCTGTGTCACCAACGACCAACCAGAAACTTGAAGCTTCAGAAAAGGAAAAAGGCAGGAAAGAAAAAACTAATTAAAATGCAGAAAGTTCTAAAAAATGTTTAGCATTTTTTTTCTTTTGAAAAGTAAAAATTGTTCCTTTTGTACATCGTATGTTCATAAAGCTAAGTACATGATCTCTAACATTATTTCACTTTAATAATTAATCATGCAATAGGCCTTTCTTGGCATCTCTGTGTTGTTGAACAATCAAAACTGACCCATGAATATCAAAGTCAGAAGAAGCCAAGACATCACCAACTGTTCCAAGTTCTGGACACTCTTCCCAGTCACTCATACCAATTGTTAATGAACTTTGTCCCCTACCACCCTTTCCTACTATAAATAAAGAGTACATGTCCCCTATCTCTTTCAAAGACTCCACTGTTTGTGCTCCATCCCTCACAAACTTTTCAACATACCCAATTTGACCAGAAGTCACATACCTGTTGTAGAAATCAACCATGAAGGTGTTGTCAATTTCATTCACAGTCTCTTCACCAGACAAAGACATCAAAATTTCCTTGTCCTCAGATTCTCCACTTTCAATCTGTTCATTCGATGATGAAGAAGTCAACAGAAACCTTATTATTGTCAAGTTAATTCTAGGACTTCCTGAAATGCGTAGGCTCCAAGCAATAGCCTCACGATCATCAGGGCCACCAAAGAAAAGTGTTGCAACATTGTGTATGTTGTCAGATGAAACTAGTTGTGAGAAGCCAGGGACCCTAGCAAGTCCTCTTTCTACAATGACACCAACAGAACAAGGGGCATGTCTAAGCACCTTCTGATTAGTGATCCTTATGCCTTCTTTCCCACTTTCCAATTTTCCATCAATTCGTTGATGCTTATGGAAGGGAATTAGAATGACAGAAACTTGAAGATCTTCTGCTTCATTGCAAACATCTTCATACAAACTTGGGAAAGTGGACACAGCTCTTCTTTGGTGGACAAGAATCTTTGTGTCTGTTGTGAAGGCATCCAAAGCATTGTTGATTTCCACCACATCATTCCCACCATAGTCTTCATCGTCACTTAGGTCTTCATTTTCTTTTTCATGGTATAATAGGTTAGACTTTATCTTCTTCACAAGCTCTATTAGGTGTATCAAATAAGTGGTAGATGCTGATGTTTTAGACCCATGTATTGCCAATACCGTGGCTAGTATGGCAGATACTTGACGAGGATCATATACACAAGCCAAAATTCGAAGCTCATCCTCCATTTGTTGTGGTTCAATTGCAGTGTGGTTGTTTGCAAACATTTTCTCTTCCCCTCTTGCTAGAAAAGCCACAATTATCCCTGATATTATTGTGTTGAGTACTACCGATACTAACAACACATTGTAAGCTTCTGAATCAAACGTCTATACAGAAAATCAACACAAGAGAAGAGCCATGGTATTATTAGTACATATATATAAGTAATATATTTGAGATATATAGTCTGATTAATTCAACCAAGACAAAATATACTAACAATTATTTGCTTTGAGGCTGCACCAAAAAATAGGAGATCAGCATAGCCTCTAGTGTTTAATATGAAGCCAAGAAAAATTCCTTCACTTGTGGGAATTTGAAGGTAACGACAAACTATAAGAGTGCCACCAAGCTTGCTTCCAATGCTCAACAAAATCAATATGGCTGTGTTTCCCGCTCGCCCCCAATCCTTGAAGATATTTATTAAGTCACATTGTAAACCCAAATACCCAAAGTATACTGGAAGTACAAAGTTGTAAATAGAATAACCAAGTTTATGCAGTAATGTTCTAGCTGTTTTTCCTTCCTTAGGGAAAAATAGGCCAATGATAAAACAACTAATAATACTGTTGTAACCCCAAATTTCTATTATCATTGAGCTACTTAGGAGCAAAAATAGGATGAGTAACAACTCAGGAGCTTTGAGGTACTTCTGATTTTGATTTCTTGCATTTAACCAAACAGCCAAGTACCTGTTTATAAAAACTACCAAGGTAGTAATTGTAATGCAGCCAAGACCAGCAGGAATGTGATTTTTCCTTTTCCAGTTAACCATCACATTAAAGAACAACAAACACCCCATTTCTGTGATCAATGCAGAAGACACTGCTATTCGCCCAACATTTGATGCTGCAAATCTCAACTCTGCTGTCAAACGAATAACCATAGGGGAGCTTGTGTATGATACCACTAGCATAATGATCATACAAAAATAATACAAGGGAGCATTGTCAAGGGTTTTCATTGGTTTATATAAATAAAAGGAGATAGATAGACCAAAAACGCCACCCATTATTGCACCACCACAAGCTACTAAGCTAACCATACGTAGATTGCGTATGATGTAGTGAAAATTCATTTCTAAACCAAATAAAAACATGAAATGTATGCGACAGAAAAAGCTCACAACTTCATAATAATTAATTGAACTGGCAGGAAAGAATGTTTCTTTTATGTGCTTAATATGTGACATTGGACCTAGCACCAACCCAGCCTGTTAAACAATGCAACAATAGTTAATAACGAAACTTCAATTCATTGCATGATTGACAAAATTAAGGTGAGTGATTACCAGAATTTGTGCAATGGGTCCAGGTTGACCCACAGTCCTAAGCACAACGTTGAAGAAGTGTGACACAACAAGAATGCATGACACTTGCATGCCCATTGAGCTTAGAGGGTTAACCAAATCATTGTTACAAAACATTGTGTGAGTGGCATCCATTGTGCTTCCTGTGTTTCTCAAAACTCAAAACAAAAAAGTTACGAGGAATCAAATGTTAGAGAAGCAATTGATATGACTTTCCAAGTTCTAACAATTCTTTTGCATATGGGAGATGATGGAGCCTATGTTTCAGATCCTAAATTATTGGTGGAAGACACGTAGCAAAGCATAAGGCCCCTTTTACCTTTTCTTCCTTTACTTTAGCTAATGGTAACAATTAATTATTATTTTTTACACAAGTCAAAACAGATTTTATACATCACTATTAATATGTTATAATAATAAGAACTAACTAAAGAACCGCAACAATAACTTGCAAACGACGCATACATAGAACCCAAATAAAATTAAAAAAATTGTATAATTTGAGCTTAATCATTGAAACATTGGTCAACTTAAAACCATCTAAACAAATCGTCTATATCCCTTGATCCAATCAAACTAATATTACGGATTCATTTTTGGGTCATACTATCAGACTTTTTATCTTGAAATATAAAATGTATGGCAAGATGTTGAAGAAAATTAAAATCATACGCATTCGTTTAAAGGGCATTTGAGTTTGAAAAGCCAAAGTCTCATAATTATTATGAGCTAGCATTATTTAACATGTGAATTAGCATCATGTTGAAAATATCAACACTATACAAACTTGGTCATGAAGAGGACAAGAATGTCGAGGGAGATTTGAAATTGAAGCAATTACCCCGGTTTTAAAAACTCAGAAAATGAATATTCTTAGAGAGCGTTCGAAGAACTTCGAATCCTTTTGCGTAAAAGGAGAAAGTTTTTCTTCTTTTTTTTTCCCCCTTGATTACAAAATTGCAACTTTTGTAAATAGTACAATTTGTGACCTACTTTTTCATGTTAAACTTTGACCTTATAATCGATACTACAATTCGTGACCTCGTTATTCTGGTGTTTAATTTTTCTAGAAATTATCTATTCAGTTTAGATATTAAGCATAGATATATCATTTACAATGTGGTTTCTAATGAAAATCATTGCGGTCAATGTTGCATGGGTATGGACTTGCGTATTAGATACAACATGCAAATACATTAAAAAAAAAGATACAGGTACAGAATAATATATTAAGTAAAATATAATTTTACAAATTGCTTATATTTTTTTAAGTTACTAATTAATATAAACTATATAAAATATTTATATTACCATAAGCATCATTTGTCATCATCATTGTATTACTGTCGATTTTTTTATCACTTGAAAATATAATAAAAAATATATAATTATAACAAATTAAAATTAAAATATTATATTCAAGTTATTATATCAATTTTTTATTAACCAAAATTTGTATATTGAAAAATTTTAAAGTAATACAATAAAGCTTTGATGATAAGGCAGTTGTATGTTACGTGTATCAAGTACAATACAGTCCTTGCCAAACTTGAAGTATTCGTGCATCATAGACTAAGACTACCTTTTCAGAGTGTGATTTCTTCGGTGCAGCAATCAAGTGCAATGAATATTATGTCCCTTAGAACCTGTGATTTCAAAAGAAACTTAAAGAATTTTACAATGTTTTAGTTCAACACTTTATAAGGAAAAATGGACCTTTGATTTTGTGTATCCAAAAAATCATTAGTTGAATAAGATTACAAAAGCAGAATGCTATTAATTGCTTATTACAGGTCTATCAACAACGATGAAATGAGAAATTCTATCGATACACTTTAAATACTCTTTAACGCACTTCCTGCGATTGATCGGTTAATGTTTTTATCCTCCTATGCTCTTGGTGTAGGATAGAAGCTTCTTAGTAGAATTTTTGTTTTAACACTTAGATGTAAAAGATAACTTCAGTTGTATTCCAAATTCTATTTCTACTTCTAATTGAGACATTTTAAGATTCATATTTATTTTCATAATTCTTGTAGACCATGTAATACCTTAATTTTATATTCAAATTTATGTTTAAAAAAGAATTTATGGTAAAAAGATAAAATAAATTTAGTCAATTTAATAAATTATAAATTTATTTTAGAAAACATTACTTGAATTGATATTTGCTGCAATTATTTAAAAATCCAGTATACAGAAACAACAAGTTATAATTATTGTTGTCAAAATACAATACATATTCTAAAAATTTAAATGTCACATTACAAAGTATGAAAGGCTATTAGTCAAAAGTTATGGACTACAACAAAATTTAGAAATAAATAATTTGGAATGTAAAGTAGCATAAATTTCTTCAATATTACATATTTTTTTTGTTAAAGCAGATTAACTTGCAAAAAGAAGACACAGAAACACAAACATTTGACACCGGCGAATCCCTTTGAGGATCAACTCAAGTAAAATTTACAGTTAGAAAGACAAGAATCAGTTTCGTTCATACATGTGCTGAACTGGTCAACGCATATAACGAAAGTATAAGCTCACCTTTGACAATTTTCTCTTAGCTGAGCAAGGGCTACGGCTACTTTAGCTCCAATAAGAGCATTATTCTTCACAAGAGCAATGTCTAAATTGTGGTTAAGATTTGCTTTAACACTAGGTCAAATATTTATTTTTGAGATGATGTTCAAAATCATATTAACAATAGAAGTGGATACTAGAAGCAAGTGAAGCACCTCCAGTCAGCTCATTTACTCTAGCAAGTAAAAAAGGAGTCTCAGCATTCCCTGTAATATTGCTTTCCCTACAAGTGACATATATTAAATTTAATTTTAACAAAATCCATATTCAACATATGACGAAGATATTAGTAAACTAGTGAATGTACCACTTACATATGATGCCATGATGGATAGAGAAAGAGAACAAAACGTTTACCTAGCTTCTTTAAGGGCCTTTTGAATGGCAGATTCAATTATGTGTCCGGAAGTTGACTGTTCTCGAGGAATAGGAACTGCTATCAAAATTCCAGTTCCAAGCTTGAGTTTGTTGTTAGCCTCTGCAAGTGGAGTAAAAAAAGAGATCATATAAACACTGTTAAAACATATAAACTTACACCAAAAATAAAAAAGAAAAAGGTTTCCTTTGCCTATTAAGCGAGCACATTCTTCAGGGGTATCTACTCGACATGAAACCTGTAAATTATGCCATGACCAAATATTAGGTTGTCAATTAAACTCTTTTCTTGATACATTATACTATTTACATTGCAATCTTGAAAATACATTTAATCTTAAAATGATATCATAATAATGATGGTGAAAATATGGTTGTGAAATTATCAATTGAATCACAAACCAGAAGGCCGAATTCATAACTATGAATTGAAATGTTTTGTAAATGCTAATACTCAATCAATTATTAAAAACATAAAAAACATTTGTTGCATAATGAAACATTACAAACATTTACATTAACATTTTAAAGTCAAATAACTCATTATGTGGTAAAGAAATTGAAATCTGAACTTCAAAATAAATCAAAAGCATCATACAATTAAAATGACAAAAAATAAACAATCAATATCTGCATTTACTAAAACTGTCCGTGAAATACTTTAACAATGGTTCCATGCAACATCAATATCATTTTTTCAATATGATCCATGGTACTGCACCCACACAACACAACAGAGCAGCAAAGAGTAGACAGACAACATATGAAAAAACCAGCAGCCGCCCTGTTCTCTTCGCAACAAACAACCCCACTATTGAATTAAGCACTTATAGCATAAGCCTTCATGTGTAAGTTCTTACTGATATGTTAGGCCCAGCTTATTCAAGCTTTTCTTCATTAAAAAAAAAAAGTTGGGCCAAAATAATTTTTAAGAAGCTCTAAAACAAAAAGAAAATTTTTTTAATAAGAAAAAAACAAAAAATAAAAGCTTCTAGAGAAGCTAATTGAAGGAACTTCTACTTCTCTACTTTGAAAACAGCCTCCTCTCCTCCATCTATATAGTCTCTCCTCCAAACACTTGACCTACAAATCAAATGAGTTTGAAATAGGTGTCATTCATGACTCATCATGGTTTGGACATAGGCTTATAGTGTCTCTATGCATGAAGCTGATGAGCTTGGTTCATGCAAATGATGCCAGCACAAAACAGGTGAGGTGTGACAAGACAAAGGACGCAGATTGTCCATGGATATAGGTGGTTCAGAGATGGTGGCTAATCCCGATGGTCATCTTCAATGGCATCAGCAAGTGGCAAGTTCGGGAATGGGCATGATGGGTCTTGGTTTAAACAGCAATGACCATGGAATTGTGCAGAATCTGCCATAGTGCTGGTTGATAGTAGCTTGAGATAGGAAATGGTTATGGGAGGTTAAGGATAAAGATATTATCAAATTACCTTATATTTACTTCTTAAGAAAATGTTTTTAACTTTATCTTTTAAACTAACTTTTAAGATGAAATGAAAAAGCTGGGTCACATCAAGTATCAACATGTTTAAGAAAGTCTTAGGAGAGCCAAATATAATATACCTTGCAGCCACTTGATTCTGTGAAAAATGCAGGAAACTCGTTGGTCTTGTAAGCAGCAACACAAACTCCCAGTGTTTCCTATTCAAGATAAAAAATAAATAAATAAATAACATCAACAAATCATAACTGCTTTATTAATATCAAAACAAAAGTCAAAGGATACCAAATATTCAAGTGTCTTGGGAATATCTAATATTGATTTTACACCAGCACAAATAACTGTTACTGGTGTTCTTCCAAGCTCAGTGAGATCAGAAGATATGTCCATAGCTGCAGCAAAAAATGAAAATAAAATGCTCAACAAAATGTCATAGACATTTTTGTAGAAACAATAATATGACAACTGAAAAGCAATTTCAGTTCTTAAGTTTGAAGAGGAAACAAGAAATTATATGTTCCACAATGCAATTAAACTGATCCTATAAGATCCCAGAATCAAGATTTGAGTCAAATTACAGGTGTATTTTTCTGTTTGTAAACCTTGGCTCTAAGACTGGTAGTAAAACTAATCTACCAGATTTATACGTTTGTGTACTCTGAAATTTAATAAAGCTCAGTTTAAAACCCAATCAGATCCATTAAAAAGTGCAGTTTTGCTTGCATTACACAAGCATTCCCATGTTAAACCGATGAAATTCCCACCAAATGTGGACTTCTTTTGTAATTTTAAAAGCCAAAGGAGGAAGTTTAACCTTTAATTACCGTAAAAATATCTAAAAAATAAATTAAAGGACCAAATGTGATTATTGCTTTGTAGGTGTGGTTATTTATTTACACGATAAATTACATCAAATTACAACAGGTATTTTTGGTCCAAAAAAAATGTTGAGGTTTCTTCTGTGGAAGGCCAAACTTGGTCTGAGGCCAGAGCTCTCCCTTTCCATTGTTTAAGTTACAAATTACAGGTCTTTCTTGGACCCTCCAATACAACAACAATAAATAAAACATGCACTGGTTGATTCATTCGGTGCCAAAATTTTAGACCAAAACATCTTAATCTTACAAGATTTGTCAGCATCCTTCTTCAAAAGCAAAACATTCTATTACTAAGATATAGGATGTTAACATACTGTGTTCCCCATGTCTGTGCACTCCCCCAATCCCCCCAGTCACAAAGACAGGAATATGAACCTGCAAAAATTCAAAACAGTAAAGACAGTGAAACCAGAATAGCATGATACAAGGACTGGGGATGAAATAGAGATAGTATGTGAGAAAATCACCATAGAAGCCAAAAACATTGAAGCAGAAACAGTAGTTGCACCATTTCCACCACGAGCCACCTAAAAATTACATATGTTAGTACATAAAACCATAGAGAAACACTAAAATACATAAAGGTACAAATGGTAGGGAGAAAAGGTCACTAATGTAGAAAGTTCATTTTTTAAAAGTTATTCTGATGTTTACAGTAGAACATAAAAACTTAAAAGATACATAATGGCAGTAATAAATTTGACAACCTGGCAACGAAAATTTAGCTCATTAAAAGTACATAACTTAGTGATCAAACTTACAATCTCAGACCATTAGTCAACTCAAGATTCAAGAAACTAATCTCATACGCTTGCAAAAATCTAAGATATTAGTTGAATTCAATTTATCAGCCAAAAGTCCACTGCAAAATGGGAAGAACCAGCTAGATGATAATAAAGATTTCCATCACAATCAAGTCAACAGTAAAATTTTCATCATTGAAGGCATATGTGAGAGGGTGTAATTAAAAAAGCTACTTAATGCCAGAATAATCTTTTTATTTATTTTCTTTATTTTTTCAAATATAAGTTATCTGTTGAGCCTTATTGTAGCAATAATTTTAGGTCCTTTATGATAATTATGTATTTTGATTTTGAAAATCTTGTCAACGTTTTTTTATAAATTGTTAACACAAATTTCTAAGAGACCATATGCAAGTACACACTATCCAATTGTGTTTTATGAACAAGTACATCTTTCCTCTTAGGGATAGAAGATGGCTAGTTGGGTCGGTGGGGGGAAACCAATAATTCGAAGGAATTCTTGCACACTATATACAATAGTTGCTTAGAATTCTTGGACTACACAATAATTCTGCTATAAGGGCTTTTCAACTTTTTTTTATATGGTTGCTAAGGACATCCATATATACATACATGAATATGGTGAATACTAATGCCAGAACACTCACAACATGTGCAATGTCCCTTCGAGCTGTTTTCTGTGCTCTGGTTCCCAGAGTAGCTAGCCTTTCAAGTTCTTCCATACTTAGACCTATCCACATATAATGAGCAAACAAGGGTAAATTAGTCCAATTTAACCAAAAAAAAAATACAATAAAACATATTCACTATCATTATAGCGGCAAAGTGAAAATGGGAGGACAAACTCTTCGGCTAATTTTCAACTTTGTGAACAAATGACATGCATAGAGCAAGTGATCTGGTATAAGAATGAGACATTGCTTGCACATAGCCACTTGTGACTTTCCTAACCCCTATTCATTTTATTTTATGAATCAATATTCTTTGCTATTCTGAATATTCTCCTCATTCCAAGACCCCATTTCAAACCAAGCTTGATTCACAAAATATGAAAAGGAAATCCATAAGTAACTAGGTGAAAGTACTTTGTCGTTCTTCACATACCAGATCACTGTGCTTGCAAGTGAATGTAAAATATGAAATAGAAATCCAATGCATAGACTAGAGAAGGATGACAATATAGACCTACACAAGGCGTGCCATCTAAAATTGCAATGGTTGCAGGAACTGCACCATTCTCTCTTACAATACTTTCGACCTCCTTTGCAGTTTCCAAATTTTGAGGATATGGCATCCCTACAACAAGAGTATAGTCCAAATACTAATATGTGGGTGTCGGATATGAAAAGGTGCGCGCGCGCACACACACACACATATATGAATAGAATATAGAAAACCGTGTGAAATGATGGTAGATTCCAGAGCAACAACAGCACGCCCCATGGATAATGCTTCAGAAACCTCTGCAGCTACCTTCACCTTGATTGATCCTCCAATTCCATTGACTTCCGCGGCCTATATGAAAACCCGTTTCAGACTTTGCATAGGAATAATGTTTCACCGGATTGAAACACAAATGAATAAAAGGGTTAAGAAAGGGAACAACATAACTTGGATAAGTTCGTAAAAATGATGAATATGCGAGAAATCCATATTCAATACCTTGTTCATTGTTTCACCCAAATCCAAGTGTCGCCGAAGATTGTTCAGTCGAGAGACTGCTGAAGATTCCATGCTCACCTGCTCACTGTTAAGACTCACCTCCTCCCGTTTAAATAAAATCTAACAGTAAATTAAGTATTATATACAAAGTAATGCTTGGATAAATTTTTTTAAGAATTATAATAAAAAATAAAAAAATTAATAAATTAAAAACAACTCTTGTACTTCTTTGTTTTCAAGAAACTTTTCCTCGTTTAATTTTTTTATAATTTAAAAATGAATTATTTTTAATTTATAAAAAATATTATCTTTTTTCTTTTATAAGAGAACTTATCTAAAAGTTCACGTAAATATAACTAAAGAGTCTCTATTTTAGTTTAATATTTTGTCAAATTCTTTTAGGTTATATTTACAAAGGCAGTATTTTAGCTTATTAACTTAGTTAATGAACTTTTAAAGCTACTGACAAAACAAAATGAAATTTATTAATATTTTTATTCTTTTTATTATTAATAATTAATAATATATTTTGTGAGATAAAAAAAAAAATATTAAGTAGATAAATGAGAAGTAATAAAATTGATTTTCATCCATATAATGGAAGAAAGAAGAGATAGATGTTGGTGTTGGAGGCAAAGAGTGGAAAGGTGTGTGAATGGGAAATGGCGAGCCTAAGCCTATGCCATTCTCCGATTCTGAGTGTCGCAGAGCTCCGCAAAGGCATCTCATCACTGAACATGGCGGAAGAGAGAAGCCTCATAAACGCATCGCTTCTTCTGAAAGGGTGCATAAGGTCTGGTAACTTAGAGCTTGGTAAACTCCTTCACCACAGGTTGCTACACTCTCCACTCGTCCTCGACTCGGTTCTTCTCAACTCCCTCATTACCCTCTACTCTAAATGTGGGGAGTGGGAGAACGCACTTCAAATATTTCACAGCATGGACAATCGTATCAGAGACTTGGTTTCTTGGAGCGCTATCATCTCCTGTTTTGCCAACAATAACATGCAATCCCAAGCCCTCGTTATGTTTCTTAGTATGCTTCAATCTGGCCTTTATCCCAATGAATATTGCTTCACCGCGTCCATTCGATCTTGTTGTAATGCTCAACATTTCTCCGTCGGCCGTGTCATCTTCGGATTTATACTGAAGACTGGATATTTTGATTCTCATGTTTGTGTTGGTTGTGAGCTAATCGATATGTTTGTGAAGGGTGGCAGTGATATTGAATCCGCACGCACGGTGTTTGAGAAAATGCAGGAGAAAAATGTAGTTACTTGGACCTTGATGATCACTAGATTTGCACAACTAGGTTTCCTGGGTGATGCCATTGATTTGTTTCATACTATGTTGCTAAGTAGGTATACGCCTGATAGGTTTACTCTGACTAGTCTCGTGTCAGCCTGCGCCGAGTTCGATTTCTTATCGCTTGGGAAGCAATTGCATTCTTGGGTTATCAGGTCTGGATTGGTTTCAGATGTGTGTGTTGGTTGTAGTTTGGTGGACTTGTATGCAAAATGTGAAGCTGTTGAAAACTCTAGGAAAGTGTTTCATAGGATGCCGCATCATAATGTTATGTCTTGGACTGCACTCATCTCAGGATATGCGCAAGGTAGTGGAAGAGAACAGGAAGCCATCAAATTGTTTTGTAGAATGCTTGAGGGTGGTCATGTTGCACCAAATCGCTTCACATTCTCCGGCGTCCTCAAGGCTTGTGCAAATCTCCCTGATTTTGGCTTTGGCAAACAACTTCACGGCCAAACAATTAAACTAGGCCTTTCTGCAATTGATTGTGTGGGGAATTCTCTTATTAACATGTATGCTAGGTCTGGAAGAATGGAATGTGCTCGAAAAGCCTTTCGTATCTTATTTGAGATGAACTTGATTTCTTACAATGCAGTTGTAGATACTAATGCAAAAAAATTGAGCTCTGAAGAATCCTTTAACCATGAAATTGAGCACACTGGCATTGGACCTAACTCTTTTACATATGCATGCCTCTTAAGCGGTGCTGCATGTATTGGTACAATTGACAAGGGTGAACAAACTCATGCCCTTGTAGTGAAGTCGGGGTTTGGAAGCGACCTATGCACTAATAATGCTTTAATCTCTATGTACTCCAAGTGTGGAAACAAAGAAGCTGCATTACAGGTCTTTAATGACATGGGGGATCGTAACGTCATAACTTGGACCTCTATCATAAATGGTTTTGCAAAACATGGATTTGCTACAAAAGCATTAGAATTGTTCTATGAAATGCTTGAAATAGGTGTAAAGCCTAATGAGGTCACTTACATTGCGGTTTTATCAGCCTGTAGTCATGTTGGTTTGATTGACGAGGCATGGAAACACTTCAATTCCATGCGTTATGATCATGGTATTGTTCCACGGATGGAACATTATGCATGTATGGTTGATTTGCTTGGTCGATCTGGATTGCTTTTAGAAGCCGTTGAGTTTATTAACTCAATGCCTTTTGATGCTGATGCATTGGTCTGGCGCACATTTCTTGGTTCTTGTCGGGTTCATCGTCACACAGAACTTGGGGAGCATGCTGCAAAAATGATTCTCAAGCGAGAACCACATGATCCAGCTGCCTATATATTATTGTCAAACTTGTATGCATCAGAAGAGAGGTGGGATGATGTGGCAGCCATTCGAAAAAGCATGAAACAGAAAAAATTAACAAAAGAAACAGGCTACAGCTGGATTGAAGTTGAAAATCAGGTGCACAAATTCCATGTAGGGGATACTTCACACCCCCAAGCTCAAAAGATATATGATGAACTTGATAGATTGGCTTTAAAAATAAAAAATTTGGGTTATGTACCAAATACAGATTTTGTTCTTCATGATGTGGAGGATGAACAGAAGGAGCAGTATCTGTTTCAACACAGTGAAAAAATTGCGGTGGCATTTGCTCTTATTAGTACCCCCAAAGCAAAACCAATTAGAGTATTTAAGAATCTGCGGGTTTGTGGAGACTGCCATACGGCAATAAAGTATATATCAATTGTGACTGGAAGAGAGATTGTGGTGAGAGATGCAAATCGGTTTCATCATATCCAGTGTGGGAAATGCTCTTGCAATGATTATTGGTAAATGGTAATCATATACATCAAATTGAGTATAGACTTCTTGGCCTCAGGACTGTAAATTTTGAATGGTTATTTTTCCTTATGCTTTAGTCATTCACTGTTTTGCTGCAAACACCAAGGAAATTGTGAATATGGAAACTCTATACTCTTCGAACCTAGTAGCCGTTGACATGACAAAATGAGTTAAACAGCCACCAAGCCAACCTACCTAACCCACCCTCCATAACTTGGAGTTGTTGCAGTCAGGTTGACCCACTTGGTCCATTTTCTTCATATAGTTATTTTTTTCTTAGCTGTGAAGTCCTCCAAAATTCTTAATGCAAACATAATTGTTATTATTTTTCATAGCTTTTTTATACTATTTTTATTATTTAATTGGATTGACAAGTTAACCCACGATAAAATGAGAGTTTGTTAGGACCTATTTTGTTTTTAAAATATTTTTTGTTTTTACTTTTAATTATAAAATTGATATATTATTTTTCATTTTATTACCTTTTATAAAAAAAAAAAACCTATACAAGAAACAATGAAAATAGTTTAATATCACATAATCAAATATCATATCAATATGTAATTTTATCATTACGAGTCTCTACTTTCTATCTTTTATACTTAATGCGTAAAACAAATAAACACGGTATCTTTGTGTTCAATGACCTCCTTCGTATGCCATAATCAGTTGTATGTCATGTCGTCTTATCCAGTTTCTTCACGTGTTCTGCTACCATCTTTCACAATTTAGCCTTATTTCCTCACTTTCTTGTGCGCTTTTTCTTCTCCTTTCTTAATTTTCATATATTTAGTTGCAAGACCTATTTCGCTCCTCCATATGCCTCTGATAAATTTACTTATCATGATTGCACACTTACTCCTTTCGTTCATGTTGATACAATGAATAATACCAAGTTTTCTGCATGGGCAATCTTGGAGAAGGAAAAAGCTTTAGAAAATAAAATGTAATTATTTAGGTATTGTTAGCGGTGTTTATTAATTATAATTAAAATTAAAATTAAAATTTATTTTAATAAAAAATTATATAATTAGTTTTTTTTTTTGTTTTAGTGAATATATAAAGTGTATTGTTGAAATAAAAATTGACCTAGTAGCCTTAATTGTTTATCATACAATGAATCAGTTATCATTAATATAAAAAATAGGTAAATTTTATAGTACTATCTAAAATGAGAAAATATTCTATATTCTTTTATACGTTAAATAATTATGATCGTTAATTTTATATTAATAAATAATAAGGTTAATAATTTATTTAAAAAATACGTAAATATTCTTTAATCTTTAAAGTACTAAAGGAATCACAATCTTCAATCAAGAGAAGGTATACAATATTTTTTTCAAATTTAAGAGTATTATAGTAAACACAAAAAGAAAAAATCAATAGTAAAATTACTTTTAGACAAATTATAATCAATCAAAACTTAACTAATCTATTTCATCTAGTTGAATCAATTATTAATACATTTGTAAATAGATTTAACATTTTTTTCATATATTAAAAAGTAAATATTTTGAAGTTTAACAAATTTTTATTAAATACTTTTTTTATGTTACTTTCACCTTTATGATTGATGTAAAAAATTACCAGTGATTTGTGTAATTAAGAAAAGTATTTGGTGTTATGTTGTTACATAAATTAAGAAAGGTTTATATAGAGTGAAAAAAAGAAGAATTATTGAATGAAATTTTATTAAATCCTAGAAAAATATAAACGTAATTTACCTTGAATATAAAGTGTTTTATTCTCACAACGTTATCTAGTTCAATAAGTTGAAATAAATGCTTTATTATCTAGTCCAGTTAACAATATTGATATAAATAAAATGTAACCAAAAAAAAATAAAAATCAATAAACTCCAGCTAACAGCTACATGTTATCATTGGTTTTGTTTCCCTCGAGGTTCATTTCCCTTTTGCTAAGCAGAAGAGATACAGTATCTTTATTTTTTTAATTGCATAGAACATTGTTACACTCTTTCATAATTATGTAGGATTCCCTTACAATATCAATTTAAGTTTTATAAGATAATGCATACTCTTAAATTGCTTTAGGTTATGCGATATAGGCGAACATTGTATGAAAATAGCTTAGCTATGTTTTAAAGACATGAAATAAAATGGAACAATCAAAGATAGGGCAAGAATAAATTTATATAAGATCAGGTATGCTGGTTGATAAAATGTACAAGCGAAAAAATAAATATTAATGAAAAAGATTAGTTAGGAATTAGCACAATAAGTGTTTCTTGCATTTATGGAAAATTGAAAGCAAATTTTAGTCACATAAAAATCGTTAAATGATGTTAACAAACAGTATTCAGAAAATGTTAGCTTTACATGTAATTCTGACAAATAAAAATTATAAAAAAATAATTTAAAAAAGAAGTATATTTTTTAAGATTCTATATTTATTTTGGTCGTGAATATGTTAAAAGCAAATGCAGGCATATTTTGTCAAATATTTATAGAAATCGGGGATTTCCACACACCAATGGTCGATTCCATGTCCCTGAAATTTGAAGGTGTTCGTTGAACCAGCATTGGTTGTCCTTGCAATTGCAATCTATTGAAATTAAACCTAACTAAGCCTTGTAGGATCACTATGTCACCAGACCCAAGTTGACGGTAAACCAATACTACACCATTTGGGTATGAAAGCACCTCCTCCTGGTCTTACTAAAAATAATATTAAGTTAATTAATCAAAACAATATAGGACAGAATAATGCAATTTAACCGCCACTGCAAAACATCGAAAGTCTGAAATGCTATAAACATGCAGAATATTAAACAAATGAACCTTTTTCTTCACAAAAAAAATTTAATGCAGACTCAACTATTGTTCCTTTTGCTGAGGTTTCGTAACAGCAAAAAGGATGATAAACAATGTCAATTGCCTCGTTGCTTCAGAAGACTGTGTTTCTCCAAATTTGATTTAGCTATGTACAACAGAAAAATATATTTCATAATACGAAGCCAAATCTGGCAGGTCAAACAGTTTCAAACAGAACTCGGCGCTCCAATAGTTCTGATAAAACACCCCTCATTTTGTCAACAGAAACAGGTTTCAATATAAGGCCATTCATACCAACCCTCATACAGTTCTCTTTGGTCACCTTTTTGGTGTTTCCGGTAAGAGCAACTATCAGTGGTCTATCGTGATGTTTCGTAAACTTCTCATGTAAGCGTACTGCTAGTTCATAGCCATCTAACCCTGTACAAACATCCATGAAGACCACTTTGTGTTCTGGAGAAGCAACACGCAGGCATTCTTCACTCGAGCTTGCAGTTGTGACATCACATCCTAAATGCATAAGAAGTCCCTTTGTTACTGTCTTGCTAACCCTGCATTACAAGTTTCAACATCAGCTACGAGACAATCAAACAAATCAATAAATTTCAATTACTTGTTTTGTTTCCTTTTTCCCACATATGCACACAGCAATTTCAGCCACTAATTCTGATTTTTGAGCTCCTCAGATAGCAAGTAGAAGGTGAATAAGTAGATGAAGAGCTCAAACCTGGAGCGTATATTCTTTTTTGGCAATAAAGTGGGTGACATTGTACATATAAATCCTTAGATATAAAATTATTCATGTATTTCTAAAGATATTGAAATTTCAGGGAGAGTGAATTGAGAACGAATTGGATTTAACTCAAACCCTCAAGAGGGAAAGATTGATCCAATCATTATAAGAGATACTTGCCTATATATACCAAGCCTACATGTAGCTTAAGGGGGCATGGCGGCTTCATGGCTTTTCCAGTGCAATGTTAATTTATGTAATCAGTCCTACAAGTTAATTGCACTGAAAAATCCATGGTACCAAGTTTTTTTTTCAATCAAGGGTGGCCTAAATATCAGATCCACAATAAGCTCTAATTCCATGTGAATTTTGCACTTAAGTCTAACTTAACACCAAAAGCTAGAGACTTAACACAAAAGCTAGATCGTAAGATGAGGATTGTTTTAACCTTTATAAGCTCTTATTTAATTATATCTATAGTCAATGTGAGACTTGAACAAAACTAAGCCAAATTAGAAAATTATTTTTTAAAATAAGATTGAATAAAAATGAAAGTTATCAGAAAAGTTTTTGCTGCAAATTTATGTAATCTACAAATTAAGCTTTGCTAGAACTGATATTGATTGGAGTGAGGGCCAAAATTTGGGAGGTTTACTAGAGAAGGAAGAACGGAAAGAAGGGTCTGGAAGCTGAGTTGGCATAGTTAGCTATTAGTGGAGTAGGATGTGAAGAGGTCAGTTACAGAAAATAAGAATTTGTGGATTAGGGGCAGAGAAACTGGGTTTATCTGATGAGCATTCTGCTCTGGAAAGTTTTTTTTTTTTTTTCCTTCATTGTAATAGTTGTTTGAACTGGTATTTCAATAAAATTCAGTGTTAATTTCTTTTGATTCCTAATGGATATGATGCTCTAAAGTCCTGAACCTACACATTTTGAGCTAGGAAATTATAAATTTAATAACATAAACTTTGATGAAAGAATTATTTATTTTGGATTAGACACAAGGAATGTCAGCATTTGGCAGCATCATGCCTTCAAGAACATTTGCTACCCAAGAAGTTGGGAACTAACATAAGTAATCAACTTAAGTTTACTTTTCTATGAAATCCCAAAATTCTAATGGTTTTACTTAAGTAAATGACATAGTAACATATTTCAGAACTGAAGGAACAAAAATAAAGCTATGACACTGACCCATTATCATCCATGACAAGAACCTTGAGCCCAGCAAAGTTTGTAGAACCATGATTTCCTGGGACTTTAGGCACAAAAGGTAGCTTAAATTCATTTGATCGGTCTGGGATACCAAGTTTCACAATAAAAGTGGCTGTGCATCCTTTACCAATACCTTCACTTTCAATCCATATATGTCCTTCCATGAGATTAACAAACCTGTTCACAATTTAAAAGAACAGTACATAATCAACAGAAAAATCTCAAATAGGAATTCTAAAGAGAGCTTGATTCCAATTTTGCAAGAAAGGTTCTAAGAAATAGCAAATATATTAATATGCTTCACATCCTAGTTTAAGGCAGTAAATATACAAGAGTATAGTACCTCCGACAAATTGCAAGGCCAAGTCCACTTCCAGGCGGATTTTTTGTTGTTAATGATTGGCTTTGTGCAAACTTAGTGAATAACTTTGGGATATCTTGTGGATTAAATCCTAATCCTGAATCTTTTACCTATAATGTGTAAAAATTGTACTCCATCATGATGCAAGATAACAGAGGATACAATATCCCATGACAGAAGATTGACAATTAAGCTTAAAGAAACAAACCTGTACTCGCAAATAAAAGTGACTATCACTTGGCACTGGAAGAAAGTCAGGATTTCGAGCATCTCTGAAGGATTCAAGCTTTGCAACAAAAGCAGTGATGGAAATGCTACCTTCTTTTGAGAACTTCACAGCATTACCAACAACATTTAGAATAGTTTGCATGAGACGTTTTTCATCACCAATGGCATACACTGGCAAATCTGAAGCTAACTGTAAAGTAAGTGACAACTTTTTAACAGAGGCAACAGGCTTAATCAAGTTAAGGACCTGCAATCAGAGAAACAGATCTAACATCAAGTTTTTAAGAAACTCATGATCATCAGATACAAGTTAGACCAATATAATTGAATCGCAGGATTTAGCATGAGAAGTTCACCTCTCTGAACAAAGAATGAAGATTAAACGTGGCTGCTTCAAGTTGAAGACTGCCATCTTCAAGCCGTGAAAGATCCAAAACATCATTGATGAGAGTAGCCAACAAATTGCTGCTTTTCAATATTGTCTCCACCATCAGACGTTGCTCAGCTGTCAGCTCTGTTTCCTGTAATAATGAAGAGAGTGCAATAACTGCATGCATGGGAGTTCTCATCTCATGGTTCATAACAGCCAAAAAGTCATTGCGAGCACGAATTGCAGTTTCTGCTTCTCTTCTTGCTAGATCAAGTGCAACATTCTGCTCCATGAGCTGATCCCTTGCCCTCATTGACTCTTCTAAGATTGCAGCATGTGAAAGAGCAACTGCTACCTGGTGCAGGGGACAACTGTAATAAGTTATTGATAGACTAATGCAGTACAAAAACAAATGGTTCACATCATATTTCAGATGACAAATGTTTCAATATGTCATTGTACACCACTCAATTCAACAACAACCTCCAAGCCTTTTCCCATTAAGTGGGATCTGGTACATGAATATAATTAGATAACCTATATTAGTAGTTACAAACAACATGTTAGGTACCCATTAGTAGTTAGTTATAATGTGTTAGTTAGCTCGATTTAGTAAATTTGGCATGCTGCCTATAAATAAGTAGAGGTGATTGAGGTGGAGGGAGCTTGTCAATTGTGAGAAAAGGCCTTTGGCTTGGGAGCAGTCCCTCAAAGAACTGCAGTGTTCTATCCTTGTAAGTTGTAATTGTTGCTCACCCCTAATTCTTCTTAGTAAGATACCCAGTTTCTATCAGAATCTGTTAGATATATAATATAAAAATCATTCGAGAGTCTTCACCTAACAGCGTAAGATTTTGGGAAAGTTGGTTAGCTTTTAAAAAACAAACTGTACAAGGCAAGGGTAAAAGAAAAAGAGTTAAAATATTAACTTACCATACATATCCATTATGGAAAATGGCTCAAATTCACATAAATTAGAAAACAAACCGTAGGAAGTTAATTTACAAAACTATATGTTGTTTAAACTAAACAGAAAGAGAAAAATTCAATTTTAATAAATGTGTCCAAAGTCACTTTATGTTTGCACAAAAGGAAGAGTTTAATCCTTTATAAAATACAGAAACCTAACACATTGAATTTAAGAGAATTATGCATGAATATAATCTATTATAGGACTTAAGCTCATCAACTAGAAATAACAACATAAAAATATAAAAATCACTTTGATAGAGAAACTTAAATAAAAAGCAATGAATGACAAATATATCCAGGTAATATATATATATATATATAAGGATGGGATGCATTGACACCAGGTGTAAATCTTAGACTTACACCAAATCCCAATCGTACAAATCAATAATCTAACGGTTAAAAAGTTATCTCTTTTTACGCACTTGTACTTTATTATTTTAGTTAACCAACAAGTAACGTTAGATTATTAATTTGTACTGTTGGAATTTAGTGTAAGTCTTCTAGTATCAATGGATCCTAACCCATATATATATATATATAATGACACATGACGTGGAAAAGAAATGTGCTAGAAAGGCAACTGAATAAAAAGGAAAATTGCTAACCTGATCAGCAACTACCTCAACCAGTTCTAACTCATGTACATGCCACTGTCTAGCGCTATCTGATGGTAGCATCAAAACCATCAAAGCATAACTTCTCGTTGAAACTTCCGGCCAATCATATATTTGGAAATTAGAAAGATGTAATAGAGGAACCCGAACAGCTACTACTGCCCCAGGCATGTATTTTCCAGCATAAGGTCGTAATCTAGCAACTGGACAATTTGGGGAAATTTTTACTGCCCGGTTGATACTAAATACTTGATTGATCACAGGAAGATGAATGGGTACTGTGTATCCAACTGGGTTCTGCTGTCGCAATGTATAAGAGAGTTGAAGCTCTAACCCAGATCGTGTTGGCATCCATAAGGCACATTCCTCAAGTGCCAAAGTTCTACCCAATTCAACAAGAGTTGTTTTCAGTATTGTGTGTCTATCAAGAGTGCTTCTAATCTCATGAGTCAACATCCTAACATGTCGACCAGTTTCCTCCTGTGTGCGAATCAAGCCCATTTCTCGATCAAGCTCTGCAGCCTTGTTCTTCAAAAATAATTCCCTAGTTTTAACACTTAATAAATCAGGAATAATATGTACAAGCATAAGGGCAGTTGCACATGAAACCACAGCAGTTAAAACCTTAGCAGTGGTCATCACAGCGGCCACAGTCCTTGAATGAATTCTAAAGGTCCATAAATTAATTAGATGTGTTGCTCCGCATAGAACTATGAAAGCACCAAACTGAACAAGGACCCATCTATATGGAAATACTGCTGATTTCTTAACAAAGTAGATAAGCTCCAAAGGGATTGAGAAATAAGCAAGAGCAATGAAGAAATCTGAGATATATTGGTATTTCATCAATAAGTCATCAGCAGGCAATTGTGGGTCAATACAGTTGCAGGATTCCATAGTGATTGAACCACCTCAGCCGAATCTTCCTTTTTCACATAACTGCATTAAAAGATGGAAAATGTAAGCATCAGATAGAAGGGAATGGAATGGAAAAAAAAAAGCAACAATACTAGGATGAAACCAACTATCAAGTGAATATTAATATCAGAGCATTCTGTCATTCAATTCCCCCTGATATATGTTTCTAAACCCAGATAAAAGAGAAAAATCAAATAAACATAAGATTGGTTCATACCATAGAGTCATAAACTATAAAGATGAACCAAACATTTGCCATCCATATTAAATGAAGGCAGCAAAGTGCAATATAAGTTAGAGCTGCAATTTCAAAAACCATGCATATGTCTTAACCAAATAATGACTTATGCTTTTGAGACAGTTGGTTGATGACATGGTATAAAAGCCTCTATGACTAAGTGATTTAGAGTTCAAATTTTGCTTCCCTGATTATTCTAATGAAAAGTCAAATTTCAGCACAATGTAGATAGGCCTAGGCATTATTCATGCTTTAATCCTACCACTTTTATTCGTATAAATCTTTACTAGGATTTTAAAACCCCAACAGTTTTGTCACCATTCTCTTGACTATCAAAGCTCAGTTCTCTCTTTCTTTTTTGGGATGAAAGATGAATGGGAATATGAGAAAATAAGATTCCAAAGTGAATCAAAATGCAACAATTGTCTAATTCCTATGCATAACAACCAATTATCAACAATATAAAATCCCTGGTAACAAATCATGAGTAGAGCACTGGAAAAGTCATGAAGAAAATGGTATCCCATAATGAATGTAAGGGAAAAGATAAATCATTTTCAATATTGAACAGCTAAGCTAGTATGCTACCTGCCTTACAAAACAATTCAGATTCAATCAACCGCCTCACTCTTAGGTCTCTTCATTACCCGTCCTCAAGAGAGTTAAAGCTTATATGCAAAAAGGCAATTCAAATACAATTTTGGGTAAGCACCGCAAAAGCAACGCATCAGAATCGATTCTGCTTTAGCCTAATAGGGAATTCGGGAGGAGAAGGAGCGTATAAAATTTAGACATAAAAGAGAGAAAAATAGTTACAGTGATCTATGAAACTTACATGGATGACGGAAAAGCGAGCGAGCGAAGAACATAACATGACAGAGAGGAAGAAAAAGGGACAGAACAAGTTGCTTACATTAAATGTAATAATAATATTATTAATATGGCGGTCAAGTTCAATGGATTGCTTTGCGGTGCTTACCCAACATGATTGCGACAGATCTTTGCAAGTCTCCAATAGTCAATAACTAAGCTTTTCATCCATTTTACTTTTTCCTTTCTTTTTCTCTTCCACCCACAACCTCTGCTCAATCTTACATTTTTACTTTAAATTAATCGTTTGAAAATTAGAATCTTAAGGAAAAAAAGTTAAGAAATTAATGAATAACAATATATTTAGAAAAGTTTAATTAAATTTTTACTTTTATTCTTTAACATTTGTCTAGAAGTTATTAGAGTTTTTGGACTCAAATTTATTACTGTTAAACTTTTTTTTACAAATGAAATATTTTGACATGTAAAAGAGAAAAAACTACTTTGAGTGTTAAAGAATGAGATGTCATTATAGATTATTAATACATGTATTCAACTTATTTAAAGCTATTAAAGTAGTGACATATATTTTTTAAGAGATTTTTACAGTAAATTTATATTAAAAAAATACTCAAATAGACTTAGGGTCTATTTAATTATCTAAATAGATCCAAATCCTATAAATGAAATTTGGCCATTCAGAATTTGGTTCTTAGGAAACTGAGTTGGCTTTTTTTTTCATTTTTAAATTTTATTTTATGTTTTTATATAATAAAATAAATATTATTATTTAAATTATATTTATATATTTATATTTTGTTAAAATAAATATTTATAATATGTTTTTCTAATAAATATTTTAGTAGTTATATATAATAAAATAAGTTTTATTATTTTAATTATGTTTATATTTTTATATTATTTAAAAATGAATGAAAATAATAATAATATTAATTTTAAATGTTTATTAAAATTTATTTGACATATTTAAGATAATAAAGAATATTTTTGTTTTTATTATTATATTATTTAATATAATTTTGATTTTTTTAAAATAATATTAATATTATATTTTGAAATTATATTTTTTGTTATTTAATATTATATTTTAAAAAAATAAAAATTACAATAATAATTTATTTAATTTTAAATTTGTATAAAATAAAAATTATAATAATAATTTATTTAATTCTATATATTTATAAAATAAATAAAAATATTAAATAATAACCAGTTTATTTATTTATTTTGAGATATTAATCTTTATTAAAATTTATACATAATTATTTATTTAAAAAATATGTTATTAATATTAATAAACATAATTAAATAATATTATATAGATATATTATATATATAATTATAGATTTAATATAAATTACAAATACTAAAAATTTAAAAGTTGCAATGATATTCATAAAATTAAAAATGACATTAAGAAAATTTTAAAATAATAAAAACAACATAAATCAATGGAGAACTAGAAACTTGAGCGATGTTTGGATATGTCTTTCTTGTATGACCAGGAATGTGACAATAAGAACAATTTTTTACCCGACTTTGTTGTTCTCTAATGTTCATATCTATTCTTATTTTATTGGAATTGGGTCGACCCTTTGAAGTTTTGGATTTGGACACAAAGTTGGGCCCCTGTAAGTTGGTCAATAGTCTTCGTGTTTGAGTTCTGCAAACTGACCTTCGTATACCTTAAAAACTTGTTGTAAGGTATACACATGATATATGTAGATGACAAAGTTGTGATATGTATGTAACCATGAAGCAAATACATGCGAGCATGGGATGTGAACTTTTTGAAACTTGTCACAATCACACCACATTTCATCTAATTATACTGTAAATCTTCCTACGGGTTAAATTTCTGTCGAATGTTATGCTTTTTTGACTAAAAATCCAGTACTTGTTCTGTTAAAGGTGATGACTCTATAAGTATTCGCCTTTGACTATGCATCTTGAATTGCTTTAGTTGCAACCTTCGAGTACATATGTCCAGCATTAATCATTGCATCTACTTCCCTGCTTCTGTCAATGAAGAACTTATTGCAACAGGTGTATGTTTCCATGACCATGGAGCAAATTGGTAGGTTTCTAGTTTTCTTCAAGACAGAATTGATTGACTCCACTAGGTTTGTTGTTATGTGTCCTCAGTGTCATCCATTGTTCCATGCCAGTGTCCATCTTTTCCTTGGGATGTTGTCCAATCATTGTGCAGCTTCAGGATTATTATCTTTTACTGTGTTGTAATAGTAAAAGAATCTCGGTTCAGTCATCCCATATGCTGAAAACAAGATTACAAATTAAATTAATATAACTAGCTAAACAATTGTATAAAATATTAATGATAATCTAGAGTACGTAAAAAATTAAAATTACCCATATTCACAACATCTTTCTTTAGTGCAACATTTTTGAATCGTCGCATGAAATTTTGTGCAATGTGTCTGTGTCTAATGCAATAGACATGGACAGAATTGTTTTCTATCCAATCACTTCCATTTCTGGAATATGCACTTCTTATAGCCTCGTGACAATTCGAAATGAGGTACAACCCCTCTTGCAAGGTTTCATACAAGATTTTAAAATATATATATATATATATATATATATATATATATATATATGCATCGCTAGTTTCATCTTTAACCACAGCAAAGGCAATAGAAATTATGTTGTTGCGGCTGTCTTGTGCAACTGCCACTAATAAAGTCCCTTTATATTTGCCATACAAAAATATTCTATCCACTTGAACAATTGGTTTGTAGAAGGCAAAACCATCAATGCATGGCTTGAAGGTCCAAAACAACCTCTTGAATAACACATTCCCCTCGTCAAGCAAGCCACCCTTGTATGCCGGTTGTGTACTCAATTTTCAAATGAAGTCCGAAACATACAGTTGCATTGCAAGCAACTGTCTAGGTAAAATATGGTATGATATTTCCCAATTTCTGAAGATATTTTCAATGGCATGTTGTTTTCCCAACTATCCCTTTCTATAGATGATTGTGTAATCCATTGTGGACTTTATGTGAGCTAAAATGGTTGCATGGGTGTAGATGGATTAGTCTTAATAATTTCATGAATGATTTGAGAAACCATTTGTGATCCCAACTTGTTATAATCCTGTGAAATGAGTGGGGAAGCACATGTGTGGCACCCTTCAAGCTTTATTATTTTTTAGTGTTGCTCTTTTGTGCGCAATATAGCGTGACATCTCTAGGCACAATCATTGTGAACGCATTCCACAACAAGCCTAGTTGTGCTTGACATCTTTACTTTGTAAGTACAATTATTGACAATATGAAATCTATATATGGTGTCATGCACTTGTTCTTTTGTTAGGAAGCGCTGGCCAACAAATAGTGTTTCAGGCGAATACACTACCATTTTACGATCAAGAACATGGCCAAACTCAGAGTCATGTTCTTGTATTTGACTGGAAAAGTTTAAAAAATGTGGAGGTGGGTTGTATAATGGTAATGGTTATGATGGTGGAATATTTGGAAGTGGAAGGGAGTCTTTTTCATCATCCTGTTGTTGAGATAAGATTTCATCTTCTTCCTTGCTAAAAGGATCAAATACTTCGATTGGGAGACCCACAACAGCATGTTCTTCAATGAGGGTTTTTTCAAGAGGCTGAGAGGGTAGGTTTGCTCAAATGGTTGGGAGGGTATTTCATTAAGATCCATGAATGGACCAGTTAAAAGTTGTGTGTAAGACTGAAGGTCGGAATTCATATAATATGTTGGAAAAGATGAATTTATGGTTTCATAAGTTTGGTAAGGTGAAGGTGAAAGTTATGGTGGCTGGGTTACTTTTGTAGCAAATGTAACATATAATTCTACACCTGATTGAAGTTGATTTAAATCGTGGATGTTGAAGAGTGCCTCGATGTCTTCATCATCGTTCAACTCAATATATGTGTAGTTGCTAACTTCCCGGCTAAGTCTAATTGGGTAGCGAAAATTTATGGTTGTCACTCTTTCATTTTCGTCTCGATTGAGTTTTGTGTGAATGACTTTCTTAAACCTTTGTAGAGTCACTCTTCTCTTTAGATGTACCAATTTGGTTGATGATGAGGTGAACGTGACTCCTTCATTAGGACATTAGTTAATGACACCATCAAAGTGAACAATAATATAGATTGAAGAAAGAGAAGGTTCACAAGAACAAGAAACAAACATAGAAGGTTAAATGAATAAAATGAACACGAATATGGCCATTTATAATGGTAACATTGGATTCTCAGTCATTCAATGTTTCGCCACGTTTTACAAGTGATGGTGACCTTTCTATTCATGTAGATCAAGAGATAGTGACTTTTCAATCACGTAGACCAAGAGATAGTGACTTCTCAAGATTCCAAGGGTACTCTCGTACCAAAGTTTATCTATAAATATGTTCATCCGAGGCCACATGTTTTAATTCAAACTTGCATCAATCTTTGTTCTTCGTTTCTCTCTGTCTTTGCTCTCATTACTAAAAATGTTGTTTTAGAAACAAAACGAACACAGATCTGCTTTCATTGGAAAAACGGTAAGTTTTACACATTATCATTATTAACTGAATATGTAAATCAATATTCTACATATAATGTTACTAATTTATTCTGCAGGAAACTTAAAACATGATTTCATCTTTTCTGTCATTCAATGCTAGAATCTAGTCCTCTAATTGTTCCTATACTTGAACAATTTGATTTTGCTGGGGTAGCAAAGCTAAGGCATCTTAAGGTGGATCACGCGTTGATAACAGCTTTGGTCGAGAGGTGAAGACTTAAAACTCACACATTCCATTTTCTAACAGGGGAGTGCATCATAACCCTAGAGGATATTGCACTTCAACTCAGGCTAAGAGTTGATGGTTTACCAATCATTGGTCTAACAATGTTTGACTGAGAGGAAATGTGTGACACATATCTCGGTATCGTGTCAGTCAAGGGAGAGTCACTTATTGGCTCTATGCTAAAACTGAAGTGGCTGAGAAACAACATGTTGTCATTACCAAAAGAACCATCTAAAGAATAAGTTCATGCCCATTGTAAAGCTTATATACTATGTTTAATTGGAGGTGTTTCGATACCTGA